TTGACCTTGATAGGAACTTATATTTTACAAGAATGGCTCTGCCTTCATTAAGATCCTTCCTTAAGTTTTTTTGTCTCATGTAGACACGGTTGGAATCTCCATGAGAGCTGGGTAGCTAAGCCACCCAGCAGCTACCCAGCAGTCAAGTCCCTGAAACTAATCTGTCTTCTTTCAAGAAGAGACTGGATGATCCTTGGATCAATCTAACTTGGTTACATATCCAAACAAACAAAGTGGGCAGGATGGCCTCCTCTCATCTGTAACCTTTCTTATATTCTTACATGATAGTTTATATTATTTACTCCTGGCCAAATTAATTTCTACAATGTTGTAGTAACTATAAGATTAAGTAGCAATTAAGTAGTGATCTTAGAATCATCTTTGAGGCTGTATTGATGTCAAAATAAAACAAACTACAGTTATGAACGTGTACAGGAAATTAGGTTTTATTGACCCTTGTGAGGGTAAGGAATAAAGTGAAATCCAAAAGATATACTGTATAATAATATGTCTCAGCTGGAGTGTACACCAAATCATTTCACTCCAAGTTTGTCCTACACCCCTAGGCATGAATCATATAATCCTTCAAAACAACATCCTTTAGAAATCCATTCAGCAGCCAGATCAGAAAGACATACGGCCCCTAATTTCAATCTGAAAAGAAACCAGAGAATATTTTATTAAATGATATACATCAAGAGCTCCAGAATCACTCACAGGTACCTTTAAATCATTAACTGAGAGGGCGTTAAATTGATACAGTGAGGTAATAAATTACTTCACTTAACAGAGCCACATAAGCAATGCAAATAAGGAGGCTCTCTAGACCTCACTGACTGGAGCTGTGTGTATCAGATACTGTGGAAGATCCTCACTTCAATCAGTCCCCACAGTTCAGAGAAATACTGGTAGGTCAACTGGCTTCGGGGAAATTGGCCCTAGTGTGAGTGTGTGCGTTTGTATCTGTCTGCCCTGCAATGTACTGCCGTTCCACCCTGGGTGTGCCCTGCCTTGCACTGTTGCCTGCTATAATAGGCTCTAGTTTCTCCATGACCCCATGTTGGATAAAGGAGTTTGGAAATGGATGAATGGATGGTCATCAGAACATTGACTTACAGGTGTTAGCTGTTGGATTTAGCATGGCATATTGGATGCAGCATAGTTTTTGGAAATCACTTTTATAGCAATCTCAATTAAAAGATGGTGAACAACTTTATTAAAATGGACTTACTGCAAGAAAATCACAAAAATAATGTTGGACTGTTAATATACCTCATGGTGATGATCCCTGAATATCAAAGATTTAAAATGCAATTTACACATTCAAGCCTTTAAGTTTTCAGGCTACTTTAAAAACCTAGGAATTATTTGGCCAAGTGGGAATTCTATTGGTGTTCATTAAAAAAAAGAAAGAGCTGTGTGAATCTCTCTCTCGGCAAGCTCTCCTTTTTATGCTGTTGCCTATCGTGAATTAAACTTTTACTCTAGCCTTTCCACAAAGAACCAGACTGCATTAATCTTGTGAATGGGTGTTTTGTAATTAGTTTTGATATTTACATTTAAAATGATTAAAATTCTTTGCATATGGATGTTGCTACTGGAGATGACAACCAGCTGCTAAATCTACCAGGGACCTGAAATGATTACAGCAGGAAAGATGCTCTGTTGCTTGAAATTGTAAAAGGTTAATGGAGAATGCATTCAAAAAGTGCCAGTGTACAGCTTCTTTTGGGCACATCTGATTTAGTACATGTCATGAAATTACACTATAACAAGAAGAATCTTGTCATACGGCAGCATTTTAACACAGATTAAGGATTTTGCAATTGTATGAAAATAATGAGCAAATTGGATTTATACAGAAAATCATATAATATTTTTTGCCTCATTACAATATCAAGTTTTTCACCACTGTTGTCTTAACTATTTTGAAATATCATCTACTGTATAAATAACATCAAGGTAAAAGGTCAAAATATGGAACAAGCCATGTTTTTGAAGCTGATACCTTCTTGCTTTAAAAAACAGCTGAATGAGATCTGTGGGATCAATTAGTTACTAACCAAAAAATGAGCTAGATGGGTTGAATACACACCTCTTGTCAGTTAAATGAACAAAGTACATTACACTGTATCCATGCATGTATTAATAATTTCTGTTATATCTAATTTATATTACAAAATAATATTGAAAATTTACAAAAGTGCTACTGTAAATCACATACTTATTTTTTTTTTTTGCCTTTTCTATTCTGTGTAATTTTATGTTGTTAAACTTCTGGGATTGTCTTGCCAAGGGAAACAAACAAAAATACTGAAAAATTCTTAGAAAGCTAAACAAGATTAAACGATACGGGAAAGTACTTCAGTGTTAGTTGATCTGATTAGCATTACTGTGCTGTATTGTCAGCAAAGAGGAGTGTTTTCAGAAAATACTTTGGCTGGAAGAATTAGCTACAATAGTAAATAAGTATCATAACAGAGACAATAAAACATAATTATGCAGGAAACACATAATGTTGGAGGTTATGTGATTCAGAATACATTCAAATCTTGTAAAAATATTCATCCATCCAACTATCTATTTTTTAACCAATTCAGGGTCACAGGAGAGCTGGAACCTATCCCAGCAAGGTAGGAAACACCCTGGACAGGACAACAGTCTATTGCAGGGCAGACAGACACACAAACACACCTGTTTCAGGACCAGTTTTCCCAGAAGCCAATTAACCTACCACTATGTTATGGGATTGTGAGAGGAAATCCAAGGGCTCATGGGAGAAAATACAAACTCCACACAGACAGGACCTCAAGCCTGGAATGGTACACCTGGGTCTGGTACTGCAAGGCAGCAATGCTAATCATTACCCTCTATTAAAATACATATATTATAAAAGTACTTTTTCCAAATATATCTGTAGTATTATGAGTGGCATGGCAAGTATTGCTACTGTCTCACAGCCCTTCAGTACCAAGTTCAGTTCGAGACTAGGATGCCCCCCTGTGTGGAGTTTGTCGGTGTCTCAATGTGTATTTTTAGCCAGCTGTTTCACATCCCTCCCAGCTCTCACACATACACAGGTGTGTGTGAGAGTCCTCAAAGTAACTAGCATCCAATGCAGTGCGCAGTACTGCCTTGCGCCCAGTGCTTTCAGACTAGGTCTGTGCTTGTTGAGGTTCGTCACTTGAACAAGTGGCTTTCTGATTGTGGGCAAATTAGTTTTGGTAGATTGCCTTGTGCAGTTAGAAGCCGAGGTACTGTATAATGACTATTAGGGGTCACATCAAAGACTCCTCCAGGAGAGGATTTTCTTGTTAATACTTGCATGTTATGTCTCAATGTTCATACACTTTTATTATGACAACCTTATTACTTTCCTCCTACAATTAAGAGAGACATGTCTAGGTTAATTGGTATCTCTAAATAGTGTCCTCTGACATACTGGTGTTCTATCCAGTGTGTATCCTGTCTTACACCTGTTATCTGCCAGTTCAAACTCAAACTCCCTGCAACCCTTTACTGGACAAAAGGGTTATTGAGAAAGTATGATTGTATTTTATGATAGCATCTGCATATACAGTAAAGCTGTATTAGTAATATTAGTATTAATATTTAGTAATATTAATATTAGTAAAGCTGAGGTGTACCGTTCAATTTATGTATTTATGTCTGTTATTTTACAGGTCATTCTGGATGTCATGAAGCATGGAGTCACAATTTCGAAAAGCAGGCATCCAGAGAATCACCTAGTTTTATTTGGAAATCTGATCACTTTCCGAAAGTATATTCCTGAGCAATTCTCCATTATAAAGGGAAAGGCATCCATGCTTCTGAAGCTGATTCTGTGACCTCTATTTTTTCTTACAAAGACCAACAAAACACATTTTTCAACAGTTTTACCCAAATACAAGCCATCTGATGGGAAACTGGGCCATATACAGAGTTGTCTCATCCTGAGGTACAGCAGGCTGTGTACAGTAGGTGAAAACTTCCCATGACCACACATTTCAAAAACAGCACCAAATAAACAAAAACAGCACTTGGCATGTACAAAACTAATAAGCATAACTGTTCTTGGGTGAAAACTTTCACAATCCCTCATTATAATTTTTTTATAATTGGGTTCATTAGAAGTTGAAAATTTGCTGTGCAGTTTGTTTATTTTTCAGGCCCACAGACTATAGCTGTAGCTCTAGACTTGTACAATGGGAATTCGCTCCTGACAGCGATAGAATTTACACCCTGTAGCTGTGCTAATCCTCAAAAAGATAACTGCCGCCGTCTTCACGGAAATCTCAGAGGACGTTGAAGAGCAGAGATTTGCATTATATTAAAGAAAGGTAATAATTTTCAGCATTTCACAATTCTGGCTGAATACATTTGGAAGGATTAGATTTTTCCATTTAAGGCTGAGCTGTCAACTGCAGTGGGGAGCTAACTGCACAGGAGACCATCATCTGTGTGTGGATCAGGCCTTCCACTTTTACAGTACTGTATTTTTTGCACCTTACTCAGAAACACAAGCATGTTTGCTTTCCAAATTACCATAGTTTGCTCCATGTTTTTTTTTTGTAGATCTACAGTATGTAGTAAAAGCAAAACATGCTTTTTGGATATTTAACTATTGGCTAAACTTTTAAAATGAAGTATCATGAATTTAATGTTACTGCAAATGAATTGCATGATAATGAATAAATGTGCATATTAATATATTTTTTTATATTGGTCTTTATTATTTTCATTGTTGAACAGAGTTAGTGTTTTTTAAGACTGATCACTGAGCAGAGATTTCTGACAGTCATTACCTGAGCATTACTAGTTTTAAAGACCTGCACTGAGATTTTACTTAATTAATGTAATGTAATTTAAATTAAAAGTTAATAAAATGAGGACTGATGAAGCATACTGTATATCTAATCTAGGTATTACATCAAATATATGAAGCATCAAATCTACTGAGTATGCATGAACAGCAGAGATTTAAAATGAAAGACTCATACCTTCAGATTCTGCTAGGACTGCGCTCTGTCTAAAAGATAAGGACATCAGAAAAACCCACATGTGCCAGAATTCCATGTTGACGTTTTTTTCCAGTTAAGTGTTCCAATGTGCTGTTCAGTTCTAGTGATATATGTTCCCAAATTATCTGGAAAGAAAACAAACACATGAATAAAAGTATTGTGTGTGCTCTTTCTATATACATATAAATAATCATGGATAAAGTAAAAGTTAATTCCACACTGAAAATACAAAAAGAAATATGAAATTTTGCCTGTTAGGTTTTCTTCATGTGTGAAGAAGATCACACTTAAAAATGGCTCAAAAGGCACAACATGGTGTTTCTGTGCAGCCAGCACAGCCTACTGTACATGAACCACATATACCAAAATAATTCTTTAACATTTTTCTTTAAAAGATTGTAACACTGTACATGACAAAAACAACCAGGATTAAAGATCTAAACAAATTGTATCTAAAAAATGACTCAAGTTCTAAGTAACAACTTTTTATGCTTCTCAAACATTTTATTGAAAAGAGCACTAAGGTCACTAAAAACACTGCTGAATGAAAAGCAGACATTTACTGCTTTATGTCCTATATATTTTTCAACAGTGCATGTGAGGATTATTAAATAGCAAAGACGTGTTACTGAAACAGACATCACACATACTGTACCAACATATTTACAGTCAAATCAGAAGCACAGAAGGCAAAATATTATTTTGTGTTATTATTCTCTACGTTGACATTTGGGACAAAACACCAGAGTATTAGTAATCTTTACATTGAAATGCAACACATTTCACAACATTAACTTCTACATTTTGAATTCCTATGGGTTTCAATTTCGAATTGGCCATTATTCTAATGTAATAAAACAGCCCCAGGGTAAGGCCTCAACAATGCACACTAAACCAGCTGTAAACTCAGAACTACAGGGTTGGAAAGGTAAAATAGCCATTACATAACCTACTCTTCTTAATCCATTCAATACAAAATTATATTCTCCAGAAGTTAATATCATATTGTCCATCTCTTGGCCTTTCCGTCAGCAGCCATATCACCCTGCAACTCACAACTGGCAACCCACTGCTGCTAAGCAGGTGTGAGCCTGGTCAGTACATGGATGGAGACCTCCTGGGAAAAAACAAGGTTGCTGCTGGAAGAGATGTTTGTGGGGCCAGCAGGGAGTGCTCAACCTGTGGTTCATGTGGGTCCTAATGCCCCAGTATAGTGACGGGGACACTAAACAGGTGTTATCCTTTGGATGAGATGTAAAACTAAGGTCCTGACTCTCTGTGGCTGTGGCTCTGTGACTCTCATTAAAAATCCCAAGGTGTTTCTCGAAAAGAATAGGGGTGTAACCCTGACGTCCTGGCCAAATTTCCCATTGGCCCTTACCAATCATGCCCTCCTAATAATCCCCCTCTATGAATTGGCTTCATTACTCTGCTCTCCTCCCCACTGATAGCATCATCCAGGTGGATGCTGCACATTGATGGTGGTGGAGGGGATCCCCATTACCTGTAAAGTGCTTTGAGTGGAGTGTCCAGAAAAGTGCTATATAAGTGTATGCAATTATTATTATTATTATTACCATTAATTGACTCTTTTATTAAAATGTATTCCTTTCTTTACCCGTACAACCCTATACAGATAGGCTTTTTACAAAACAATCAGACACCTTGTTCATGAAATGTACCATCCAGGTTTTGAACATACAACATTCATTTCAATAAATGCATTTTTTTTAATGTCATTTAAAATATACCACTCCTGCAACTTCTTTAGGTATTTTCTCTTAGCGTCTCCTAAACCAACTATTCTGTAGATATTGTTTGCATAATGACACGGTGTGTAAAAACACATTTCTTATTGATCTGTTAACTTGTTATATTGTTTATATAGTTATGAAGTTATCATTTTGATCAAACATAATCAGACCCCTTTCCCAGAAATTTAGAAATTTCAGATATAATTTAACTAGATTAAGTGATTTCATCTTTAAGTTCCTTTACTCACATTTACAACACTGAAACATACTATTACTGTTTGTGTCATTAATTATTACATATGGTTTCACAGAATAGTTCTTGAATTAGTAAATGGTCTTGCTTTAGGTACTAGGTGCCAATTATTTTGTCTACAACTAGAATAATAAAACAATCACATTAACATTTCATGATTCTTTTTAATAGCCAGTATTTAAGCTTAGATAATCAATATATTTGTCATATTAAAGGCATGAGACACAAAAAGCACTTTTCAACTATCTACAGTACTTTTAAAAATACGAAGCATAAAATATCTGTATTGTGAATCTAAAGTAATATGACATTTACTGATACCTACAGTACAAATGTCACAAAAACATGGTTGAAACATATACTGTATACTGCATGAAATTGCAAAGCCTCAGGCACAGTTCAGTCTGTTTCTTGGATATGAAGACATTTAATGTAATAGTGTCTATGTTTCAAAATAAAACGACAACCATATTTTAATTATTAGCAGAATTTATAAGCAGTTTGCTCTTATAATCTCAATATGTACCCACAGAGGAAATATGCAAGTGCTTAAATTGTTGGACTTATGTGGCATAATTTGTCCATCCATCTATTTTATCCATTGTGGATAAATGTGTCAGGTGTGGGGGGCAGGAAGATGCGATGCCGTGGAAACCACACCTGACGTGATTAAGTGAATGAACGGCAGGTGTAGAAGTGGTTTAAAGGGGGAAAGATTCAGCAAGCCCTCAGCTTTGCTGTGACTGTACTGGTGAGAGAATAAATGCGGAGGCTCTGCTGTGAGAGAGCCGGGCAGAAGCATGACAGTAGCGAGTGTGTGACGTTACTAGTCGGTGCGATGTTATAAGGGCGTGCCGCCATGTACACTACTATGAGTGAGCAAAGACTTGATTAGTCGCTGTGGGAACCCCGTGAGGGGGGGTGGAGAAGAACGACAATTCCGGAGTGGATTGTGAGCGGAATAGCCTACGAGGAAAAGTGAAAACGTCAGTCTGTAGGGAGACTGACAGAACAAACTAAGTTTCATGAGATCATCGAAAGATTTAAAGAGACAGCATCCTGCTAGGGAGTGAGAGCAAAGCTGTCGTGTCCGCTGTATGAGTGAGTTGTGATTTGATCAGTAAGTTATTGTGTGTGGACCAGAGTGGGTTGTGTGGTAGAGGGACCCTCCCCCTGGCAATACATTGGTATTGGCGGAGCGAGTGGGGTCTATCTAGCTGCACCATCTGAGAGACAGTGCAGTGGTGGCTGGGCACAGTGAGGTGCGCTGGCAGCTGTGAGTTTACAACCTGAGAGTGTGTGTCTTAGAGAGGGACAGTGTCGGGTCTTGGCACAGTGCGTAGTGCCAAAGAGACTCGGTGATGTAGGTAGTGTGCGTTTCTGTAACCCAACCCGGTGGTGTTGGGGAAGAGGACATGGGGGCTTGAGGCGTACCTGGGAGTCTGAGGCACGAGTTGAGTGTGAAATAGTAACCTAATGAAGTAGGAGAAGGAGGCTCTGTGTTGGGGAGCAGGGGTTTCCTAGCAGTGAGGACAATGGGATGAATAAGGTGAACTTGAGACTCCGAAGGTAAAGGGCCCAGAAGTAACAGAATGTGGAGTCAAGTATCCTGTTACACCAATGATGGGGTCAGTGTGATCACCACTCTTGGAGGAGAGAGCGTGTAAGAAATAAAGGAACATAAAAGAGCTTATAAAGAGGCATGACGGGAGATTGAGAGCCTGTCCACGCCCAATGTGGTGTTAATTACCCCCATGGCACCACACCATCCATCCATTCATCCAATTCAGGGTCACAGGGGACCTGGAGCCCATCCCAGCAAATGGGTACAAAGCAGGGAGAACTCTGGACAAATGCCAGTCCATCACAGGGCATATACTCAAACACTCACACCAGGGCCAGTTTTCCCCACTATAAAATTAACCACCTGTATAGTATGTTTTTGGAAAGAGGGAAAACACTGAAGCTCCCAGAGGAAACGCACACAAACATGGGGAGAACTAAAAGGCAAGGGTGCCATCTAACTTGCTGATTTTCCTCTTTTTTCCCCACTTCACCCTGCTCTTTAAGATCAGGTCAATTTAATCTGCTGCGTACTAAGGGTAACCATGCCTTCTCCATCTCTGCTCCTTGCTTGTGGATTAGCCTTCATGATCATCTTGTCACGAGCCACACGCCAGCACTTAGACGTCACTGCATACCCACGAGCACCCCTCGCCGTTGATGTTCATGCACATATTAATCGGTTATCATTCCACCCACTCTTCCCTAGTTATACCTTCTCACACCACTCCGTCTCTGCTCACTATGGAGGTTCCCTCTCCCGAGCTCAACCATCCAACCTTTTTGGAAAGACACTTTCATCTGATCGACTTTTTGGCTCTCGAATCTCTTGCACTATCCCTTGACTACGGCTGCGCTTAATGTTTTCGGACTTGGATACTTTTGGTACTAAACAGATCCTTTCCGGAAAAGATCTACAACCCCCTCACATAGGGTCCAAACCAGCCGCATCACTATGATTCCTGACACACCTCACACAAGCAGTTTCATCTGAGACCTTCAAAAGAAACCACAAAGCCCTTCTCTACTAGCAAGCCTATCAACTGCCAGTACTATACATTGTTTGATTTCCCTTCTAAGTAATTTTTAAGTTTCTTGACTTCTCTTTTAGCCCTTTTTATGTGAAGCACATTGAGATTCCCAGTAATAAAATGTGCTGTATAAAGTAAGTGTAATTATTATAAACATTGAAACTCCACACACCTTGTACCCTGGGCCTAGAATTGAACCCAGGAGTCCTTAATTGAAAGGCAGCACTGCTAATCACTGTACCACCATGCCAGCCATCATTTTGTCACATTGTCTAAAACACATGTACACTATGGATGTTTAAGAATATCACACTTTTAATAAAAAGCTACCTCCTTCCATCTACAGGATTAAGTATCTGTTAGCTGTTTTGAGTGCTTTCAACCTGTTCAATAAACAAAATTCCTCTGCATTGGCACTTTACCACACTAATGTAGCATCTTAAGATATATCTTTCATCACAGCCGAGGAGTTCAGATGCTGGAGCCAAAATATAAACTGTGCAGCAGACCCTGCTGCATGGAACGCAGCATACATTTTGCAAAAGCGCACCACAAAATTGCTAGACCCTGACAACTGCACACCAATGTAATGTAATCTGAAAATTAATCAGGTAATGAGGATTTAAAAAGGCCCAATTCTATTAATCTGCCCTGATGCAAACTTTTAATAATTCATAAGAGTGTTACAGTACATGCTGTTTGTCAAGAATCATTTAGCACACCAGCCAAATGATGAAAAACCACAAGTGTTTTCAGATCCAGCCCACAAATACCTCAAGTGATATTTTGATTTCTTTCCTCCCTGAACTGTTAATCACACATTTCACTTCGTTTTGTTTCTTATTTCGACTAGTTATGACAATTATAAGGGCTCCAACATAGAAAGATATACTGCTGAGAAAGCTAAAATAAAGTATACTGTATTTATTTTTAGCACCACAATAGCAAAAGACAATAAATAAAATGATGCATGGTTTAATAGGAAAGTAGCTCCTACTGTTCAACCAGTTAAATCACTGCAATGTACTGTATATATCAGGGCTTGAATAACTCTAATTCTTTGAAAGACGTGGATGGAAGTGGCAGAAACCAACACAACCAAGAAAAAAATCAATATTAGTCAGAATGTTGCAATGTTTTAGAATGCATGATCACAGAGAGAGTGACCCTTTAATTAATGTAGAAATGATCACCAGGCTAAAAGAGAATGCCGTCGTTCTCCGAGTAATGCTATAATCTTTAATAAATTTTAATGCATTATTTAGTCCTCAGGAGTCATTTTTAAACCGGGACTGTCGAAAACGCCTCCAAGCAAGACAAGTAGTTTCATGTTCATTTGTATAAACTCTGGCATGTGCTACAAGCCTCAGCATCAGTGCAGCTCTCTTTCCGTCTCTGTGAGACGCTACTGGTCACAGCAAGAATTTTTTCAAAACGGACACATGTAATGATCAGCCTTCCACTCTGTCACATTTTAAACCTGCCCAGGAGAACAAGGAAATTCTGAATCCTTCCATCCTCCTCCTTTTTAAAGGTAAATTAGATTCAGAATTGCATTGCCTATTATAAGATTGTCTTTATTTTCTGTTAATTTCTGCACTCAGTTTCTTGCTAAAATGACATACAGTACATTATACAATCCTGTATATGTATATTAGGCTGTACTATGGGGATGTATTCTGAAAACATCAAGTCCTACCCTTACTTCACATACAGTACAGTTTCTAAAAGATGGAGTTTAGAATTTCCATATTTTGTTCCAAAGCACAATTAGTTTTTTTATTAAAAAACTTCTCCAACTTAAGAAATCTTCTCAACCCTGGATTGTTGGAAGAATATACCTTTCCTGGACTTCTGAAAAAAATAAACTTCAACCCATCCCTGATGGTGTGTCTGCTTCCTACAGTATTCTCTGCCCTGGAAATGACATTTGTGGTTTCCTCTGCTCAATAAAAAATGTGTTAAAATTACCACCTCAACAGTCAAGACAATGACAGAAGACAAATCTTGTTTTTTTCTTATTTTCTCTTGGTTTTTTGCAGCATCAGTCCTGCAAATGAGGGAATTTCTGTCTGAATCAGTCTCTCCTGTCAGCATTCTGGTGTGGCAGAGAATGGATCCTTTAATTTGTGATGACACTACAATATTCTGAAGAAGAGATTTATAACCCATCGTTGAAAGAATATGATTTTGACCTGACCAGCTTTCAAGTAATACAGGCTAAGCTTAGCATTTCAAGTTGTCTGAAAAGCATGTTAAGTATAGCAGTGGAGTTCAGTAAAAGGAAAAGAGAAGCCCATTCCTTCTGCATCATTTAAAGAGTAAAATAACCCTGACTGCTAAGCAGTAAACACACAGACAATGGGCCAGTTTACATGATTGATTATTCTCACATGAAGAGACAAGGCATTGGCACATTTTGGAGAAAAGCTCTTGAAAAGCTTTTTATGGTTGAAACATCCAGCACTTGAGCAGAATGAGGCGAATTACGCATTTCTACATTAGTTTAAGGGGCAAGACCCGAAATCGATGCCCACTTTCACATGAAAAAAAATCAATATTGAATAACAATATTCACTCAGTTGTACTTTTATCACTCCAATAAATGAGAAACAATGGAATAATTCAATTTTGGTATTGCACCAGTGTGTCTTTTTGCCATGTGTTGTGTAGGCCCATACGGTAGGTACAGTATGTACTGTATTGATAACAAAGGCTTACAAGTTCAGTAACACTATCAATAACATTGTACTGTATTTACTGTTCCAACTCCATACAGCATGGGGACTGATGAGTCACAGATACAGGTATCTGTTCCTTTTGTAGTTGGTCATGCAAGGCTTGAATTCCATTTATGAGCCAATGGTGGTCCATTAGCCAACAAGTAACTGAACTCATCATACTGTGCCTGTGTACCCCAACTGACTAAAACTGGCCTTCACTTTTTGTAATTATCTGTTCCACCACTGAGCACTTCCGGTGTTCTTGTTAAAATCAAGTTTAAATCAATAACCAGTTTTCAACTGAATTCACTCAACTTCTATAATAAACAACAACTATGTCAGAAATCCTGGGGTTACTCAAAACCCAAATGTCACAATCTTGACCTGGAGTACGAAGACATCTTCTGGTTTCAATCTAAATGAGCTGTTAGTGACTTTTAAGTCAAATCAGTTGATTTTATCTGCTTTCTGCAATTAGGATTCACAAATAATCTCCTAAATGTCAAACACTCTGTAACACTCATAATACAGTAAGTCATAATAAGAGTCCAAACTCATAATAAGTTTTCTCAGTAGTGCATGGGCACATTGATTAAATATAGTCAAGCTGTTGACATTTGGCATCTGGCAAAAGTTTCATGCTAATTTCATTCCTCTTTCTACAATTTAGAAAAACTTGTTTCCAAAATAAACATAACAGTAAACAGTTCGATTTAAGATCTTGAGGAGCCAAACGAATAAAGCTCAACTGAAATGAAAACCAGAAGACACAGGGGCTAGGAAACACTGCCCTAAATCATCTGGACAGGTTTAATTACTTTTGTATTTATTGGAAGGATAACTGTCAGCATAGGTGCCCTCCATCATTGACGTTCCACAGAAGCTGTAGTCAGTTCTTCAGCTCATGTCTGTTACAAAATTACTAGTGTAGTCAGAATGTTCTTTGACAGTTTTGAAAATATACTGTATGGGAAAAATAAACTGAATCCCATCAAACTCAGTTTTTATATTGACTGTGCTCTTCATTTGGTAGTACCTCCAGCAACGCACTTGATTAGAAACTCAAATGATCTACTATAAATTAAGACACTAAAACACCATGTCACCATGTTATTGGTTCAACAGAAATGCTCGTGTGAATAGAATACAAGGTAATTCTTACAACAGTATGAAGCTCACAATTTTCTTCTTCCTGTCTGTTTCAAAATATAATGAACAGAACTACAATGAATGGCAAGGGCTTTACTTTTACTATTTTTACTATTTTACTATTCTAAAACTCCACAATCAGCCAATTGATCCAAGACATTTTAAAAGGGGTTATCACATTAGGCGTGTAATTGTGTACCTAAGGCTGCATGACCAGCCATTACAGATCTCAGTAAAACCAATTTTCTTCTATCCATGCAAGTTAAGCCATTACATCACAGGTGCATCATGTTTTACTTTACTATATCGATACACTTTAAAATAGAAGTGTACTTACATTTTAGGTGCATTTTAGAGTGCACCTTAAGGAAAGTAATAAATAAATCATTTTAATAGATCAATTAATATTGATGTATTAAATGTATTTATTTAATAATATTAATAATTAATGGTTTAATTAATAAAATAAATCAAGTTAAATATATGTGTGTCATTTCATAGGCTAAAACAATTGCTTGTGCTGCATGTTTAACCTCTATAAAATAGTACTTTAAGACTTATATCTCAATTTTATATTTTAGTCTTATTTATATGAAATGCATCAGAGTTTTCAAACGTTATGCCTGGTGACGAACTTTCAATAAAATATATATTTGTGTTTTAAACAATCCAGTCATGCAAGAGAAGTTCGTAGATTTACTGTATACGGTACGTTCTGCAAAATAATTGAAAGCAACAGCTGAATGTTTTCACAATAACAAACATGGCAATCTCTATATAATATTGAATTTAATTAATTATATTGATTAATGGCTTACTGTATTTACACTGTTGTACAATTTTCCAGTACGTGTATACTAGAACAATTTATCTGTCCACAGGTAATTCAATTGAATCAATATTGTCATCTTTGATATTTGTTTTTAAATCTTAAAAGATTTATTATAGTATACAGAAAAAGAAATACAAAATTGAAAAATTATTGCTTCATTTTATGCTACTTTCATTGAGTTAGTTTCTTTCTTTGGCCTTTTTTTATATCTCTGAAAAAATGGAGTAGAATATAACTAGAAAGTAGACATTGGAAGGATTTGTTCTAAAATTACTTTATCAAAAGACAAAACGTGTAAATTCCATTCTGTCTGATTACCTTTCATCATAATAAAAGTGCATAAAAAGAGCAATTGCAATTCTACACCACTCTAGAGCAGTGGCAGCAATAAAGCTAATGAGCTTCTTTTACTGAAAGTAAAGGGTATGACATTTTTCAATAAGGACATTGACAACAAATTGAACTTTGGTTTTTTAACTTTAGCTTCAAAATGTGTTTATCTACAATGTAACCCCAACTTACCTCTCCAAGAAAACTTTCCTAAACATCTTCCTCTTTTTTCCAGATAGTCCTTTATGCAACAAGGAAATACTGTATATAGTATATTTTAGAAAAGCTATTCTTCAGGGGGAAAAAATGTCTTGATTTACAAGATGCCCTTCAGTGTCTGGACAGAGGAGGGATTGGATCCAGAAGAGAGCGTTTGGTATCTGCACAGATTAGAAAAAGGGGAGGACGGTAGGTTTGTGTGAAAGTTACAAGACCTGTAAAAAGCAATAAAGTCTGGAAGGAGGAGCCCCAGCTGCCTCTCACACCAGGAAAGTTTTTATACATTTGCTGGATGACCTTGTCAATGATGTATCTCTGCCTCCTTCAAGACTATTTCACTTATTTTTCTTGCGTTTTTGAGCAGGAATGTGGATTTGCCTTACGGGCCTGATCTTAAAACAAGGGATTTGTCAGCGCAACAGACTGTTTAAAACCCATTTCCTGTACCATTGACACCTGGGAAAATGAGAGAGGTGGGCACCTTGCAATTTATAGAACATGAAAAAAAAGAAAGAAAGAAAAAATCACTGAAAAGTATTTTTGTGTGCAAGTTCTGAAGTACACAGAGAAAAAAAGCTATAAAATGCACACACAAGGAGAAAATAAACATTTGGTACATCCTATAAAACTGAATTAAAGTCAGGTCTGATTTTGCAAAAACTTAAATTAGATTTAAATTGACTTAACAATTCTGTGAAGGTTCAAAAGGTCAGAAGACTTACAGTACACTGTAATTTAAAAATACTCTGGAAATTACACTAATGTCAAATCTGCATATACTGTACTGGTTGCTCACACCCGAAGAAGTCTCCACAGCAGAAATGTAGTGTTTCCTTTCTTCTCTTTTCAGCATGGAATAAACCTTCTACTAGTTCCTATACTGGTAGGTATTTGTTTCTTCATTTTCCAACAGTAATAATTCCACTCATGTACAATTCCTATCCTGAATGTTTACAAAAATGCCTAGGTACCTGAGTTCTGGAACAACCTGGTTTCATATCCCTTAAAGATAAAAACCTGCTTCACTTACTAACACCCACATATTTTCTACTAAGATTACTTTTTCTCAGTGTGACACAATAAAATGTAATAGGGGTAATTTTAATTAATAGCCAGCAGCACATGATTGTTTTGCTAAAGGTATTCATCGCATTCTCACATGGAGGGAGGTAGGAGTTGCAAATTAAATCCAAGACACAAGGCAGTGTATGCCATGATTTGTATTATTGATACAATATCCAAGAAGGGAAGTAATTCAGCCATTTTGCACTACAGTGCAATTTTCAACATTTCAACAAATCAATACTTACCTACTACTTATAAAGATAAAGATAAAAAATAGTATTATATCAGGGCACTAATACCTGTAAGAGGAAGCAGAGACAGTTGAACTCTTCTCTGAACTCTTGGATGCTCTTTGACCTGCAAGTGTCTGGACCAGTGACAATGTGCTGTTTCCAGATGTTTCTTGAAAGGTCAACAGTAGTTACAAAGAGTTGTGTCGGACATAGATCTTACCAGAACAGCACGGGACAACATCGAAGAGTGGGGCTAGTGCAGGCGCGCATGGAATGCTTGACTGAGATGGGGCAGAGAAGATCATACCTGCTTTATATCATGAAATATAAGCATCTGGACGTGAGTCGACCAGAAAACCGAAATAAAAAGAAAAACCTGAACTGTCAATGCAATGCTGGCGGTACAAATGGAGGACACAGACAAGTTCTTTATTTGTATCTTTGATAAGGAATAAATAATGCAAATTTAATTAGTAACTGGATTTAAATTACAATTCATTTAACATGAACATCAGTATCGGGAGGTGCACAGGGAAAGGTTTGAAAAACTACAGGAAAGAAAAAACAGATTTGTTTTGTAAAATATTTCAAATTTCTGGGCATGGGACCTTTCACATATACGTTGAATCGTGACAACATCATGAGCATGGACAATTGCACAAGTGGTACGATATTTTGTTTGCTTTTCTAAAGCTGTCTGGACACGTTCAGAAAATGCTCCCAAGCCCGGGACAAATGGATTGAAATCAATGTTGTTAATATAGGTTAGTACTTCTTTAAAATCATTAATTATGTTAGTAATACTTGTGGAGCATTTCTAGCCTCATTGTTTTAGAAGCTAATTGCAATAAATATTCAATTACAAATATTTGATTAACAAAATCTGATAAACACCTAGAGGCCCTTTACTACAAAAAACTTTGTGAGGTATATTACAGGTACATATCTATTACTTCTTTTATGTTAGTCCAGATCATTTTTGTCACTTCAATGACAGATGTGTAATAAACTTTTACAACAACACATCTGAAATTATAGCCTTACAAAAATAATAAAGCCTCCTTGTGGTGAAAAGACAGCTTATCTATAAGCAAAGTGCATAATTTGTAAAGATACAGATTATAATCTTTACCATATTTATAAATCCTTTGTTAGATCTAAATGTGGATTTCTTGTGAGCTAGTTGATGCTCAGGAAAATATGTCTTTATGTCTTGGGAGATAATATTATTACATCTATCATCATTTGATAGAGGCCTTCTGCCTATTTTTTGTTCCTAAGCCTTTTTCTTTAGTGAGTTTCTGTGTTTACTCTATGTGCTGTATTACTCTGAAAACTGAATATAGCCGTTCTTAGAGTCTGAGTTGCATTAATACCATTAAGGCACTCCTAACAAGGACCCTTCTATAACCTCCTTTGCTGGAATTTACTGTAATTTTCTAATCCTTTAAACCAGATAAGGCAATTGATAAATTCTCATTGGCAGTGATGATCTGAAGAGTTCCCATCACAAGGCATTCATGAGAGTATCTTCAGTAATGTACTGTACTTTGTTCAAGGATGCATTAGGGCTGAATCTCTTTGGATCTGAAGCTGTAATGCTCAGCAGCCAAACTAGCCCTCCACAATGTTGTCCCTGGTGATACCCTGTACCACACACATTGGTTTCAGGTCAGGTTATCCATTGAGAACTTTCATCATTTTCTAATTCTAGTACCTTGGATCATTTGTGTGTTGAAATGGATAGCTACAGCCAACATGGCCATCCTGTCCTAACAAGATGTCATCGTCTTAACAAATGTTGCAAACTAGAGCGTGAACTAATTGTTACAGATCATTTTCTTATTCCATCTGTGTGGGTTTTTGCACTGGAGGGATCTAATAACCCATGTTCTCAGAAAAAATTCCTAAGCAACATTTGTTTTGGAAATCATATGCCTATCATTTATACCAAAATGATAATAATCTGTCATTTAAGTTATAAAAGCAGTCTTGTCTGTCTGTTACACTGTTTAACCTACTGCAGTTTAGGCTCCAGAAAACAACATGTTTTGATGGTTGTGGAGAGGGTGGTATGGCCAATAAGGTCAATTCTTTACCTTTTGATCAAACTAGATTTTTCCATGAACATTTACTGTACATCTGCCGTGTCCTTACCATCAGAGTCAACAGGGATACTTTGTTACTTTAAAGTCTGAGAAATGTGTACTCATCAAGACCATTTTGTGCCAAGCAATTTATGAACTTTGAGACTCAGTTCATACATGTAATAATACTCCTTAAATTTGTCTTTTCTACCTATAGTAAATACCATTTAGATTAAATACACCTATTAGAAGAAAATAGTAAAGAGATTTTAATTTTTTAGTGACAAAAGTAAAATAAAAATTAGAACACTATGCATAGTCATGCTCAAGATTCTTTCCTTACTTACAGTCCTGAAACATGACAAATAAATTGATAATGGTAGACTTTGTTTTGAAATATCATCAACATACATTCTTACATAAAAGCAGCAGGCTAAGAAGTAAAACAGATTGACAAGACCACTTCTATTACTTGAAAGACAGATTATTTTTGCCGCAGGGTATAAAGCATTTGACTTTGGAAAGTGTCAGAAAGAGTAAATAGGGTTAAGTTGATTGACAGGGCCCTAGTTTTCTGTACAAGTACAGATACCACTGCTGAAATCCAACAGTGGTAAAAAAACAACATTCAACAAAGAAAACACAAAATAAATAAATTCCTGCAACAAGCTAACTCAGATTATTTTTTTAATCGACTTTTATTATTTAGTCATTGTCCATTAGCCATTTGTGTCATAATCGGTATTTGACATATTTAAAAGAAAATGGTGCTATAATTAATTACAAAACTTCAGAAAGGAAAAGGATGACTATTATTAATGGGCTGTGTGAAGACATGTTCTCTTTAGAAGCTGAAACTCTGTGTGATCATTTAAACCTCCAGCTACAGTATCTATTCAAAAACATTTGAAATAATGTGTGGACAACCAACTGCAGTTCTAGTCTTGCATGGCCACTGTATCTTCAGGGTTTATTTCCAGTTCAGCTCTTAAAGAGTCAATTGAACTAAGGATTGGCCTAACTGGAAAAAATTAACACACTTCCCAATAGACTCTTGTCATCCTCTGAATTCTAAAAACGGAGATGAGCACCCCTATGTCTTTACTGTGCTTCAGGATTTTCAGCTGATATGTGGTACTATTTGCTGTTATTGCATTGTCGCCTTGTTTTACATTGCAATTATGAAAGTCACACAATCGAGTATTTGTCTATTGAGACTATGTGTTTCTATTGGAATCCGACAGAAAGGCTGGTAGATTGGTAAGGAGAAAAACCCAAGCATAAGAGCAAAGACTCCGATGATAACTAATGTCGGTTGGGAGACAAGTTGCAGTTAAACAAGCAACATTTATTAGGATCTAAGGAGCAGAGCAGAGCTTGTTAGGATCTGTGAAAGGACAGTGTGAGTCAGCTGAAGTGCACTCTAGAGAAAAAGGGTTATTGGACATACACTCACCGTAAAAACCTTCAAAAAGGTTTACTTGAAGGTTTGCTGATTTCCAACATTTTCTGGGTGGCTGAAGCTGTTTTTCCACTCCCCTAATAGTGTTCAAAACAAAATGTACTTTCACTCCCACATATCATTGCAGTAAATGGGGTAAAAAGGTGAAAACAAAATAATATGAAATAATAAGATGACAAGACCAATATTTTAAGTTGTTATATTGATTTTTATTTATTTCTTTAAAATTCATGGCATAAATACTGTACATACAGTATAGTACTGCAAATTTATCACACATTTCAAACAAAAGATTCATACATGAGTGTTAATTGTGCTACAGAGCAAATCTAATTCTTAATTTGAATATAACGTCTGAGTTTGAGTTTGTTCTTATCCTCATTTGCTTAATCCCATTCTTAACCACAATTCAAATCTTTTATCAGAGTCCCAGAGGAACACAGACATTGAGGAACCAAACCCTCTTGCAAAGAAAACATTTTTACAGCAATCACTATAGTTTGAGGACTTCCTATATCACAAAAAGACCAATCAATTTTGGAAAGGCATATCTGGAAAAAGGGTATGTGTGAGTAATAGATAAACTAATGGTTACTAATGTAATCGGCTTCATTTAAATGAAGAATACTGAATAATTTTGATTTCTTTCTGGGATTTTGTAAATGGCTTACTATAGGATATCCATATACTCCCTTATTAAAGCATCACATACAAGCACAAATCTGGAATGTGTTAAGCAAAGCATGAGCGTCTGCTTTACAGCCCATCACACGGACACGGTCACATGTGTTTCCCTGCTGGTTTGAGCTGCCGTCAGTTTTTGCAGTCCGAAGTCGAAACTGAAGACTTTTCCAGCACTAATGCAGCCATTTGCAACACCTAGAAAAAGCGAGATTAAAAATTGATACCTGACTATCAGCATCACAATTAAGTATTTTGTAACCCATACCCCCTTATCATTCACAAATATTTTGCAAACATGGTAATAAGTGATCCTAGACCTACAGTGTGCTCACTAACCCCCCACCCCACTCCAAAACCAAACCACAGAACGAAATGATCTTATGAGCAGAGTTCAGTCTGGAAACCACTGAGGAGTCTGCCTACTGTACATAGACCCAATCTAATATCTCACATGAAGACCTTTCTCTTGCAGAAACAGGATCTAAAACAAAGGATATAGCAAGGGGGGTTTAGTATCTTTATATTTAAAAACATATACCTGGAGAACGTGAATTCAAGTGTGAAAATACAGAGACACACAGAGTAATCATCTCTGTCCCTGCTATATATTAAATGAATTCAAAGATCCACTGCACTTACTGTATGGAAAGTAGTAGACCTTTATGTGGAAAAGCTGATATAGGACTTCCATCATCATTTCTTAACTCCCCGAAAAACAACAGCTTGGTACATACCACTCGTTTTTTAATAATTATCATAATGCATTTCTTTAATCCAGTCTCATATTGCCTTCTAATTAATAAAATGGCCTGTGAATCTCAATTCTCCAGAATATGTTAACATCACAAACAACCTGAAAAAGGCTCCACAGATGAAATGTGTATACGCTGGAGTTTGGGGAAAAAAAATAATTGAAGAATACCTTTGCAACCGTCATCTGTAATTCTGTAACTATCAATGCCTTCCCCCATTAATAACCACTTACACAGGATCCTATCTGGAGATATTGTTTTCAGAGGTGACCGCAATACTATAGTTTATAACCCCCCTACATACATGGAATGTTAAACATTAAAAGTTTAGCAAAAGTTAGCATAGTAAGAGCTCTGCTTATCTATTCAAATTTTCTCTAAAATTAGTAATTATTCCACACTTGCAGCTGTATTTTCTCATTTTCCTTTATAGTGTGGTATTAACCTCAAAGTGCTTATTTGCAGCTCCACACCCCAATATCTATAGAATGATGTTCTGGATTCAGCAATAAAGTTCAATTTAGAAATGGTTGTTCTGTCGTTTTCCTGAAAAAGACTGATATTGCATAAATATATAAAGGAGCATATTCTTTTTTTAATTTTTCAAATATGGGAACCCTAACTTTCATCCATCCATTTTCTAACTGTCTTATCCAATACAGGATTGCAGAAGAGCCAGAGCCTATCCGGGTAAGCAACGGGCACAAAGCAGGATAGAGCCCTGACAGGACACCAGTCAATCACAGGGCACACAGAGACAGACACGCACACACTCACACCAGGGCCAGTTTTTCCAGAAGCCAATTAACTAACCAGTATGTGTTCGGACTGTGGGAGGAAACCAGAGCACCTGGGGGAAGCCCACACAAATACAGGGCCCCAGTGCTGTGAGGTACAGTAGCAATGCTAAACACTGTGCCAGCGTGCTGCCTGAGCCCCAGCATAAGGAACATTACAATGAAGAGATTGGGGCGGAGAGCTGCATTAGTATGCACTGGCTGCAAAGGAACAAGTAAAGATTAATTCCACTCCTGAAAAATACAAAGAAAAAACACAGCGTTTTGGCTTCTGAGCCTTCTGTAGGTGAGAACAAGGCTAACACCTGAACAACACCCAAAACATTGTGCTTTTTTCCTTCTACTTTTTGGCATGGAAAACATTATGTTACACATTTTGCTAATGAAACAGAGCAACGTTTAATTTCTTCATCGTGCTTCTGCTCCCTGAATTCAACACATTTTTGGGAAAGCAGTAAATCTAAGCTAATGTGTTTATGACTGGGTAAGGCCTGTCTCAGCGAGCGTAATTTCGTTCAGCCTGATTAGCAAGTCTTAAAAAACCTCATACTAAAGAATTATTTATGAGAGGAAAAAAAATGCCATGCACAGCAGTTTACTGTTCATCTGCATATCAGAAGAAAAAAGGAGGACTGGAGGGGATATTTCTATACGAATTTCAGAAACAAAGCATTATCTGCTGTCTGACTGGAAATCTACAATACCACATTTGAGGAGGGGTAGACATTTTGTGAGGAATACTGTGCTCACCTGCCCCGGCTCTGGAAATTTGCCCTTACCTTGGCAGATTTACACTTCCATTAGCAGCAGCTAATAGATGCAGAGAAGAGATAGTCACATCCAATTTTCTAAGAAAAGAAGTCGAATAGCATTTACTGAATTAAATTGATTTGTTTATCACACTAAGCAGAGCTAATTAATAATCCCTGAAAAGTTTAGTTTAAAAAAGAAATCGTTCAGTGTATGGTACTGTCTTGCCTTTCATCTAATCTGTATTTATTTTAAAAACATACTTCTAGTGACTCTTTGCCTTACCTGACCTAGGTTTAGGACTAAATTAGATCTATAGAATATACCTGTATGTTCTATGGTTTTGATTTTGTTTATTATAATATATGTTTATTATTATATTATAATTATACATTATTTATATAATTATATATATAATAATAATAAGAAGAAGAAGGAGAAGAAAATTATTATTATTCATAATAACATCTGTTTTTACTTTTTTACTCTTTTATTTTATGAAGACGACTAACTTCAAGGTCAGTATCCGAAACAGTCAAAAGCTATGGTAACAATTAAAACAACTTTATGGCTTGCCCTTGTTTCAGACAGTGCAAAGTGAAAAAAGGCTTCCTTTATAGTACATTCCCATGAAATATGTGAAAAGCACCTGGAAGCTGTTTTTCAAAACTGAGAGCTAAGCCAAATATCTGAATTTTGATTGATGTGCTTAAGTTTCCTGCCTCTGCAATGACTGTTGAAAGCACCCTATTCATACCTAGATCGAGGCAATACCGGTTGTTTCATAAGCTACGTTGTGCAAAACCTCATTTGTACTGTACAACATCTGTCAAAAGGCTACATCTTTTCAAAAAGAAAAAAGTACATTGATAGACTTTTTATGTAGTAATATGTGCAATCATACCACTTGCTGGACTTGTGTGTAAAGGTGAATTACAGAATTCATTTGTAAAACTGAAATGGACAAATCCCAACTTCTACCAATCATTGTCTCAAAGGCATAAATATGGGACACCAGACTTTCCTTCTCAGAGTTTTTGGTTTTGCTTAAACCCCTACTCTAACCTAATTTCTCTCACTAATGCAAGAACCCTTTGGTTTCTGATAGGTTTGTCCGCAAGGCCAGGTTGTCACCTCTTAAGTCAAGCGTTAAAGCCAAAACATACAGTATTTAATCTTCATTCAAAGGGCACAAACACATTGCTTGTTTGGTGTAGCTGTTATCCCATTAAATTAAAAAAAGCAAAATAATGAAAGGGTTTTTGTGAAGAATATAAAACAACCTCAACATAATGCAGCTTCAGTAACCTACTGTATATACATTATATAAGGTGAGTGAATGTATCTCATATACAGTATATGATATCCGTACAATTTTGAGGCTGATTAAACACTGCATTTAGCTTTGAATTAGCTACAGTATGTGACATTGTCAATAATTTAAAAAATAAGAAGCATTTAATTTTAGCAGATATTAACTCATCTGATCTGGCCTTTTAAATGTAAACTTTTTTCAGGGGGAAAAATGTCTACGCAACACAAGCTACGGTGCATTGCAAAAGTGTCTACCTCCTTCCAATGTTCTTCCATTTTTTTGAATTACTAATGAGGTCTACACATTTCTCAAGTGAATATCTTTAATCAAAACTCAAACTGAAAACTTTGATGGGTAATACAGTTGTGTGTTGGCAAGCACTGCCATAAAAAAAATCACATTTTATGCACAACGAAACTATATTTTGGAATACGACAAAATAGGACATTATGGGAAGGGGGTGAGATTCTTCTGCTTGTGATAAAAGTGTGCAGTTCTTGGTTAACTCCAGCTGTTTCTAATTTTTTTCTTGCACTATTTTACAGCTTTTACACTTCGGTCCTGGTTCATACTTTTTTGAAATTAGAAGCCACATTAAACCTTAACAAGACACAGTATAAAACGCAGGTCCCAGAGGACTGAAATCTGTGAATGGACTGCTGTGCTAAACTGGAAAGGTAGTTACTGTACACCAGCACATTCCAGTAAATAATGTCTTCAAAGTGATTCAAAACCTTACTTTCATGCTTAGTTCACAATTTAACATACCAAGAAACGCTTCCAGGTGTGGGAATAATAATTATTTTTAACTAAAAATCTCTGTTGCTGAAGGAAATGGATTTTAGGAAAATATATTTTTTGAAAACTAGCATTTTCACCTCTGCAAAATTAAAGACCAAGAAACAAAAAAAAGTCAATTTATTTTTACTGAAACATGCTTTTGAAATCTGATCTACTGTACATACACTTCATGTTTAAAATTTAAATTTAAAAATGACAGCAGAAATAATGAGAGAAAATGATAAGAAAGAGATGAGACTTAAGAACTCATTGCAAAACATTTGACCGCTACAGTTTTTCCTCAACACAATTCCATCCTATATTTTAAGTATGACTATGAACATATATTTCTTATTTTCTTATGTAATGTAACTCAAAAAGAACAAATGAAAATTTTGACTTAGTGCTACAGTATGTATTTTATTTTATAACAACACTAAAAAGCAATATACAGTACCATTTAGCCAGCACCTGAAGAAAATATCCGCCACAGCGCAATAACTTGTTTGCCTGTGGGCAGGCTAAGATTACTTGTTAGACTTCACATCTTTCTTTTAAAATGAAATAAAAAAAATGACACCAAACAAAGTTTTGCACCTCAGCTCCCTCGTGATTTAAAACTAAATCATGAAACACAAATCTGCAAACTCCTCTTTCACTGAATTTGCACTCTCGCCTGGGAGAAAGGCTGCTGAACAAGATGTATTAGCAAACAGAAAGGCTCTGTTCACTCGGGGTTCTCATTTAAAAAAATGGGCTTAGAAATGAAAATCAAGGTGGAATGTTCATGTACTTTGGGAAGTATTTAAAGGCAGAACATGGCTAGGTTTCAATATTGTGTACCTTCCTGTGTGAGGCCTGCAAAGCAATTGATTCCACAGGAATGTTTTTTCAAATATAGAACATAAACTATTCGGGTTTAACTGGACAGTTAAGTTCTTGGTTCATTCAAAATCATTCCTTCTGATAAAATGAGAGTATCAGATTACAATTTTTTGAAAAGAGGGGATTTGGAAATATTGCTGAATTAGATAGCACTGCAAACTTTACTGCAGAAAAAGACTTTGAACAGTAGTTCCCCTATTAGACAGAAAGTACAATGTTTTTTTCTGGGAGGGGGGTGGGGGGGGTGGAGAATGGACAGACTGGATTTATGACAGAAACAGAAGGTACAGAATGAGGACATGTGGAAAATTATAAGACACAGTAAGCTCAGGAGAAAGTGGCATGTGCAGAAAATGAATCCTGAATACCAGGTACAAAGGTTCAGGGGAAGAAATATGACATGAGAAGCAAAGGGTGGGTGGATGTGAAGCAAGGAAATGCAAAAGGTCAAGGGGCATTCAGCAGACAGGCTTATGGCACAAAAAACTCAGGAGAGGCCTAGAGCAGGAAACACTCCAAACACGCTGTTTTTGAAGAATATCAAGTGTCTGAATTTCAACAACTTTTTTAAAGTATAGAAAGGGAGAAAAAAAACAGGCCCATTTGCACCCCATTAAAAAGGTGACAATAGATTTCAGGTTAAAAAAAAACAAGTTACGACAGCAGGCAAGTTTCAAAACGGCACACAAGCACCCAATCAAATGAACATGTTTCCACTAGATTCTGCAGGGAGCGAGAATGCAACACGGCAGGTTTGCTGATCTCCAACTGCAGTACGTTCAACAAGAGACTTGCAAAGTTAGAAGGAAATCATCTACAAAAAAGTCAATACACAGAGCTGAATTTCTGTCAGATTTCACGAGTGCCTGGAAGTACAGTATCGACTGAATACAGGTTTTGGGTAGACCTAAAACAAACCTGTGGTGTTTCTGTATTGATGGCTGCAGAATGCAGTAATATGATTCACTACACACTGTGCATAGCTACTGTGAAAATAGACACAACATGCTGCACCTGATATCATACAGTATTGACAGACAGCATCACCACACGTCCAAAGGTTTTGAATAACGATCATCATTTTCTTTAAGGAGGTGTTTTAAACAGTGAGTTTAAACACCCCCTGAATGGGAAAGCTCGATATGCAGCACTCTTCATGTAAAGAAATGTTTCCTGAACCATTCTAAATGAATCTGCTTTCTGCTTTCTCTTACAACCCAGGGTCTTTGTTACACTGCTGAGTGTGAAACAGTCCTCATTGACCAAACCAGCATTAATTCTTTTTGCTCAGCCTTGAACTTTGAACTTTTTCTAAGGCTAAGGATATTTTTGTTATGATATTGAAAACTGAATACAATCTTCCAATTGACTAGTTACTAAAGTGCTGTAAAGGTTTAACACAATCTTCCTGGATATAAATTTTACTACTGTATATGCCCAAGCATTTGATTTGTTTTATTATTATATCTTCACATTATCTTAATGAGGACATAGAAGAATCTGCATGAACACCCAGATCTTCTCATGCGTAGGTTCCTGCAGCTCAGAATTCCCCACGGCCCTTGTGGGTCACCTTGCACGTGACAATATTAATGTAGTTTGCCAAGTGTCTGCTCAATCCATGATTTCATCAAATTCTTTTTGTCGTTCCTGTTTGCCAGTCCCCTTATTATCTGAAGAATTAACTTTAATCTTATCTGTATCAGAATCTGACTTGTTTACATACAGTAGATGAGAAAGAATGGCATTTAAAACAGATCCCCGTGACACAGCACAGGTTCCACCTGTCTAATTAACGTATGCTGTTGACTGTTGATTGACCAGTTCCTGATTCATGTCCATTCATTACCTTGGATAACTATGACATCCGTTGCTCATCAACCATTGTTCATTTCTCAGTCCATTCTCTTACCATCTCCACATGCACATTCTGCTTAATCAATATGCAAGTCTCTGGTTGTTATAGAATTAAGAAAATAATTCATTATGTTGCTTTTATAAGGACATTTTACTTGATCTCCCATTTCTGTGAGAATCGTGGTTCTAAAGTTCATTTTTCTTCTCAGTAATTGACCTTAATTTTTTCTATCAATATTAAACTAATAAAGCTTATATAAGTTAAGGACAATGCATTTGTGGTAAATTACGCAATATTCTTGATGCCTTTTTCCATACATGATATTGGTTTTTGCAGTGCAGTTTTGTTAAAATTCAATTTACAGTAAGAAAATGTTTTGACCTTTAATATACTGTATATGCCATATTTTACATAGTTTATGCAGAATGGCCATTTACTTTTGTCTATGACATTTAAAAAGATTGGAAAGTCAGCCACTAAACTTTGACCTTTAGGAAAAGTGGAAATTCAGACATTTAACTGAGCTGACGAAAAGATTGATGTTTATTTCCACAATATAATGCCTACAAATGATACAGAAGTTCAGAATCCCTTTGAGTCTGTACAGTTTGTACAAAAATAAACACTCCAGCATCCCACTGCAACAGTTGCTAAGCTCAAATAATGGAATTTCTAATAAAAACACATTTCACACTAACACAAGCCTGTTCTTGCTGTGAGAACTAATAAAAAACTAAGGTGATAATTTGGAGTCTATATTTAGTCATTTCTTACATATTTTGAAAGAAATATGTTAGTGTGGTCAACCAAATGAAATAAACCATGATATTATTTTATTAAGACATACAGTAAAGTGCTTTTTTAATTACTTCATAAAATGTGTAACTCCCATGTCATAGTGCTAACAAAATGACTATTAACTCTTTTGCATTTATGGCAATATTTTTAAATATGCATTTAATTATTATTGTTATTTATAATATTATTAACACGATCATTTTATACACTTAATAATTAATGATATTATACTTATTATATTCTGAATATATGCTCAAATTGGAAACATCAGTTTTACAAACTGACCTGTGACCCTCAGATTCACAACACATTTTTCTGTTAAAATGCCTTGTTACTTATACATACTGTAGTTCACATGACCAGTCTACTAAAGTTAAAAAAGAAGCAGCCATGTTTTTCTGCATACTGTACCATGATCTCGCACTACTTACAAGCTATCTTCAAAACTGAGGGATAGTAACATAATTATTAGCTGATAAGCACTCTATAACGAGCTATAAATAACTACTAACTATATTACTGTAGTATTAGAACATTTAAATTCTATATACTGTGTATAATAAAGGGATTATTATAATACCATTCAGTACTGACTAAATTAGCTGACAAATATGAGGGTAAAGCATATTTAAAGCTTTGGCATTAATTTTCCTGGTTGAGGAAACGACAGTACTGGTCAGAGATCAGCAGGGTCACATCTCTCCTCACTTATGAGGGGACAAGCCAGGGAGAAAGTGCTGTAAAGGAGATCCTGGGGTGGAAAGAGGGGCTGACAGAAAAGATGTGCACATTGCCACCTGCAGCCGGGGGCCTAAGCACCTCCTGTAAGCCATAGGCAACTTCTAATGATGAAACAAACGGACAAATATAAAGGGACAGCGTTGGTCGTCACATACCCCCAAAAGGAACCCCAAAGCACCAACACAGATTTCAAACACTGAGCCGAGAGCAGAAGCGAACCAGAACCAAGCAGAAAGAGAGACAACAGGAGGGAAAAGAGGGGACAAAATTGCCACAGTTGCTCAGAGTCCCTGCAAGGCTTGACAGCATCAGGAAAACTGAAAGGGAAGGCGTTTATTTCCGGTGGAGGTTTGAGGCTGAAGAGGCAAGGCGAGGAGATAAACAACATAACAATGATACACAGAGTGAGAAACATGTCTGTCTGTGAAGAAGCAATTCGTGGAGTGCTAGAAAAAATTGTTTACTCAAAAATGACTGGAGAACAATTAAAAATGATAATGTTTAATACCTTGAAAAAAACTCCACATACTGTATACCCTGTATACACCTTAGGACTACCATAAAGACTGCAGGAGCATTTATTGTTAATTCATCTGAAAAAGCAGTATGAAATAATAATAGATTTTTTTTAGTTTGTTTCAGACCAGAATGGATTTTTTGTAACAAAGTTGAGAGAAATAACAAAACAGGTTAGAACTTGGCCAAAATGCAAATTCTGCATTTAGAGATTTATTTAGTCATCATTTCACAACAATGTGCACTTGATTAGAAACAGACTTTAATGAAGTCAAATTATAATACATAAATATACAATATGTTCACAACAAAAGTACGTATGTATGTATCTATGTATTTATGAAAGGCTTTTTTACAGACAACTGCACCTCTTTTATGACCTAAAGAAAACAGTGGATAAACAATTTAGCACAAGCACTGTCTTGCAGTGAGCAACTGATTCCTGTTCTGAATTAAAAGTCTTTCAGACTAGAAATGAGCAATGTAGGAGAAATATGCCATTCATCACATATAATACAGAGTCAATTCCATAAATTTCCCGTCTTTCCTGACATACAGCTGTTCTGCATTATATTAAAAGTGGACACCTACTTTCTTGTTTAAATAAGGTGAATTTATTTGAGTGGATCCATTTAATGGTCTGATCACAGGCTTATAGTTATTTCAGATTTTGTATTAATCATGCATGTTCATGAAAATGTACCTTTGCCTTATTGTATTAGAGATACTCTTACCTCTTCAGGCTTGGTTAAATCACTGAATGGGATTTTTTCTGGTCTTCTTTTGCCATAGTTCCATCTTTCCCAGAATTTAGTAAAAGAATGTTGTTCAATGGCTTCAGGAATCTTTCTGGGATCGATAGAGGAAAAATCCTCAGGGGGTATTGTATCTAAATACCTGGAATTACACAGTTCTTTCATCAGTAAAGTTCAGCTCACTTTTTTTTTGGTGGGGGGGTTACACATATTGCTTCACTTTTAAAAATGATAATCTGGATTTAAAGGGTTTAGTTTCCTCAGAATAAAGATATAGCAAAGATGCGTCAGCTGTAAAATGTGCTTCACAAATATGAATTGTATCGACAGAATACCTTATTGTGAAATTATCTCCAACGAAACAGATGGCAAATAGACCCAAATGAATTTAAAGGTAAAGGTATCTCGAGATATGGACGTGCCCTGCAGGGTTTTCATATTTATATCTGTACACTTATAAACTTTAAATCTATAAGGATGTTATGAGGAACCAAAACAGATCTTATCATTTGTTTTCCCTATGCCTTCTAATATAATGAGTATTTCCTGTTTTCATTACTTAGGATATAAACTAAAATGTTTAATATATTTCCTCAGTTTTTTTTTCAGTTGCGCAGCATAAACATGTTGCTGTTAAATTATCTGAGAAAGACAGAAGTCAATTTGTTAAGATCCCTCTGCGTTTGTGGGCTAACTGGAATGCACAAAGACAAATGAGTGCACTTTTAAATATTGTTATATATCTGAAAAAGGGAAAATCTATCTAAATCTAGATGATTTGAGCCTAGAAAACTGGTAGACAAATTTGTTTCAGGTCAGCATTTAAATGCATGAAGAAGGAAGGATGAAAAAGATGACTCCTAACCATAGTACATCAAATTGCCACAATATTTGCCATATTTCAGAACATAATAACATGTGGTGCTCATGAAACTTTGTACACCACCTTCCAGTTGCGGAATTAGGAGACATTCTAACTGGTTCTTCTCAGCCAGCAAGGTGCCAGCACTGTAGGTTCAGGAGATTATCCCTTCGATTTTAAGATTTCTAATGATAAATAAAACATTTAGCACAACATTATAGTAGGGGTTATTGCCCTCTCAGAGCAATTTATCACCACAAGCTAAGCTTGTTGTGATAGAATACTGCTGTCTGCTGTAAAAATGGAGCAAAAACGTGTGCTGTTAGCACACACCATGTATCAAGGACTGACCTACAGAAAGTGCCTATAATTTTAAACTTAAGCTTAATTTTAAATTTAAACCCAACAAATCAGATGTGTTCTTTCGAAGGCGGAGTCTTGATTCTGGCCCATCTAGAGCATTTACAGTAGATCTCATCTACAAAGAAGCCAGATACCGCAATCAATCTCAAAATCTCACCATGCCATTTCATGAAAGAAACCAATGTGTCACGATCGTTACTCCTCCTCTTAAGGGCGCTCCAGCCCTTCCTCGTTCTGTCCCATTCCCCACACCTGTTTCTTATTCCACCCCCTCTTTAGTTCCTCCTTTAAAGCCAGACACAGGCGATTGCTCGGGGCTTCTTATTGAATCCCGTTTCGTAAGAGCCCGGGGTCCTGCTGCGTCTGGCTCCATTATGGTTTTAGTTTCCTATTCCTGATTCCCTATCCCGCCGGTCCCGACCCGGTTCTGGTTTTTAGTTACTTTGGATGGATACCCTGGTCTTGGACTTCGCCTCCTGTTTTGGTTTTCCCTTTTTGGATTTATGCTTGGATTGTTTGACCCAGACTCACTTCCCCTGGACACCTGCTCACCTTGGACACGCCCCCCTGTCTCCTGCATGATATTTTTCCCTTTTTATTTCTTCACCTTTCGGATCGTGTCGTCCGCATAGGGACCGGAAAGAACTGTTTCCTGACACAATGTTTCAGCTTCAACAGCTGACTGGGTAGCTTGTGGTCAGAATCCATAAAAAGCTCTCTGATATTTCAGTCTTTGGTATAATGAGATTCAAACATTAAATGTTAATGCAGGTATAATTACCTGATTAAATGTGTTTGAAAGCCATATCTATAGCTACTGTATATTTGGAACTATAGTATAATTTGAGTTTTTCCTCCTGAACTGACCATGAAAGTCATTCTCACAGGAAGAAACCTTCAACCTTTGACATCCAGCAAAGGGTAACCCAAAGCTGATTCTTTAGCAAAATCATATGAAACATTTTTAATTAATCTTCTACGTCTGGAAATATAAAACTTTAAAAACCTTATAATGTTTGCTTTCATAATAAAATGCACTATGAAGTTATTAAAATAATGCCTATTATTTTTTCAGCCAGATATCTTATAAGTATGATTTTTCTTATTTTATTTTCATTCTCTTGCTTCTCATAATTTCTATTTTTTTCTGTTATGAGTGAAGATAATAAAGCTCTTAGAGATTATGCCCATGTACAGTATGTACTGCATACACTACTGTTTCATCTTTTAACTCATGACTATAATAACATTTCATACTAAATTACCATTTTTATGAACATGGATATGTTGTGAGAATCCATCTCCCTTACAAATTGCTTCTTCTTGCCCCCTACTTCGTCATTATTAAATTCCTCCCAGGTGGCACAGGTACTGATTTTGTGTAGAAAGTCAGTGTTCTATTGTCACATATAAGTACAACTGATTTCTGGATGGACATCGTTGACAGTTTACAGTGGTAATATACATTACCTGCAATATCTATCTATTTCCAGTCTCAGACTTTCTTCATACTCCTTTAGCTCTTCATGAAGATTACTGTAATCACAAAATATCAATACAGGTGTGAAAGAAGCACTGTTTCAGTAAGAGTTTCTTCTCTATATCATAATGCTGAAAATGTACATTTCGGGGTAAGGAATAATCATCATTAATGAGTGCATTACAAACCACAATAAAGTAAAATGTAAGCAGTAACTTGTAAAACCTCCAATTTACATCTCAAAATGGACTAAATTTCCAGGTATGCGCAGTGCCATATTCTGCGATTCAGAACGAGGCAACAAAACATCAGGTGAGATGAAACAGTCCTTACATTGTAAACAAGCAGGCTTGGGAATACATCTCTTTTAATGCAACATAGCTCTTGATTTCAGGACAGTTTTGCTGACAAATACTGCTTATTTGTTAAGTCTGCCTGCAGATCCTGTTGGAACATTTCTGTGGTGAAACGTCTGCTGCACAGCCTGTACTTATTCACTTGAACATTACAGTACATTAGTCATTACAGTGACTAGTGAGCAGGAAGGGCTACATCACGTCACAATTCATGGGAACTCTCACTCTCACTCGTAGCGAGACCAGGGGTTTGTGACAACATAGCAACTTACTTTCACAAAGTTCACAATTTTATGCTTAATTTGAAATTGGGGCAGCAGTTTCCCTTTAAGGGTAACACTTTATTTGAATGTTTCCTCATAATGATTTTATAATCCCTTCATAACTGCTACATAACATGTTATAATCACATGTATGATGCTTTATAGGGACATGCGCAACTTATGTAACTTGTGCATAAGAGGTCATGACATTTGTTTTGGCATTATGTCATTTGTGCGTACCCTAGTTACAGTATATACGGATTATAAAGCCATTATGCAGCATTCAAATAAAGCACTACCAATTTAAGGAAACGAAGCCAGACAATGCTTTCAAAGTCTCTCTTGTACTCTACACTGTAATTTATTAAGTAACACAGTCGTAGAGCTCATTCAGAAAGGCAGTTAAGCTGCAATCAAGCAGAAACGTTCAAAGGAGGGCCGGACATTCAAAATAATTTGTTTGGAAAAGGTGGGATATCATTAGATAAGAAAGAATCAAAGTGTTGTTATCATATGAAAAAAGGTTGTAATGCAGCTGCAGAAGATGGAAAGATCAATTCATCAACAGTTTATCAGAAACAAGCTCTACTCACAGGGCCCTGCTATGCAGATAATGAATGGTGCTTTCTACCTCCTGCCTCATCCTCTGCAGTTTGTCACAACAGGCAGCCCTTGCAGCCTCTACAAGCTCTTCCTTAGTCTGTCCTTCTGTAGTATGCTGCAGTACCGTCCATGGCCTGTGCTGCTGAGCCTTCCGAAGATATATGTTGTCTAAGATCTGCACAGAAGTCCTTTCTTTTATCATGGACGTATAGTGGTTGTCCTTTGCTATCGGATTACCCTTAAAAACAACAAGAATACTTTTTGTTAAGTATTCAGCAGGTTTGCAAGTAGACAGCCTACTAAGGTTTAAATTCTACACATATAGTATAACATGTAATAGATAAGTCTCTGGACTCAAGGCCTGCTGCAGGCACATACTGTAGTGCTGTTGTACCTTGAGTGAGGTACCCTGAGTGCTCCAGTCCACCCAGCTGTATGAATGGATACCAGTGATTACCAGGGTAGGATCTGCAATAGAATGGCTACTGTTCTTTATCTGGTATCACAGAACAGCTTCTCTTACCTTCATTTTCAATTGCTTGAGCCTGAACAGGCCACTCAGAATTTGTGTGGTCTCAGAAAGCAAGCAAATTGCATTTTTGGAGACATCTAGCAAGCACAGGTTGAGGGAACTGGAGAGAGGAAGGAGACTTCTGATCTGGTTATTCTGAACGTATAGTTCCTGTAGTTGAAGAAGGTTCTGAATGCCTTCTAAGGAGTCCAACTGGAAACATAAAAATAGAATTAGAAAACCCTGCATTATATGTTAACAATTAAATTGCAGCAGACTATCTCCTCTACCCTATTTATTCAGACTTCACTTTTGGGGATTAAATTACCTCCGGCTTCTCTAGAATGAGGCAATAAATAATGATTCCCTGCTGTTTAAACAGTTTACAGCTATTTAAATGTACTTATGAATCTTACAAGCTTTGCATATATTTATCTCATTCAAACATTCGGTACTGGGTTCCTGAGAAACCTAGGAACATACAGTATAATGAACTCTGAAGTCCATACAGTATATGGCCAGTTCATCAGGTGGCTGTGATTCCACAAGACCGAGCACCACTGGGATTGGGTGGACATGCGTCAGTCAGGGTTTAGTTTTAAACAACCATCTTTTACTTTTCTTGTCATGTCACAGCTTTCTACACAACAATATCCACTGCGAACTGACTACAACCTGTGCATTTACAGTACTGAGGTGAGAGCTTCGTTTCTTCTCTAAAGGATGAAATGCATGAATAGGATGCATTTTGCTTAAAGAGGTGAGGGGGTTTGAAATAATCAGGATTGTTGTGGAAGCTATCTTGGTTCAGAAAAAGGGTTGGATGAGATTCTTGTTTAGATCAGCTAATAGCAACATAACAAGCTTGTCATCTTTCATACTCTTTTTCATGGTGCTGGCTCCACTATAGGTGCTGCTGGACTTGCAGTGCTCAAAACTGTGAGATGCAAATGGCTCTGACAAGCGTGTATTTCACACTAAAGCAAGCTTTACACTCACACTACCCCACCCTCACCACAAACCAATAAAAGGGTCATGGGGAACCGTGGGGAGTTAATTAATTGAGTAGGAAAAAAAGTTAATTTATAATTAGTAATTAAAAAATTGGAAAGGCATAAAACAAAATACAATGGATGATTTTTTTTCTGAAAATCAAACAAGAAATCTGCAGTACACAAAATGCAGTAACATGTCCCCCATATACTGTAAGTTTTTAATTAAACATCATTTTGTATATTGAAACTTATAATAAAATGTGCATTGAACAATCAGTACCTTTATTATTCACATCACAAAATCAATATTCATTTACAGCCTTCATTCTGCTTTCCCCAATATAGTACAATGTTTGCAATATCAAATAGAAAAGAGTTGTCATTAAACTCAATATCATTTTATATAAAAAGTTAAACAGCACAAAAGAAACCCCAATCATCAGGCAATTTATTTTCCACTCAGGAAACAGAGACATACTGAGACATACAGTAAGTCAGTCTGTTTTTAATTGAGAAAACAAAAAAGGTATTTAGATTAATTGCTATGGTTACCAGTGCTACTTAGTTAATGGAAGAGTGATCTTGATTTCTCAAAGGTTTACATAATTCCAATTTAGCTACTTTTTTGACAGTTATCATTAACACAACTATAACCTCGTGAAAAACAGAGATTGCTCATGAAATCTCAGAATACATAATAAATAAATTGTATATTTAAAGCGCTCTTTCCTCCTCAGTGATTGAGGATTAAGTCAAAAGACTGTCAACACTGCAAATTCAAAATTATTTTTGTTTCAATTTTGAAAAACAAAAAACTGGATTAGAAACAACCAAATAAAACTACAGTAAGTTATTCATGCAGTACCTTGTTAGAATTGATGTGCACCTCCATCAGATTACTGAGCACAGGCATGGCTGTAAGAGTTCGTATCTGATTGTGTGAGACATTTAGAGTTGCTAGCTTCTTGCAGTACTGTAGGCCCCTCACATTGGTAAGGATATTATAACTGAGGTTTAGCACTACCAAGTGAGGTAGCACATTCACTCCAGGAATGCTACAAATTAATAAAAATGATGTAGTTCAGTATTGATCCTGGAAGCCACTACCAGAAAAACAATAAAAAACCTACCATTCATGAAAAATAATTCATCAATCCTTATTAATAATGACTTTTTACTTTTCTGTATTGTCTTCAATATCGTAGAGCAATACATACATAATTCAGCTGAAGTATTGATGGATTTGTCACTAAAGGCTTACATTGTCATACGTTTTTGTTAAAACTTTGGGGGAAACTGAAAATTACTTAAAAATTCCAAATCAATGTAGATATTGCAACTGCAATAAAAATACAACTGATCTTAAATTTCCTATGTGGCATTTTGCCAAAGATCTGTTTAATGTGATATTTTTTCATCACGAAAAGGAATGCACTGGAATCATCATAACATTTGTTCATATGTAAAATGTTTCCTCTCCAAAATCAAGCCCATGTCTACAGAAGGCTTCATAAATGTTACAACTCTGTAAGTATCTTTCTTAAAATTGACTATTTCTGCATTAACAAAACTTCCCCCCCAAAAAACTGTATACACATTATTCAAGGTAACAAAGACACACTTTAATCTTATACAGTATATAATCTTGTATTTTGCAACTCTAAATCATACCTAATAACTCAAAACCAAGTGAACAATTCTGAATACTTGAACATATTAACCATTTCAGAGCACTGACGAAAGATGGAATACTAGGATGATAAATGAGACACAAACAACTGCATTAGGAATGCAATTTCAACACTACATTTCAAATGACTAAGTTGAAGATGAAAGTGGAGAAAAAAGCCCACACAAGGCAATGACAATGTCATTGGAACAAACATCAAAGGGGAAAAATATTGTACAGCACAAAATAAAATGCTAACAATAGTTAAAGATAAAAAGGTCAAAAACATCTGAAATAAAACAAGCTTCGAAAATGTCTTAATGGCTCTACTGGTTATAAAGATGGCACAGTGTGTCTGTAAAATGGACCACTGAAAAAGCAAAAGGTCTGTATAAAAAAGTATGAAATTCAATACAAACGAGGTGCTAATTACCAGAAGGAATCCAAATAAAAGCCAAAGTCAATATGGGATATTGTGGAGCCCACAGAGGAACTAGGACTTTATTGATTCCCCTTATTCGTAAATATTTTGCAGTTAAACAAAAAACACTGTAACCAGTACTGTACCTACCTTTTTAAGGCATTAAGAGATGCATTCAGTTCACAAAGATTCATAAAAGGAAACAGAGCTTCACTCTGCAAATCATCCAATTCATTCAGGGAGACATCGAATTTAAGAATTCTGCCCAGCAATAGATGTAAAAAAACAAAACAAAAATCAATTCACGTCATTTCTAAATTTTGACTTATGTCTATCTGTGAATTCCCCAAAACAGAACTGGTCGTAAGTTCCAAAAGTACCAAAGCCACTCTGCTCAGGTCAGTAGGGTATGCGATGAGATGGGGAGTCCACTTGACTTGCTCATGGGGGAGGTCGTGGTATCCAATCAAACCTGACCGGCGCGTTTGGGAGGTGAAGGAGACCACAGAACCTGGCAACAACCACCAGGACCATGGGGAGAACATCAAAACTCCACACGTAGCTGTAGGGGCAATGGATTCGAACACAGGGGATTGTGAATGACTGCAATGCCACACCCCCGTATCACCCTCAACCCTGGTGGGTGATACTGTATGTAATGCATGTTAACCATAAGAAGCACGCTTTTATGAAAGGGAAACATATTGTTCCATAGTCCACTGGACATCAAAGCAACATGCAAGATGTCATCTGTATGTCATTCAGGTAATGAGATAATATATGATTCTGCTTATGAATGAAAACAAGAACTTAAATATTTCCCTTATGGAAAGAACAGACATTGCGAACGGGCTATCTAAACCTTTTTTATTGTATAGATTTTCAATGGTATGGCTGCCCAAATCATTCATCATCAAGGCATTTCTAAAACATATGTAAATATTGTAGGTATCAGTCACAACACGGCTACATTTAGGACAGATTTCCAACCCCCCCCCCCAAACATCCCCCCCTTCCTCACCGACAGGAACCTGGGTGATAAATAGTGTGGGTTTAGCATTGACAGGGTGGAGAGAATGGAAGAGCTCCTTCAGTTCCAAAATTGCAAAGGCTGCTAAGATTCCTACATCCTGCATTTAGCTACCAAAAAGAAGAAGAAACTGCACCACCCGGACAGTTCTTCTTTTGGGCAATCACTGCATCAGAAAGAGAACTCCAGCATGCTGGTGTCCGTGACCAATCGCATCAAGGTCATGTCCTGCCAAGATCTGTATGAAAGCTCATGTACAGCCATAAAACATGTCACTCATGTCACTTTCAGGATCTTGATCATCCCCAGAACATTCTGGGGATAGGGATCAGGGTAGTGATGTCTGCAAGCTCCTAGACATGATCCTGGCATGGAGACAGTTGTTACTCAGTGGCCATCAGGTACTCAGTTTGAGGCAGAAGTGTATTTCAGCAGTGTAACCTCAACTGAGCAGCCTGTTTTTATTATCCACTCTGCTCGCCCCTTTAAGGAAGAGGCCCAGTACAGGTAAACTAAATATTGTATGTTCTGCCTCGTCAACCCTGGTGGGTTAGCAGTAGCAGGAGGGACCACCCTTAGTCAAAAAACACACAAAAAAACAGAATCCCAAAGAACCAACCAACCAAACTGCCATAAGGTTTAGGTTTAGGGTGCAGTAAGACGTCAACAGGCTGCCTTTCACTATAAACTAAATTGTAGAATGGATTCAATTTTCTATAAGTATTTTAGTGGGAGTCAAATCAAGAAACTTAGTTGAACTATATTCATTTTTATAATAGAGATGCTATTCATGTAATAGAGACCCTACCATGTGGTGTGAAATGTAAAAAATACCACCCAAAAAAGTTGTATTTTATTTGGAATTTTAAGCATTTTTTCTCTTTATAAATCAGTTGGAAGTGGGAAGAGATCTTAATGCCCAGATAATGCTGCAGGAAAGGCATAAGAGCTGATTTTGACCAATGTAATTTTAGACCAGAATTTAAGGCTAAAGCGTATATAAATTACACGTGTAGCACTCTGCATGGCCCAGTCCACTCACACTGTGAGTGGTCAATTCGAACAAGTCTTCAGATAGATATACAAGCCAGTTATGAAGTGTCTAGTCATATGAACTACAGTATGAATATCTGCCTACAGATATGAAAGGATGGCTCTGTAAAAGTGCCATAAACCCCATATAATATCTCATCTGTGGAAGCTGAAAATGATTTCATTACAAGGCTTCATCCCCAAGATTCCTGCAAAATTAAACTGCAGTACACCATGAAATTATTAAGTCCTTGGCTCCTTGGTTCATCCTCGTCTCACAGAGGGGCTTTAAAAAACAAGCATTACAATTAAAACGAAGATGTGCAATATTCGGAATTGTGGGGCTCATAGTGGAAACTTCACATTTTTCCTCATATCACTTGCCTACATCCCAGCTGAAAGTACCACCAATGTGCTGGTTTCTTGAAAGTATTCACACCACTTGTACTGGGGGCTTGGTCAAAGTCTGTGCTCAGGAAGAGAATACCCATTGGTAATTGCCAATGCTGTTTTTTTAAACACTAATTCATATAAAGTGCTATTTACCTTTCAGGGTTTCCTGTGACTGGCCACTGCTCTCTGTCAAAAAAAGAAGATTTAGCATATACCCATGTACAGTATGTGCCCAAAAGGAAAATGTCAAATTACTCCTGATTTTCTGCTGCTCTTCATGTCTGCTATGCAAGGGGATTGTGAATATTTTTATTTGTTGAGTGTATAACAATAGAAAAATACAAGGAATATAAAATGAGGAGAGACACGTGGGATTATGTAGTCAACAATACTGAAGATTTATTATCCCAGATTTTCCATTTTCATACTCTTTTAAGAATCCCTCGGAAGTAATGGAGTGGAAAGAGACTTCACAAGCCCTGGAACTGTTCAGACTCGTCTCTCAGATTGACTTCAGCGGGGATTTTAAGCACTGAATGCTCTGTTAATTTTTTTGTAAGCAAAAAGAAATGTGATGAACTTGTGAAATGTCAAAAAAGAAGCCAGGGTGACAGAAGTCATTCTGAATTGAAAGGTGTTGCAGACTCAGTAGGTCACATGTCTGGTTATTTGGTGCATATTTGGTTATTTGGTCTGGGTATTTTTTCAATTGTGCTGGTTTGAGGGAGATGTCTGAGAGATGGTATATAGAGCCCTGTCTGTCAATAAACCGCACATACTGTATGACATAAGTGTATATAATTTATAATAATTGCTTACACTTATATAGTAGCTTTTCTGGACACTCCACTCAAAGTGCTTTACAGGTAATGAGGATCCCCTCCACCACCACCAATGTGCAGCATCCACCTGGATGATGCAACGGCAGCCATAGTGCACCAGAACCCTCACCACACACCAGCTATCAGTGGGGAGGAGAGCAGAGTAATGAAGCCAATTCATAGATGGGGATTATTAGAAGGCCATGATTGGTAAGGGCCAATGGGAAATTGGTTACACCCCTACTCTTTTCGAGAAACTGGGATTTTTAATGACCACAGAGAGTCAGGACCTTGGTTCACATCTCATCCAAAGGACGGCGTCTTTTTACAGTATAGTGTCCCCGTCACTACACTGGGGCATTAGGACCCACGTGGACTGCAGGATGAGCGCCCCCTGCTGGCCCCACAAACACCTCTTCCAGCAGCAACCTCAGTTTTTCCAAGGTGGTCTCCCATCCAGGTACTGACCAGGCTCACACCTGCTGAGCTTCAGTGGGTTGCCAGTTGTGAATTGCAAGGTGATATGGCTGCTGGCATATGGCTATATGTCTCATCATTGTCTATTAGTATTTACCAGATGCAAAACTAAAACTTGAATTGGATGGATTACGTATTTGCAAAAACCATCAATGACATCATGAAAGGTCATATCTCATCTAAGAAATGCATGGTCCAATAGGGAATTAACATAGTTTCTATTATATTTTTTTTCAAGAAAATCTGAGAGTTGTATGGATCTTCCTCCAGATTTGAAAAATCATCCTGCCCAAATCACAAGTTTAACGCTTCTCCTCAATCTCAAATTTTGAACTCACCAGTTCTGTCTGCCAAATGCCTCCTCCTTCTACCAGAGGGAAAGTTATCATCAAGCAATGAGTTTGTATTTTGACACTGTCATGAAAGTTGGTGTCAATTGGTACAATTTAAAAAGTTGGATTTATTGGAAGGATCAATATTACTTTTTTATCACATTTAACAATTGTATTATAATGTTCTTGCATTTATGATTTCTATATTTTTCATTAGGTTCACTATTCAGTACAAAGCATTTCTCATTGTAAATTACTTCAATATGTCAGCAGTTGAAACCACTGTACATTACCTTGGTTCCGAGCCGAAGGCAAAATCGAACCTTATTCTTTTGAGACGAGACATCTTCATATCAATATTGAAGTGTGGTCCTTCTGTTTTTATATTCCATGTGAAAGGCAGCATTTCAATGACTGTCCCACGATCCTCAACATACTGACGGGTGAGCCTCTTTTCCATTTCTACTATACTGTGCCTGTCAACATTCAACACACCTACTTAGAACAAACTCACTTAAAACTTGCAAACAATAGTACACAGATTTTTGTCTTGTTTTCCAAGCTTTTTAGATATTGTGTACACAGTGTAGTGTTAGGTAGTTCTGATTCACACTTGCTGTACTTTCTCAGCTAGTAGGTAACGTCTCACACAGCACTGATGGGAAACTGTAAAATGTATTATTTAAAATGGCAGTTTAAGTGAAAATGGCTGTAAGAATATTAGAAACCTTACAAACAAGAGGCATCTATTCAGTCTATATGGTTTTTGAGTATAAGTAGTTAATTTGTCCAAGGATCTTATCCATCAGTTTCTTCAATGGAACCAGAGTATTGGCCTCCACAACATGGCTGGATAGCTTGTTCTCCACAACCCTGTTCTCAGTTTAAAATGCACTTCCAAGTAGTTTCTATTTGTGACCACTGGTTCATATTTCTTTGTTCACTCTGAAGAAATCCACTGGATAGGCTTTTGTTAATGCCTTTGAGAATTTTGAATATTTGTCTTACAGTGAAGGCTCCATGAACCTAAACATAAACTCCAAAACCACACGTTAAATCACTATATTTCCTCTTGCTTTCCTGGTGCAGAAAAGATTGACTGAATGATTGTGGATCAACAATGGCTTGACTGCACTATACAGGTTAAGAATGACTTGATTTGGCTGTTCAGAGTTACCATGATCTAACGGTATACTGTAGATTAACAGTGATTGTGCAGAACAGCAATAGATTAATATGAGAAATAAAAAACACTATTCAGACAACTGACATTACTGATGATTTGTGTAAAAAATGTGCTAAACAATTAATGGAATTAATAACTCAATCAAAGTGTAACGGAAACATTTTGGAGTTATTTTAAGAGTTTCATTAGCTATTTATTCATTGACACACATATTTCAGTGATTAAAAACATATAGCACTGCTGGATTTCAAAAGAATCAACGTAATATCTTGTACTTTTAAAATTAAGTTGGGCTAGTACATTTCTGAAGGAAGACATAATTTGTAGACAATTTCCATTGTAGAAAACCTTAATGATGTTAGCCCAACATTGCTCTTTTGATAAATTTGCTCATTAAAATACTGTGATCATGTAAATATTGCTTTCTTGGGTTAACGTGCGCTGTAAAATAAAAAGGATAAATAACACATTAAGTGATACTGTACTGTACTGATCTCTGTTTATTCTGTGTTTTTCCCTTAGGGCAAATGCTTTTTGGCATTCATCGGATTTACAGTTGACAATATGAAGTTTCTAGTAATCCATAGTTTAGTCAAGGTCAACAGAAACCTACTGACAAAGAAGTAGGCGTCTTTTAATTTAAAACCATTTTACCTGTCTTGGAGATCATGAACGTAGCCCCAGGCTTATTTTTCTATGCTTGTTATCTAGAGAACCTAGTTGCTACAACAGAAATCTCTTTATTTCTCCACTCAGCCAATGAACAGCACTGCATATTTGCTACCCTGTGTAAAGTAATTTGCACGATGTTTGAAAAAGACTACACTTCCCTGAGTGCTCACTAGCAGGCGGAGTCATATTTCGAACAAAGAGGGCGCTTACTGACGTTGCTAGGATTTGTAGTTTATATTTTACGGGCATCGTTTCTGAAATGGTCCAAAAACATACAATCCCCAGTGCTCTTTGCGCTGACCCCGGAAGAGTGTGGTTTTTAGCCGGTGGACGTGTCTTGCACGAACAACGAATTGGTTATTCAGTGTTGTTCATTGTTGCTGTTTGGGTTTAACTAATATACTGTAAATGTATGAAAATAGTCGTAGCTTTTCGTTGATTTCCTTATATACTCTTTAAATTAACATTTCCTGTTGTTTTCTACACGATGAATACGGTATTTGCTATTGCTTTAGTTTTTATCGGCTGTTGCAGCAATGTGGTGTTTTTGGAACTTTTAGTAAGGTTGGTACCTAATACTGATGCACTCAGTACAACTTCCATTCCTTTCTTGAATTCTCGTCTTGTCAGACTGTCCATATATAATCTATTTTTTTATCTGCAAAACGAAAGGTCTGTTCGTGCTTCATGTTGTTGTCCTTTTCACTTAAGTCATATTAGAACGTGGTTTTTGTGATCCATGCCCATACCTGAGTGTTATTAATAAAACAAAATAGTAAAACGAATACAAATGTAAGACTTGTTAAATGCTTTCGTGTCTTGATAACTGTGTGGTATCGTATTTCTTGGTTTCATGATTTTGGTAGTGTAGGGATTTCAAAATACACGACCCTACTAGAGTAACAGTTCGAATGAACAGTTCATTTTTATACCTCTGTATAACTTATATTAGTGCTTAGGGAAATAATAAAGAAAAGACAAGGACATAAAGAGTACAGTATGTAGTTTAGGAAGCATGAGCTGTTTCTAGTTGTTACTAATGAATAACCTTCCCACTGTCATTTACAGTCTGAATATAGAGCGTATTTATATTTGCTTTTGTGTAAACATTGATATTATATGCCATTTTCCTGAATATTCAGTTCTTTAATATGTTTCATTTTAGGGATTTTCCAGGATGTGGAAACATTGTGACATTTGCACAATTTGCATTCATTGCTTTAGAAGGTTTTATCTTCGAAAATAATTTTGGAAGGAAGAAACCAGCTATCCCAATTAGGTATGATAACTTGGTACTAAAAAAATCTAAAAACGAAATGTTTTAATTTGTATATATATAGACCCTCTTGACAACTGAGTGTTTATACTATAATTATGTGCTTTAGGAATGTTTCACAAATACAGTACAGAAACAGTTCACTATTCTGAATTACAAGAGTAACACAAAAATGTCTTTTTCCAGTGCAGCTTTCCTTGAAAGTACAATTTAAACAGTGTATTAATATTGGGATTGATGTAATATTGTTACATCAAAACATGCCTAATTCAACCGTATAAGAGATTAATTAATAACTGAAATAGATGTGTCTCTAAGACCGTTATCTGAATGATTGCAGCAGAAATACTGTATAAGTATTAAACTATGTGTCCTTCATTTTTCTAGAAACTATATAATAATGGTGACCATGTTCTTCACTGTAAGTGTGATCAATAACTATGCACTTAACTTCAACATCGCAATGCCACTGCACATGATATTCAGATCTGTAAGTACTGTCTTATGTTTTATTTTATTTTTGTTGTTTGCTCAAAATTCCAAGGATTAGAGAACACCAACAATGTGCACTTGATCCTCGTATTTCTTGAGACGAAGAAACATCAGTACATTTGGATATGGAAGCCTGGGTCATGCGAGATTTTTGTCAGTGCTAGTTCTGTCTTACTGTATACCTGAAAAGTAACAAGCTGGATTTCTCATTTTGTTCTGAAGGTATTAGTTACACAAACTATTTAACCAACTTTGTGAAGACTTCATCCTTACATATCAGACAGCTTCATTTGCTACAACATACAATGATGTATCACGGATTGGTGTCGACAGACTGTTTTAAACAGACTTACTGTTTTCATTTTTCAATATTTTAATTAATATTGATACTGTATGTACTTTTCACAGGGATCCCTAATCGCAAATATGATCCTAGGTATTATTATATTGAAGAAAAGGTATGCTTGCATTTTTTGCATTTTTCTAATTGAATTAAACATGGATTAGTTTAAGTTTAAACATTTCTGATCACTTAAATTGTTTTAAAAAGTGACACATTCTGTGTTTATATTTGCATTTATACCTCACTTTAACCAAGGAAGCAGGAGTTCAGTCGTGTTGAGTAAATATATTAATGTTATTGTGTAGTGTGACATTGTTCAATTCTGCATTCTCAATCCTTCTTAAATACAGGAATACGTGCTAATATAGCATAAAAATTGTTTACAAAAGCTTTGATGATATACAAGATCCATTATATTTTGTAATATCTTAAATCTCCAGTTATGTATTGAAATAAATGTTTTATCTTTACAGGTACTCAGTTACTAAATACATCTCTATATCTCTTGTCTCACTGGGGATTTTTATTTGCACTCTCATGTCAGCCAAGCAAGTGGTAAGAAATAATTGAGAAAATCCCAGTTTTCTTAATATTACTGCACTGTCAAACCTTGCTTCTATCGAAAGCTACTATAGATCCCTAGATCCAGTATCTATTATCAATCAAGCAAACTAGATGGGCTGAATAGCGTTCTCTTGTTTATAACAAGATAAGCTCTTATTTAGAATTTTCTTTTCTAAATGTTAAAAGACTATGTGTGAAAAGTCTGTTTTCAAATCCCTTAAAAAAAACACTGACCGCTTCAAATTTAGCTACCATTTTATTTTAATATTGAGTGATAATTATCTTCAGATATGTATAAATAAGATTTGCAGCACGAATAGTATCTGTTCTCAATTTGATTCTTTTTTTTCATTTTGTTCTGCAGGCTTCACACCCAAACTCCAGTGAAGAGGAGGGTTTCTATGCCTTTCTGCATTGGCTTTTCGGTATGGCGGAACACTTTGTCTCCATTTTGTAATTGTATGTAGAGTAAAAATTAAAATGCGGTTTGTAATCATCTCAAGGGCATGCAGTGCCCTGGCCCTTTAACCCTACACCGTTCCGCGTACCTAAAGGGGAAAAAAAAAGACTCATTTTAAATGCATGAAACTACTTGTGTATCTCTTTCTGTCATTCCGCAGGTATTGCGATGCTGACTTTTGCACTTCTCATGTCTGCTCGAATGGGCATCTTTCAGGAGACTCTTTATAAGCAGTATGGCAAGCACTCCAAAGAAGCGCTGTTTTACAATGTAAGCATCGGATAAACAGTTTAAGCTGTATTACATCACAAAATGTTTGCCATTAGCAAAAAGTATAAGCAAATAATTTGATTTCATGTATTATAGTTACACCTGACTCTTGAATCCTTTTAATTGCCTTTTCAGATTTTTTTTCATCTATTATTTTATGATTAAGCAATTAGAAGCTCACTGAATTGTACACAAAAAAAAATTGAGGTAGAAATTGAGGACTTTGGAGTCTTTGATTTTATGTGAAGTTTTAACTTAATTAGTGGAGGTAACGTAATTTTCTGTGGCAGCAGCAATGCCTTATTTCTGTATGGCAATTTGTTTTTTTACATTCACAGCACTGCCTTCCTCTGCCTGGTTTTCTCCTGCTGGGAGCTAATATCTACAACCATGCTGTGCTGTTCAGCCAAAGCGGTAGGTCAAATTGCAGCATCTAATACTGTTGCGGGAATTAAACAGGTTTATTCCTGGGGCTCGTCCGTCTAAATTCATCAGATGGGAAATTCTACAAATTGACTTGAATTGACAGATGTTTTTTTGTGTCAAGAAAATACCGCAAAGTTTTTCCCAAAAAATGTTTTTCATGCATGAATGAGTTCATGCATTCTGGTCCCTGGATGCAATGCTGATTTCAGGCATTAAATCGATATTAATAGTAAATTGGAGGACTTAATTATTTTTTGTGACCCTTTTTTTAAATTATGTATTTACAAAAAAATGTAAAAAATACAATCCCACCCCAGAACGAATAAGCACCATGTAACCCCTCTGTGGTCTGTGTCAGGGAAGGGAATGTAGGAAGCTTGAATTTATACTTTTCCAAATCCTGTCATAGGAAGGTTCTTCATCTGCAACATTTAAATCTCTTGCTCTAGTTGTAACAGCTGCTAAGGTTATGAAGACACTAACACAAAAGCAGATGAAGAGGAAGCTTCTCACTTTGTTTTGTACCCCAAATCTAGGAGATTGTGCGTATGGTGTGTAAACAGCCTTACCTCCTCGGGGGGGACCCAATAGGCAGCGTGTGTACCATATTGGAGATATAAGTTTAAAAAAAAAAGAGGACCCTGGAAGTTTGAATTTAAATTGCAAGTCCTGGAATAAGGAAAGAACATTCTAGATACTGTATATGATTCATGATGTAGTCCTGCAACTGGCAACTGGCAACCCACTGTGCTCAGCAGGTGTGAGCCTGGTCAGTACCTGGATGAGATGACCTCCAGGGAAAAACTGAGGTTGCTGCTGGAGGAGGTGTTAGAGGGGCCAGCAGGGTGCTCCCCCTGCGGTCTGTGTGGGTCCTAATGCCCCAGTATAGTGTCTGGGACATTATACTGTAAAAAAGGTGCTATCCTTTGGATGAGACTGAGGTTCTGATTCTCAATGGTCATTAAAAATCCCAGGACATTTCTCTAAAAAAATAGGGTTATTACCCCATATTCTGGATAATGTCTCCTTTGGCCCTTTTCAGTCTTGGCCTCCTAATAATCCCCCATCTATAAATTGGCTTAATCACTCTGTTCACCTCCCCACTGATAGCTGGTGTGTGGTGAGCGTACTGGCACATCATCCAGGTGGGGCTGCACACTGGTGGTGGTGGAGGGGAGTCCCCATTACCTGTAAAGTGCTTTGAGTGGAGTGTCCAGAAAAGTGCTATATAAGTCTAAGGATAAGTGTTATTATTCTCATTAGAAATAGCTGCTTGAATTCCAAACTGAAGCAGAGAAAGGAGAATGAACTTCATGATGATTGATAAATAGGAGTCTGGTCTTCATCACGTAACAAAATAACCACATACTGTAGAATGAGGTCCAGGTGGACCCAGGTGGTTGATGTATATTTCATTTGGTGTTTTTACATTTTTCATTCTAAATTAATAGAAACCAGTTTTGTGTTCTTTTGTATTCTTTACACATTATTTCGACCATTATTTTAACTTTGTGCTTTGTGCTGTAAATTGTTCAAATTGTTTTCTTTCCTTTTTCCCAGCTCCCGTTGAAATCCCTGTGATTGGAATAGTAGCTCCTGTAATGTGGATATATCTTTTAATGAATGTGGTAACACAGTATCCTTTATACTTTTTGGTAACATTAGGAATGAATTTTTCAAAGGTATTTACTTTATACAGTTTCATCATAGGAGTGATAAAGTTCCATTTTCCATTCTATATCTATAGCTTTTCAACCCGAAACATTACAAGTGCCCTTGTTTACCCAATGTGTAGTATATTCGGTAGCTGTTTGCCCAATCTTGAAACGCATCTAAATATTTTTAATTTCTTTTGCTGTTTCTACAGACTTGTGAATCAACCTATTTTGGTATTTAGTAGTACACATTTCACTACTATTAGTGAAATTAATTAACAGTGCCAGAATCTAGATCAGCGATATAAATTAGTAAGTGTAGTTGTTCTCATACATATCCCTGTGGTACACCGTTAACTACATTGCCCCAATGGGGACATTCATTCCTTATCAGTACTCTGTCTTTGATGAATCAATTTGAAACGGAATTCTACTCGAGAATTAACTTTTATGAGGAACTAAATGAAAATCCATCAGAAAATCTAAATATACCATATCTTTGTCACATAAGCTCTGTGTGCACCAAAAGCTGTTAATTCTTCAAACAATTTTAGCTTTACTATAGAATCCTATTTCGGTATACTCCACATACTCCATATTTCTAATTTTTTTATTTTACATTTTACACAGCTTAGATATTTGATTTGACCTCTTCTCCAGTCTCTTCATTTGTGCTGCAGAGAATAAAGAATGTGGTTCAGGAGATGTAAGGGAATAAAGGACCTGGCACTGATGGCATTTCTTTTGAATTGTTTTTTTTTTTTTACTTTTTGTCCAAAAGCAGTTTTTACTTAGAGTTTGTTTTGTAACTTCCATATTTCTACGTTTATTGAATAATTACTACACTTGAAAAAATGTAATAATATTTGATTCTTTGAATTGAACAATTATCCTACAAATTGTGAGTGCTGGCAATGTACAGTACAAGAAGGGCATCTGAATTTCCTTAACCATTCCCTTCCAGATATATCTGTATTCGAGGTGTATTTATTCTCACGACTGAGTGCACCTCTCTCACAGTCACACTGGTTGTTACCCTCCGTAAATTCATCAGTCTCATCATCTCGATAATATATTTCAGAAATCCATTCACAGCCTGGCACTGGATTGGAACTGTAGTAGTCTTCATTGGGACACTGATGTACACAGAAGTGTGGAACAGTGTCAGGACTCTTCTCCATGGTGAAAAGAAAGACGTGAAAAAGGAATAAGATATTGTGGAATTACTCCCAACTGTAGCATTTCTGTTGTTCTGTGTACTTAAAATACTTTTCTGCTAAGTAAATATACATTTTTAAGTTGAATTTAAGTTGACATGAAATTTTTGATGAAAAATGGAATCACAACCAATACCTTCCTTCCTAGATATGTTTACACTTACATAGTTAAAAGTAAAGTTTTTTCAAATAGGTGACGTTTTTAATTCTGATTTCTTCATTTGAGGATTGCAAGAGGAGCACTGTAATATTTGGTACAAAATAGAAAGGATTGTTTAGGTTGCCCCTCTCTTTATTCTACAGAAGCTAAAAGTAAATGATAAAGATGCCATTGATACCAGGTATGTCTGATAACTTGTTAAGCTTATATCTGGTATTAGGAGTGCTTCTGCACAGAGAATTCCTTTCAAGTTATTGATGACCAGCAAGGGTAAGGAATGGCACCACCAGGTGGACAAGACGGCAGTTCAGCCATTTCAAAGTGCTTGGCCTCTCACTCATTCCTGCTTCCCTCAGGAGCAATGGAGGCCAGTCTGGGGTCATATCTTGTTTTGCTTTCAGCTATAATCCGATCCTTCCCCTTCTCCTGTATTATGCTTGCAAAAGTAAAGCTTTCAGCGTGGAAGTGTGGATGTTGTTGGAATTTACTTTGGTGTTTTTAAACTCCCCCACCCCCCTTTTTTCTGTAGGGGATGGTAAGTGCAGTAATTTATTTGCTAGAGGCAATCTTTCCTTCAGAATCTTTTTTCCCTTTTTCATGTTTTTTTTGTATTACCCTAAGCCCTCTTTTCGTCTCTGCTTTCCCACATTCTCCATGTTTTGTGTGTGGACTGCTGTTATGTTCTGCTGTCTTTTTTTCCTGCTAGTTATAATATCATACCAGTGAGCGACAGTCGCAGTGGAGTTCTGAGGAATGTAGCTCTCACCCTGCAGCACTGGGCTTCCATCCCTTTCAGATGGTCTCCCTTTCTCAGTGCTCAGTTCACCCCGGGTGTCCAGGCGCATTCTAGCTCTATCAGCAAGGGATCACGATGTCCTCCATGTAAGTCAGTGGAGCTGAAAGTATTTTACCCCTCTTTTTTGTTCTGAAGAAGATTAAAGGTTTACTGTCTGTTGTGCAGGTATTAAGCTGCTAGATACAAACAGCCAGACAAGCTGCTTGTGCTGTATGTCAGGAAGTTCAGACCTGAAGCTAACCCTTTTCAAAACAGAGGCTGTTGCATTTGACTGGCCATGCAGTAGTCTGCATTCACATAATGGCTAGCCTCAACTAAATAAGGGAGGTCACTGTCTACTCTGTGGGAGGTTTAGAAAGAGGGCCCATGATATTGGTTACACCTGTACATCTCTGCACTGTAGTCGATGTCAGGTACGACTGCATACTTTGACAAGGTCCCGCCTCCTGAATGTGTGAAGTTTATTAACTGCCTCTCTTGGTGTTAGTGTCCTCAAGGTTGTATAAGAATTTTATTCTGTTAACTAGCAAGGTTGTTCCTTAACTCTTCACTGTCAAGTATTTTTTGCTTTCTTATGTCTTCTGTGGTCCTCTATGACTTTAAAGGAAATGCTAAGCTGTGTAAGTTACCCTGATTCCCTGAAAGATAAGACAACCATTGATGAACATGATGGTTGTGTAGAACAAGGAGACATGACACTGGACGGATACTAAAGAGGGAAGTGGTACAACACATTCTGCCCTGACTAAATTCCACAACATATTTGCACAGTGTAGCCCTGCCTAAATTGCACCCTTAATTCAGCTGTTGAGAACTAACTTCTCTGCCTAATCTACTGTGTGTAGTATGACCGTTGGGTAAAATTGGCAGGTTATGCAACACTAAGGTGGATGCTGCATATCGGTAGGGGTTTAAGTGGTGCTTCTCCTACATGTGTAGTGTTTTGGGACCCAGAAGTGTCTGATGGGACATATTTAGTGCTCAGCAAATCTAGCCATCTAGTGCAGTACATCACTAAACTGTATGGTCATCTCCTCTTCTGGGAAACCAGGTTTCATGTTTTTAACTTAAATGTTTTACAACAGCTCATACAGATTTGTAATACATTAGAGTCATACATTTGCATTGTTTTCATGCAGATAGTGCCAGCATTCCAAGGAAGCAGTTTGTTCATTCTACTGCCACTTGAGTTATAACTTTTAATGACTTTTAATTTGGACAGTTAAATTACAAAGTGAAAAAGTCAAGCTGTTGTACTTGAAATTGCAGATACAGTATACTATAATCCCTTTTAGAGCTATTTATACTTTACACAGACATTTAGAAATTGACCCTTGATCATATTTCTTAGAACATTATTTTTTATAAGCAGTAATTTACTTTTGTAAAGCACTGAAGGATTCTTAGGAGATGTATTGTAATCAAGACATCTTACCTTCCATTTAATTAACTATTGGTAAGTGAAATTTGCAAAATTTCAAAATTGTAAAAACAAGAAAAAATGAACTACTACAGGATGTTTTTAAAGTAAGCCACATATTAACCAAGGACTCGAGTGGGGTGGTTAACATTTTTAAAACCTTTATAGAGACCTACACAGATTTTAATTAAAAATAGAAATGTGATTTTTTGTGTTTTTAGTAGAATTTCAGTTCTTAAGATGTATTTTCTGATACATCTGTAATTGTCTACTTTTATGAGCCAAGCTTCCTAGACTGTTTTCATAAAACTAGCAATATTTAAGAAAACACTTCATCATAATTTTCTCATACATTATATTCTGCTGCTTTGTTTCTCAAAAATTCACATTTTAGGGGGAATTCTTTTATGTTGGGACTTACGGAATTACAAGGAATTGGTATATGTAGTAAAATGTTGGGCACTTGGGAAAAGAATGCACCATTTTGCCATTTCACTGTGTGGTCTAACTCATTTATGGCAAGATGTTTTTTTACATAATCTACAGTTCTAAAGAACTTTGCATAGCAGAAAAACACTTTTTGATACTTGTTTTCATCACATTATATAAAATATAATTGCTGATATAAAAATGTACTGTAGCTTGGTAGAAAAAATAAAATTGCCACAGCTGGGTTTGCTCTGTGCATTTTGTGAGACAGCAAAGGTGTCTCCCTGTGTGTTTCTGCCCATTTAGTCCATTTCTCGGGAGTATAACAATGCTCTGTTAGTATCTCCCACATAACGTTAGTGAAGTTAAGGGTGAAGGACTGGGGAGGTTTGTGCATGGGTTTTGAAAACCTCTATGTTCTGTGTCACTGGAGACATTCACTAGAATAGTTTTTGTTTTGAGGAATAAAAAAGGCACCAGGAATCATAAAAGATTCTAGAAACATTTCTAGTAAATGTTGAAATTACCCCTAAATAATTACCATCATATATTTTGGGAATTGTTTAATGTATGTTTGCAGAATTCTCATTCCTGCTTAGTGTTTTATATGTGAAGTCTACCTATTATAGATGATGAGAGTATTGGAAAACAGTTACATTATCCTAATACCTAGACCTTGTAACCCTCAAACATGAGATGGGTTTGAGCTAGAGTGTATTTTGGATGTATTTTATACTAGATATAAATAAAATTGCTAATAGTTGTGCAGTTATCAAATATATAAGTACAAGTATAGGTTTAGAATTGTACAGTAGACACTGCTTTTCTTTGTGTCTTAGCATTATTTTGTAATTGTAACGCCTATAAATTAAAAACTTTACATAATATAAACAGTATGTTATATTAATATAGTGAATTATGTGTTAATATAATTCCAAAGAGCATTTACATGGAATACATTTTACTGACAGTTTCAGTAATTGTGAATGATTATAAAAAAAGTACTGTATTAGAATTTTTTTTTAAAAAGCTAATATTCCAAGCACCTACAGAACGATTTACCACAAGGTTGTCCATTCCTAGTTCTGGATTCTTTAGCCAGGAGAGCTGGTGGTTCTCCAGGATTTCATTCTGACCCAGCTCGTAATAACTTAGGTCAGGCCATTACTGGCTCAAGGGGACTAACTTAACAAACTCTTCCATCTCTGTTGGGTGCTGCTACTTTAAAGAGACACTACATATACATTGGTCCTCAGGACCAGGATTGGACAGCCCTGTCTAGAACTTGGTTAGTTCTGTATGCTAAGGTATTTTTTTTAATTCAAGTACACATTTCTGGCATTTGAACATAAATGATGTGATCATTGTTTCATAGGGCTTTTTAGTTATATTTTAGGGCTGATCTCTCAGGAAGCAGGCTGGTTCTGCTACTTGATTAAAGCTCACACTGTATCAAGGGGATACAGAGCTTGCATATGTTTGAGAAATGTGAATTGTCATATGGTCTCAAACTAAATGTGTAATTTATACAGTTTGGTATGTTTGTATTTGTGGTTTTCTTCTTGTTTTAAACGTAATGTACAAATGTATTTCATGAAATAGAAGGAAAACCTCTAATTATTAGCTCAGAAATCACAGAATGTGTACAAGATTTAGTGACCTTTAAAAATAAATTTTTAATAATGCAAAAATAAGTCTAACTTCTCATCTTTCTCTTTAGAGATGCTGTAAGGAATCATTAATTATTATTAACAGAATAATTGAAATTTCTCAGGAAACATTCCCTAAATCACATTAAAATGACCAGCAATGATGTCTGTGGTACTCTTGTCTAAATTGTTAGTAGATTAATTAGTCATTCTTCAAAGTACGTTTCTCCTAGAGGTTGGTGTACCATCATCTAAAATCTTAAGTGAGTTAACCCAACTGCTTCGGTGCAATGCTGGGCCACAACTCCAAATACTTTGCATTATATGGTGATTAATAGTGCAAGAAAGTATTAATGCTTTGTTTTTTCTTTGTACTTTTGTGCTATTTGAACAACTCTACATAAACCAGTAAACCAGCTTGTCACAACCACAACCTTTTGACACCTCATGAAGGCTCCACAGCCGAAATGTCTCTTTTCTTTTGCTTTCAGCATGGAATAAACCTTTACCTGTTCCTTTGGTGCTACCTACAGTACTTAAACTTCATAAACCAGTAAAACTCATTATTTTGTGTTTCTGAAGTTAGTGTAATGGGGCTTATTCAGTACTGAGCCTGAGATGACCAGCTTTTGGATGCAGCAGACTTCTGTCCTGTAGGTGCCTGTGAGCATGTTTAATCTCATGAGGGCAGAGCTGCATTCATCACATTGGTGCCATCACCTGAACTCACACCAGGGTTGCTGAGAGGATAGAACGAGTTGAGAGGAGGAGCATATGTTCTGGGGCAAATTGCTGACGAGTGTTTCTAATTACACTATCTTACCATCTTGTAAGTACGGTATTAATTACACTAGAAAATAAAATGCCATTTCTGGATTGGAAAGAAATTAAATTTAATGAAAGACTTGACCTGGCTTATTATTGATATTCTTCCTCAAGTCAGCTCTTTAAAAAAATTATCCTAATTTGCATTTGCTCCAGCATTTGAGACAAGAAAATACTAAATTTAGCAAACTATCATTGATCTTCTGTAAACCGTTTGAGAGGTACTATATGTAATTGAAATTTAAAAGAGAAAGCACCTCAGCTGTACTTTGTTTTGGTACACACTTGAATGATTAAGGACAAACTGCCTTCTTACTCTGTAAACTCAGAACATGTTTAATGTTCAAAGGTTTAAATTAAAAATATGCAAATAGTTATTTAAAAATAGATTTTATTAATGCTGTTAAATTTTGTCAGTCCAGATTTGCACATCTCTTGTGATATTAAACTAGTGACATTTTCAGGACTTGTCAAGACTGTAAGACTAAAAGGAATAGTTATGGTTGTCTTTCACGTGACATCTCAGCTTTTTATTTGTACAGTATAATTAAGGGTTCATTTTTTTTTTCAAAAACGGGGCTTTATTGCTAGCTACAATTATTTAAAGGTAAAAATAAATTAAATGTATATGATCAGAAAGAGAGAGCCTTGGTGTAGTGATCCTTCTGAAGCAGTTCTGTTAGAATACTAGTTTTTGGTAGAGAAGTGGGTATATATTTAATAAAGCAAAGAGAAAGAATGTTTTTTTTTACTTTAAAGAAAATAGTAAATCTTATACCTTCAGTTCAGACCAAAAACATGCTAATAAAACAGCTGGAAAGGGAACTGAAAACCTTAAAGGGGCATTAACATAATCCTGAAAATATTTTGGCTGAATTTAACTTAATCATGAGAGGTTGAAAATGTGTTATCTCCAGTATCCTGACTAAATTCTAATCTCTGGACTGCATAATATAAATTTACCCTATAAATGTCCTAATTAATTGAACTGGTGAAGCAACTTACATCTTTCTTTACCTAATCTGTTGTTTAGAGGGGATACTGCCATATACTGTACTGTGCTGTGTGTCACCTGAATGGATACAGCACTGCAGCTGGGAGATGAATTGGGTCCCCTTTGCACAGCAGTTTAGATTGGGAAGGAAAATTCAGAACTGACAGTTTTTAACAATAATTAAAAACTACAGAATCATTGGAACATTAGGTCACAATATTTGAACATGACTAATTATTATCTGTTCTGAGCAGGCAAGAATATGATTTTATAATGATTCTTTTATCTCTGATTGCTGCTGCATAATATAAAAAGTTATGCATGCCAGCATTTTCCCATTATATTATCCTATGGTAAACGTACTTTTTTGCAAAGCCAAAAGGAATAACTACTTGAAAAGTGGAAAAAAAATACAAAGTAATTATATTAGTAAAAAATAATTAAGCCAGTTTGTAAAATTATTTATATTTTCTCTCTACTTTTCATTGTTTCAAGCTATCAAACTTTTCTCCCCCCAATTCTGCAAAGTGTTCTATTTTTTTTCTAACAATGGGAAATTACTCATTTCCCTCCCACGTGTTCTAACTTTTCACCTAAGCTAGCCTGTAGGGGTCTGGGCCTCTGAGCTCCGGCGTCCTGATGGGATGGGAGGGAGCACAGGTTTGGTGTTGGATCCGGGGCGTGCGAGAAGTAAAGGCACCCCAGGAGAGGGTGACTTTGGATGGACAGATTGCACGTTTGTCAGCTCCCCGCTGGACCCTGGTCTTGGAGTGTCTGGAGTATAACCTGAATTAATTTGATCTGTGGGAACAGAATATGATAGAATTTGTCATTTTTTTGGCTTCTTTCTATATATTCCAGTAAACCCTCAGTTTAACAGACTAATAGAGGGAAGGGGTGTCTGTTAAACCATGATTTTTTCAGCCCAGACCACACTATTATATGAGAAATATATAATCCTTTCTGGATCTTTTCACTTTTTTTATTTTAGCAATTGCTTGTGAATATATTGTATAGAACTGTGTTTGCTAAAACAGGAAATACAGACAACACCCATCATAAACAACTGGCTTACCTCTGTTGGGCACCATTGACAGTCCTGAATTTTAAAGGAATATTTGTACTATTGGTTTAATTTTTGTATATTTAAACAAGCTTTTTTTACATATCATTGGCATTTTAGTGTATTTTATAAACTTGTTGCTAAAACATGCAGTATAACCAGCAATACCCATCATGAACAGCTTGGCTCACCCCATACTAGTTGCCCTATACTTTGCCACTTAATGCTGAGAAAGCCCAGTATTTTTGATTTCACAGACAAAATACTCCTCTAGCAGATTTTTGTCAATCAATCACTTTAAATCTATTTAAGTGAAGTCTGTCAAACCGAGGTTTTACTGGAATTAACTGGTCTGTTCATGCAGTACAACTCACATAAAAAAACATCATAGAACTGTGAAAAGTACTAAGAGTGCAAAAGTGCAGTGTTATAAACAAAACCTGTTAATATTAGAGCATGGAAAATTTCATAGGATATCCTATAGGAGATCCATCCTGTTCAAGGTAGTAGGAATAAACCAGCACAAGGTGACTCCCATAATTGCTGAGGACTGTAAAGCAGTAGCAGAAGAAGGCTCTCCAAGAACATAGTTACAAACAAGAGTTTATTATGCCCATTGAGCCCATTTCTTAATTTGTCATTTGATTCAACTGTCTAGCAGTCTTGAAAGAAATCAAAGAATCAGCTTCACCTGTATGGCTGGGTAGTTTCTTACACGTGCCCAAACTCCCTTTCCTTAGTATGCCTTTTTACAGAAAACACTCCTGACTTGGCAAGAGTCATGGTTATTGGTACTGCAAGAAAAAGGCCACAGTTGGTCAGTTTTCTGTGCATTCCATAATGCCTCGAATGACACCAGAAGCAATGGAGAGGACCATTGGCATGCTGCAAGTAGGCATATCATGTACCAGTGTTGCCAGACACTACGGAGTGAGCCGCTCAACTGTGTCCCGACTGCAGAGAAGGTTTCGGCAGACCAGCAGGACAGATTACTGTCCAAGATCCAGTCACACTTGGGTGACCACACCACAGCAGGACCAATTCATCAGACTGGTCAATCTGAGAGATCAGTAGACACGATGCCCACATCAGTGACAGGAGAATGAGGCTCCCTGCTGCTGGCCTTAGAGCAAAACGACCTGTCAGAAGCCCTCTGCTCACACCTCCTAGACATCACACCCAACTCGCTTGGGCCAGACAGAGGCTGTGATGGACTCGTCAGCAGTGGCATCAGGTCCTCTTCACGGATGAGTCACTCTTCTGCCTGTTCTACGCAGATGGAAGGGCCAGTGTGGAGGAGGTGTTGCATTTCTTTCTTACCCATCAATATATATATCCCAAGTACACAATCTTGTTTGCAAACCTGAATAACTTGAATATTGTGAATAGATTACTCTTTAGATGTCCTTTACTCACAATGTTTACAAAGGCTAGTACTGTACTGTATATAAATACTAAAACTTTTTATTATTTTGTATATATTATTTTTTTTGTTTCTTCTCTAAAGATTGGTAATGAAAACAACTTTTCCAACAGTCCTTTCAAGGGTATACAAATGATTAAAAACCAGTTCTCCAAGTTGGAAAACTATTTGTAGGGAACCAAAGGTTTTGCTGCACTGTCTACCACCACAACTGCACTAGCTGAAAAAACAAACTGCAAATTCCAGGTAGCTTGTGTGGATCACAGTGATTCTGGAAACATGGGGAAGAAAGTATAAATGAGTGATAAGTATAGGTAAGAAATCCTACTATAAAAGTATCATTGCTTTTTTCTAGCTTTTTCAGTTGTTTATGATTTCTGTGCTTGTTCTCTTTCTCATTCTCTGTGTTTCACACAGGGCCAGTTTGCATCTGGGCATGACAGTCTAAGCTGGCGAAGCACACACTTTCAGCTGAGTATGTCATTAACCTTACATGGTAGCCTGTCGACCACTTGGTGGAGTGGAATTTTTTTCAACATTTTCAAATGTTGAGTTTGGTTCTTAGCAGCATTACCAGCCTCAGCAGACAGCAGGTGCTTATTACAGCTTTGAGCAAATAAGATCAAACCACTGAGAGTTTTGTTCTGGCACAGAGAATCGTGCATAGCAAGTGTCCTTATTGAGGTTGGGAATTTATGTTAAAGAGTACTTCTAAAATAATTTCCTTTTTTGAATTCAGATAAAAAAGCAAATCAGATTCTGTATCTGCAGTCCATAACAAAAAAAAAGTAAGAGTCACTATTCAGTCATTGACCTTACATTTCATGCAGTTGCATTTATTATCACATCAAATGTCCAAATATTTTTTTATCTTGAATATCTGGAGACAGATAAGCCAAAAAATGCTACAGAATATTTGAAAACTTCATATACATTTGTACAAAACTAATCTATGAATAAAACTGATTTAACTAATTTACAAGTATTGTGTTTTTTTTAATTTGTAAGGTACCAACTTAATGTTTTTTTTTTTTACATTAAGAAAAATTATAGTAATTATGGGATTATGAATAGCTATTAGCCCTGGTCATTTTACAACACTAACCAGCAGAATCATTTAAACAGACTTTTAATTCTGTTTCACATATACGTTTTCAAAGTTAGCAGTCACAGAATGCTGTAAAGTGCTTATTAGTTACTGTATGTCAATGTGACATAACTACCCCCTTTTGAATCTATTTAACAAGCAAGAGGTTCCTTAATGCTTAAAATAAAGAAAAAATACTGTTCTGATAGGAAGACTTTCTTCAGAAGTGACTTCCTTGTTCCTTTGCAGTTGCCCACTCCAAACTCTTTCTCCTACTATACCTACAGTAGTATACTTAAGAACCTGAAACATTAATGGGTGAAAATGAACAACTAACAATTTCACTGGAGTGGACATCCAGAGGTTTCAAATAAAAGATCTCAGTAAGTCATTGACATTTGGCCATGAATCCTGCAGGGTGTTAATAATATGATACTGTAAACGGTTAAAGTAATAAGTGGCAGAAGAGAAAAAAAAATTGAATCATTTCAGTATTATTTTATAAATGTATATATATTTTAAATTAGATTTCAGTGCAGGCCTCAGATCAATAACAATAACCATTTCAGACAAAAATATTGAATAACCTTTATAGGAAACAATATTATTCATTTATTTCAATAAATGGTAGGTTATTAATTCACACTGATTGAACATGGATATCTTTTTGAAATGTATTGAACACTGATTCACCCAGAAATGAAATGGCAAAGATTCTAAATGAATTAACCAAGTTCAGGCAGTGGGTAGTTATCCTCATGCTTGCAATTTCTTAGATACGTGTGGAGCTGCAACGTGTAAAATAGCCATCTCACCGCAAGAAAAGTCAAAAGAAACCGTGCAGGGTCCTCATTTCCATTTTAACAGTAAAATGAAAGTAGCAGTGAGATTAGTTGATCAGTTGAAAGCTGGGAGATTATGAAAGTATTAATAATTTCTGGGAAGAATATTCACCTTTCAGGCATTCAAGGTCACTCCCCAGTCTTGATATATCTAGTGGTTCCACAAGAAGTTCTTTCTCCGCACTCAGGCCTTTGGAAGGAACTAGAGTTTCTTCCAAAGAAAATGCACCAGCTGAAGACAACATGGACAAGCCAGAACTTGCACGGGATTCCTCTGAGCTGAAGCAAGAAAAGGGAAATGCTAACAGTTATATTTAATTATTATGATAAGAATGTACATCTGACACCTCCCCTAACACTTGACAGTTTCTGAAACAATTCTCCAGTATTCTCTTGATTACTCCATCTTGAAAATATGTTCACCCAGCAAACATGCATAAAAAGCACCTTTTCCAGCATGGTATAAATAAACACTGGAGTGTGACAGTCATTTTGTGCAGTATGATTGTGAAACCCATGAAGCAAAGCTAAATAGTTTGCAATGTGCAAACAGACATCTCTTACACAATATGAGCCTATTTTCACAGGATGCATTATCCTATCACAAATCACAAAAAAGACTTTTACACCCAAATAGGCTTTCAATGAAAATATGTTTTCACTTTTCAGAAAAACAGTCAGCTCATGTGCATTAGTATAAATGGTTTTTGTGATTGCTCTCCTATGTCTGCAGTTTGGGATTGTTTTCTTCACAATTAAGTTATTTCATATTCAATGATAGCTAGATGTTAGTAAGAAGATAATTAATTTTTAACAGCTTAGCTACAGTATATGTACTAAGAAGCACGATATGACACATATCCAGAAGGTAACTTAGATTTTTCTAATGGTATTTTGATTCATTTCACACAGTATAATATAAATAAAAATGTTCTCCCTCAGGTAAGCCTCTTTATAAAGAAACTTTCTAAAAGTCAGTAAACATGCGCTTCTTAGCTGCAGTAATTTAGTTTCTGTCTTCAGGGTATCATGCTCATGAAAAACTGCTCTTTAACAAATTGGAATTTGTTTTGATTATTGCAGTTTCAGCTTTCAGAACACTAATCAAGACTGATGCAGCCTTACACTGACTTTAATTTTGTTAAGTCGTTTTATGTTCTGTGACATACTTTCCTCACAGCAATACCAACTCATAGACTGAAAAGCTGAGAGCCATACCATGAAAAAATATGCTTTTAAAGACGTCCCAGCTCTCTGACATACCAATTCATTTTATGCTATTAGAGAACACATCTCTGTACTGTAAATAAAAACATCATGTGCCATTCTCCATAGAAGGCTATGAATATTATAATTCTAAATAAATATAAAAAATAAATCTTAATCTGTTACAAGTACAAAGCTACACAACGGCATTAAGTCCAATAATAAACAGATTATATTAAAAACTTTACATACGTTCCAAAAAACTAAAATAACAAGCCCGTTCCAAGTAAAATAAACAATTTAAAAGGACACAGAAGAGGATATTATCAGGTTGTGATTAAAAACCTGGCAAATCCTTATACTTTTGCTGTTACACATAGCAAGACCTTAATGTGTAATGACACACCACAGGCCTATATGGAGACTGACCTGCTGGCCAAACTGCCTGCAGAGAGACTGCGATTCTGTGTGATGTTGCTGGCACTGGGCACCATTGAGGAGCAGGAGGCTGGGTCTACAAGATGCTGTTGTGGTCCTAAAGATGCAGGCGCTGTAAGAGGACATCTAAAGGATGAAAAAATATAACGTATAAACAAAAAAAGTACTAATTTGAATAGAAGAAACACCAACATTGCCTTAACACCAAAATCGGAATGTAAGAACATTAAGAAAGGTTCCAAGTGAGATGAGGCCATTTATTTTCCCCAACCATCCTGCTTGGATTATAGGAGCAAACCTATCTCATCCAGCCATTTACTGAAAGAAGCAATGTCATTGTTTTCGACAATGTGGCCGTTTATAGAAGTGTTTCCTGCTGCACTTCAGTTTAGTTTTCATTGGTGTTGTCTGGTTTGCATTTCAATGTGAGTTAGGAAGATGTCTGTAGGGACAACTCTGTCAGAATCTTTTTGTATACTTGAATTGGGTCCCCTTGTAATCTTCTCTTATTTGTAATCTTTCTTTCTTATGGTAAACATGTACCCTTTGTTTTGAAATCTTTGTCATAGCTTTTTTTAAAATTTCATTTAGACTTCTAACTAGCCTTCAGTAGCAATTAAGAGAATTTCTTCTCCTTAGTTCTGAGTTGGAAAATTACATCCCTGTCCAAATTCTCCGGTCTTCTGACAGGTCTCTTTATTTCTACTCTCAACAAGACTACAAACTGTGGGTGACAGCCTTCTCCTAGTGTTCTCCACTTAGGCAGTGTAATACACTTCCCTATGAGATCAGAAATTGTGACTGTTTTCAAATCTCTCTTTGAAACTTAATTGCTGAAACGTGAAGTCCTATAGATTTTACTATACAGTCCGTTTTACATTGAAGTACTGTATTTAGTGCGATACCTTTCTTAGGATAGCTCTGTAGTTCATATTCCATGACACTTACACTGATGCCACTCACATCCCACAAAATATAACACAGCAGCTCTTAAACTCAGAGTTACATTCAGTGATAACTCCCTCATTGTCAGAAATCACAGAATACTGTAAAAGTCTAAGGACAAACTTGAAATGATTAATCAATTCTCATAATGATTTAGCAATTCCCATCAATTCCATCCATCCATCCGCATACCTGTATCTAATAAAGGTTTGCAGGGCAGCTGGAGCCTATGCCAACAACCAAGGTACATACTGTAAGGGACACCAGTCCATTGCAGGGGAGATAGAGACACAAACATGCAAACACTCACACCAATTTTACCAGAAGCCATTTAACCTATCAGTATGTCTTTAGACTGTGGAAGGAAATTAGAGCACCCACAGGGAACATACACGAATATGGACATAGGGAAAACATAAAAACTCTATACAGATAGCACCCCAAGTTTGGACTTGAACCCAGGGATGCTAACCACTGTGCCACTGTACAAATCTTCCTGTCATTGATTAATAATACACATTTATATGTTTATAAGGCCTTATTTTTTAACAAGCCTGAAAATGACCCCCTGCTGAGCACTGTAGGAGAATCCCTCTAATAAAATAGGTGCAAGTTAACCTTCTAATGTAAACATTCAATACATTAAATTTCTATTTAGAGAATGTGAAACAAAATATAGTTTTATTTTAAGAGGAATTTATTTTAGATACTAGGAAGCTGCATGTGTGATTCCAGCCCCTTAGCTACAAAAACGGTTTCTAATATTATTTTAGGACAGCCTTCCCTGCCTCAGTGGTGAGCTGAGCTGTTTTCACCTGTCTATTGCTACTATATGTACTAGAAACTGATCACAGCTGTCCCCCAAGGCTGTGTTGCACACTTGTTCACATATAATGAATAGTGATGTTTTTTGTAAAAAATGCAACCCAAGGGGAAAAAAAACATAGACATTAAATATCTAGTATCTGACAGATTGCTCCTTTCATCACTTGATCATGGTCAGTACCTAAACACACTATTTATAGTCTATAACATAGTCTACTCTATGTTAGAGAAAATGCAGTTGAGCATACAAATTATAATATAATTGCACATTATAATAAATGCAGGATCAAAAGGATAAATCATGACGCAATCCATTGAGAAGCTACTGAAGTGACTCTGAAGAAAAAAGGCACCCTTTCATATACTGCTAAAACCCCAAACCAAAACTCAAAAACATATCAGGTTAAGTACAGTACCAACACAATGTGATAAGAAGCAAGTTTAAACATATCACAAATTGTAAAATTAATTACCATATGATTTATTTTGCCCCACAGTTTATTGTTATATCCATAGCCAGACAAAACATTTTAAGCATGCAGACATTTGAATCATGTATGGTTCTTAATGTTAACATGCTAAGCCCGAGTGAGCTTTCCTGATTAACACAGCCTCTATGGGAAAGTTTTTTAGAACAGTCATGATACATTCAATGATTTGCTCCCTTTCTTAAAACGTTAGATATGAATTCTGATATCTGGCAAATGTAGTTCACATGCAGGAATAAAGACAGAGAGAGGGGAAATTGTGACAATAGGCTCATGACATCATTGTTTAAACCATCATGATACAACATAGAAGATAAAGATCTGAGTACGTGAAAGAGTCATACTAAAAATCTATTAAACATTGTCAAAATGAGAGGTTTTTATTATGCTTAAGATATTTACATATAATTCCATCTCTTTTATGTAACTATTTTGTTCTCAGTGATTCACAGTAAGCCAAAGCCCACTCTGGCAGTATCTGCAGTATCCAGTGAATGTCTATACAGATGCAGGGTTCACATGGAAATACAATACAATGAAGGAGACAGGCTGTAATCAAACACAGGACCTAATTATAAAGAATGGGTGGGAGGGATTGTTAATTAGTGGGGCTGAAATATTTAAGTCAAAATTATAGTAAATCTTAACACCAGCTTGAATGCCTCATCTTATATCCAATCCTCTCCCATTAGACCTCTAACCTTGACACCCCAATGCACTCAGAAGCGAACATGTCTTCATAATGGTATATTAGACTTTATGAGGGTAGGAACATTTTACAGACTAAATAATCTTCAACAGATGACCCTGCCTTTTAAAATGATTGTAAAAGGACGACAACCTTTAGTTCCTAACAAATGCAACCAAATTAACAAGAGCGACAAACTGGTAGATTTAAAAAGGAAACTTAGTTCCACAAATGTGAAAATACAACTTCCTTCCCGAAACGCAGGTGAAGTCGCCGGAGTTCTGAATACCTGACTGGTATACCTGACTTCAGCATGCTCACTCCTGTCTTATAGATTCGAACTCATACAATTTTCTTGACATACTATATTTCTGTTTCTTGATATCTTTTGCATACTATATTGTGACATTGACTGCTGGTCATTTTCTTGAAAATTCAGTCCTGAAAATTGGTCCAGCCATTAAGCCTTTACTCAGGTCGGGTTAGGATCTTACTACTGCTACAGTGCAAACATTGGCCCTCACTTTTCCCAGTCATATCAGACAAGTGAGAGAGAAGGATTTTGTCCTTTTTAAGTTAAGGGATAATCAAATTACTCATTTATTAAGATCTCTAAATAACATTTAATAAAAATCCTTCTCCACACACAGATTACCTTGTGAAGAGCTGAGTGTAAGTACTAGGACTCTTTCTCTGCAGAGCCTCCCTGACCGCCTGCTGTCTTCTCCGAATAGAAGCCTCTTCCTGCATTGAAGTGGGAAAAAAAAACAGAATAATTTGTAAGATTTAAGTTTCACATAAAACCTGCTGGGTTTGTGTGGCGTCTGAAATATCAAATATATTTCAAAAGATTTTGAACTTGCTGTAAATTTCACAAGTTCAGTTAAACACAACACAATAAATAAGACAAGATTTTAAGCAGTGTGAGCCCTTCAACCTCCCTTTGGTAATATGAATCATAATAAATTGTTGCAGGTGTGTGTCAGAATACCAGACAGTCTCATAGCAATTGGTGTTTGGAATGCATTTTTATTCTTCAGATTGCTGCTTTTCCTGTGATAGAAATGATTATGGAATGTCACAATGAAGCTCCACCTAACACACATGTAACAGATGTTTCTTTTCCATACAAAAGCTGTAAAGAGTTTTATCTGTGATAGCATCAGTTTTGAATTTGAATGTCTTTATTTTCTTGGATTTATTTTGAGAAATACATAAACTATCAAGGATTTGTATACATTGTAATATTTCCGTTGCAAAAAAACAGGAAATATTTCAATCTTGTTATGGTGTAAAAAACATCATTTTAATGTTGGACTAACCTGACTGGATACTTACTGCTGGACTTTTCTGAGCTGAGAGCTTAGCCTGCACCTTGACAGAGTAATTCCTGCTGGCTGGGTCAACAAGTTCATTAGCTCCAGTTGAGTGAGCATAATTGCTGACAGTCACGCCACAGGGTGAGTCTCTCATGTTCTCTTGCACTGGAGATTCATGGGGCCAATCTTTCAAAAAACATTAATATGCTCTTAACATCTACCATTATAGCACAGAGGGTCACATTTTAATGTTTAAGAGTTCTCTCAGAAGACACGTTTTATTTCCAATATGAAAACTATTTTATATTTCTCATGCCTTCAGATTAAGGGGCTTTCCTTCTTATATAAAAATGTGAAATTGCCACATGGAGTTTAGTGGTTGGTATAGGCATAGTATAGTAAAGAGCATAAATTATCAAAAAACAATTGTGTGAGATCAGTAGTAGTGCAGCTGGGTTTTTTCGCAAGCTGTTTTCAGGTGAATAAAAAAATAATTTTAATCTTCAGTCTTATTTACAGCCACTCGTTGACCATGAGGTCCTTTCACTCAATCTCAGTGGAATTACAGTACATTATGAATTGATGAATGGAGCTCTCAAAATACCTCAACGAAAAATGTTATACAGCTAAGTAAAGAACCTTAGAAAACAGTTACTTTCTTTCTGCAATCACATTTGATCCTTACAAAACATGTTTTATGTGGCAGACCAGAAAAGTACAAATATTTCTTAACATTACCATCAATAAAATTAGGATTTATCTGTCAGAAATCTGTACATTTCATGAGTTTTGTTTTTTTCAATTCTTTCTAAACAATTAAGATAACACAAATGAACTGTGGGGGATTTGATTTAAAGACACTGTCTTTTTCAAAATATGTTCACAAATCAGACCAGCTGTGTGAGATTAGACCTGCTGGGCATCAGTTTCACTCCATTTAAAAGAATGCTCACCACTGTAGGCATCCTCCACTGCAGCTTTGGCATTTTCAGTGGTCGTTTGATTTTCCAGACCCAGGTACTCTCTGACTGACTGGCTCAGACTTACGTATGCCTCCACATGATCATCTGAATGAAAATTAATAAAAACGATTGATTCATTTACATTTAAATGCAAAGGTATTTATAAGAACGTAAAGAGCTTACAAGCGAAAGAAGGTCATTCAGCTCATTTAGCCCCTTTGCTAGGTAGCATTAAAAAAGTAATAGGAGTAAGCTGTGGTCATTAAGCTTTATTTATGCTTTATTCTATATTTAAAATAATATAGAATCTATTTTACTTTTAATATAAAAAGACACCTAAATTACCTTAGGTATAGGAGTTTACTCACTTCATCCACCACTAAAGTGCAGCACCAACCTGAGTGACATATGGAAGCCATTATGCTCCAGCAAAATGCTTCACTATTAAATTAAGGGAGGAATTTAGACAGGCCAGATTGTGCAAAATCAGACTGGAATTTAGCCAGGACACCAGGGGTTAACACCTCTTGTTTTATGAAAAGTGTCATTGCATCTTTAGTAACCAAGTAGTCAATACCTTGGTATAAACCTTAAATCTTGTTACTGTATAACTCATTCGAAGGATAAATGCAGCATGCTGTCCCCAGTCACCATCCTGGGGTATTGACTGCTCCACAAACCCAATTTGCAGCAACAGGCTGCTTTTCATTAAAGATTTCCAATCCCACTAATAACCAGGCCCAGCCTTGCTTACCCCAGCTTCGGAAATTTGAAGGAATCAATGCTGCTTTGCATATTAGACATGAAAGTTCATTGTAGGAATTAGCTACACTGTAGATATTGGATTTATTATTTTTATTTATAAAAGTTTATGTGTGTACTTCTTTTATTGTTCACCAAAGTGAAATAAAGTACTCTTAGGGAACAGTCTTGAAAGATATTACTTCTCTACAGCTCATTTCTATGTCTTAAGCAAGCAAAAAAAAAATCAAAATCAGGTCTGCAGATACCGTTCCAAAGAACTAATCTCCTATTTTCCTTACAATATTCAAGGGACAGAACATACAGTATGTTCTCAATTGTTGATCTTATATGTTCCATAAAATGTATTTATAATAACAGAAGTTCAGAAGGCAGGTCAGATCCTGATCCCAAACACGTCCTCTCACAGCCAGGACTTCCCTTCTAGGATCTCTCTCGCATTCCCTTTCTACACCCTTGCAGCAGCTCCCTAGCTCAATCCTCACAATGGTGAGGGCAGATTTGTACAGCCTGTCCTCACAGCTAGGCTGCCATTCCCTTCTCTAGACAAGACATGCCAAATACACTCTATACATTTAGTACTGTAGGTTTATCATATTCATTAGGATCTAACCGAACTACTGAAAATATTAAGTGAAACAAATGCAAATATGCACTACCAAAAAAACTAACATAATTCTTAATTTGTACTGCTTACATCCTTACTACTACTGAAAATAAAAAACAAATTTTAAATAAATAGTAAACCTTACCACATGGAATAACAGTGTCAAAGTATCCAGGATAATCCCTGTTCATTTTGATATAGGTGTCAATTCTGGAAACTGCAATCTCAATCTGGGATCTGCTATACAGTCCTCTCATTCTAAGGCGTCTGGCATATTCCTTCTTATCCAAGGGGATCAGCAAGATGTAACGCGGCTCAAAATAAGTATTCTTTAAACTCCGCACACCCTGTGATAAAAATCAAAGAAAACTTCATTATTGTTACATTGCCAGTATGAATACTTACAAAGACAACTGGTTCACACTGAGTAGACATCATATGGAATGCTGCATCCCAAAAAAAAAGGCAGAAAGGAAATTTCTGTATTTATTTACATTTCATCAATAACAGTCAAGCTGTCAGGCTTACAGTACCTGCTCTTGGAAGTTGTGAATCAGAATTCATTAACTTCAAACCTTTCAGCCAGTAAGGCATCTCAGTGGGTAACAGGATAAACATGTGGCATTCAAAAAGCTCCTGCTGTTTCAGTCTATTTCAGTTAACTAAGAATGAGGACAGTGCACTGGCAGCCCTCTTCCCATGAGTGCTGCACTTTCCTGCTGTCAAACACAAGGATAAAGACACCAGAATGTTGCTGGTGATTGTCTCTTTAGAGACAGACGTATATATATATATTTTTAAAAACTGGATTTATCACCACTTTTATTATTTATGCCCAGCCGATATGGAATCTCCAATCTTGTCAAAAGATCGTTTTACAACTATGGCTTAACAGCCACTCCTTTTACATGTTGCAGGCTCAATAGTGCCTTACAGTTGAATTACTACCTCCCTGACATCGCTGCAAACTCACAGGTACCTGGCATGTCACAGGAGTCGCTGTTTTGCCAAAAGCTAAGGAGACTCTGGCAAGCTAAAGTCCACCCTACCCTAGCAGTACTCTGCCAATATTTCCTCGCTGCTTGAGGCACTCCAATTATAGTTGACTCAAATCCACAGACATCTTAGCTATAGGGCTCAACCTGTGCTCTCAGCAAGAGTTTCTTACTGGTTCCTTTGGGAACCAGTAATTTGGCAGCCCCAGGAAACATATTCTTTTTGTATGTGGATTCTACAATATGAGAACCTGGCGTGGGGTAAACACAAGGAACAATAAACAATATAAATAATTATATTGATAAAAAACTATTCCATTCTTTACTCCCCTTCCTGTATTAATGTTTTCTGGGTACGTTTTTAAATATGTGATGAGCTTTTTGCCATAGAAGCATTTGTTTGTGCTTTTATATCCTTGGCTTAGATTACTGCAGCGGAGAGATTAGTTGAGACTTTACAAAGAGGCTGATGATCTGGGAGCTACTGTTCATCTAGACCAACCTTCTAAAGAGATTATTCTCATTATTTGTTTCTGTTCTGATTACATTCTTTGTCATTTAGATCAGTATTGATTCTTCAGCTATGATTGCCATTACTGCTAGTTGAGGAATTTTACAGGCATCGTCAGTACTACATGCATAGGTTTCTGGACCTAACTTCTGGACTTTTTTCCATCCTCAGGGAAAATGTTCCATCAATACACCAGGGACCTGGGACCTACAAATATATGTACAATATTACCATGGTCTTGAAAACTTCATCCATGTCGATCTAGAGAATCTAAAACTAACTTAGCAACAAATAGGGCTGTATCTAGAACAAGTGGCCTCATGGTCTCAGAAATGGGGAAATACAACTGCTTTTTAAACTACGTTACCATAGGGTCCAAAGGCACAGGGCAAGACCAGCAATGTGGTTTTTCACTAATGGCTTGCGAATGGCAAAGATTCTAATCTACAGTATCGCTGAATAAAATTCAAACTTTTGAACAGATAGTTCAAAGGTAGGTGGAAGTTCCCAAATGGGCAGCCTGATGAACTTAAAGAAGGTTTACACCATTCAGTGCTAGAGTACCTTCAGTATCTACCACAAAGGATTTCTTATGAAATGACTCAGTGAGTTGGCTCTGTTTGTTTCATCAAGCAGGGTCCTGAAAGAATCCTGAAAGAGAGAACTACTGCTGCAGCTGTTGGGTCCATGGGTGGGAAGCTGGACTAATAGCTTCTGCCCTCTGCAATGATGTAAAAAGCCAGAATTTTGCCTGGTCAAAATTTCAAACTAGGCAAGGCACCATGTAATGGTGGTCCCAGAAGAAGTCAGGGAAAGTGCTCCTGCAACCTACTCAAGCCCACCATGTCTTTCCCCATCAACAAGGTGTGTTAAGTTTTTAAGTCTGCAACCACATCAATCCCTATCAATAAGTGCCTAGATGTTTGCAGGCATGGGATCAATATTCAGGACGGGGAGCTCAGAGCACCCCATCAGTCACCAGGCACGTCTGCTCACCAAAGAAGAGCATGTCTGTAGGAAAGACTTTGAATACCCAATGGGTGTTATTACTTGGAAAGTAATGAAAGTCTTGATTCCTCTGCCTTAGACAAAAAGGCTAGCTTGAACACTGATAGATCATCTACACGTGCTCATATGCATATACAGTAAATATGATCAAACACATTTATATTACACATATTCTCGTTAAAGAGTCCTAGGTTATGCAAATAATTAATTATAAAAGTTAGAACAATTTCTAGTTTAGGATTTAGGATGTGAAGAGGGAGCATAAATGTGAAGAGTTTGACTACATACGAGTATAATTTATATGATGACCATTATGTGGCTGACAACAATAAAATACTAACTTGGGAAGGTACAGCACATTTCTAGTGATTTTATTACCTCTAGCTCCATGTGGACGCAGCAGGCGAGGCCCTCCCTGGCTGCACTCTCAATGGCTTCCCTGGCCAGCCCATAGTAATGCCCACCATATTTCATAGTCTGAATAAATTTTCCCTGTGGGAACAGGAGCAGAAAGATTAATGGTCTTTTCCCACATTAACAGTTCCAGAATTATAAATAATATGATCACAAAATATACTTTGTTGCTACTGTAATATGTTTTTACAATGACCAGCATTTTATGGTGATACCTACATCAGATACATGACACATTTTCACATCATCTGTACTTTAAATTTTCAGTTACAACTTTAATATAACTTTAATGTCTGATTTCCATTCAAAAGTTACACGATGTACTCCTTAACATGACAGGCCTTTATACAGAAATAATTTCCCCCAAATCCTATAAGCAAATATTTGTGCCCAGTCTGCCCTTGTTAGATGTACTGTATACTGGTAGCAATTACTTACACACACATTTGAAGTAATTCAAAGAAATACATGTAGATTGCGTGTTCATATTACTGTGATAAAACACTGCAACATCTTTTTTTTCTCATTTATAAATCACCATCAGGATAAATAACATAACATTTTGTTTATGGCATAAATACAGTAGATGTAAAAATTGTGTGCAAAACAAAACACAAGTCATCAGCATATTTTACAGTAATACAAAGGTATTACCTGTTCCTTATTGTTTCATTTTGTCATTTTGTGATATTGTTATATTTTTAGTTATATACAGTATGTTTTGTAAAAGTAAATATTTATGAAGATACAAATGGCATAAAGCAAATCTTGTATTATTGCTTCTACTTAATTGATTTGAGGATCTCAATCAAACATTTCTTTAAAAAGGCTTTCAGAGCCCTTAGCTTTCAGACACTTTTTGTTTAAAAAGTACGAAGCATTGCCAGAATAGAAGGTGAAGAAAAAATTAATATAGAGGAATTACAAATGGATGTTCTGTGTCAGGGCATGGTTATAGCTCTTCTACACCTATAATAAATTGTTTTATCTGTTGACATGCAGGTTTATATTAGGCATTGATCACATTCAAAGAAATTACAATATTTGCAGTGCCTTGCAAACATAAGCACGCTTCCCATGTTCCATTTTGTAGAATTGTTGAAAATGAAGTAAACACATTTTTAAGTGAGTATTGAATCCACAAACTGAATTACTTCTATGGGTGAAAGAAGTTAAATGTGAGTTAAAAGTGCAAAGAAAAACTCTAAATGAATATACACTAAAACCTTGGTATTCATTAGGATTAGATACCTTGTCTCCCCAAATGGGGATTTTGCGAATTAGGGCTTTTTTTGTGAATGAGGCCAAAACAAGCATTTCCGATGTAACATTTTTGTTATTGTGTTAGCATTTATTGGTAGTAAGTAATTTTGAAAATGAATGCTGAAAGCTTGGTCAAACTGGCAAACTGTTTCCCACCTATAGTTCAAGATATTGCATGTTCACAAAAATTAGATCTCTGTTATGATATTATGGCTTAACCTGTATTAGAATTCATTTTTTTATTCTTAGTAGAATGCATTTTTTACTTTTTAGATCCTGTTTTTATTGCTATGGTAAATACAGCACTACTGTATGTGTAATTTGTGACAGAACACTAAAGTATTCTGCTGAAAAACTGAGTGGAGTGTTTCTGCATCTCTGTAGACACTGGCACTGTCCCAGCTTTTTGGAAGCACTCTACAGGTTTACCTACTCCTAATAAGAACAGACCTAAAGCTTTCATTGACTTAAGGCCAATAGCTCTGACTCCATCAGTGATGAAGACTCTTGACAAAATAATCAAGTCACAGACAGTGGCTGCAACAGAGTCAGATCCAGTTTGCCTACTGTCCTCGAAGGGGAAATAGTGATGCTACACTTTTTCTACTACATGTTCTTCATAAACATATACAGCAGAAAAAAATATTAAGCTAGACTCATCAGCCTTTAACACAGTGCAGCCACAAATTTTGGCTGAAACACTTATCAGACATTTTAAATTAGAATATCAACTTATCATGTGGTTGATTAGTTTTCTGACCAAAATCTTCTTTTAAAAAAACTTTTTAATGAGTTGGCATCTGACTCTGTTTATACCTCTACTGGTTCATCACAAGACTATGTTCTTTCTCCCCTGCTTTTCACCTCACATACTGATGACTGTTGGAACAACTGTGAAAAATCGTTATACCATCAAGTTTCCTGATGGCTCTGTATTAGTCTCTCTTTTCTCAGAGCCTGGACAAACACAAGGACACATTCTGGACACATTTGTCAACTGGTGTGATACTTCTTACACCGAGATGAATGTGTCAAAAACAAAAGAAATGATTGTTTGTTAAAAAAAACAAAGCAATATAGTTCCCACAACAGACTGTGGTGGTATAGTTCACAGTTACAAATGCTTGGGCACTGTGCTTGACGATAAACTTAAGTTCACTGAGAAGACTGATGTAATTGTGAACAAAGCCCAGTACCACTTATATGGTCTGAGAAATTTGAATTCCTTTGGAGTCCAAAAAATAATTCTATTTAATTTTATTTTATTGCTCTTTTATCAAAAGCATTTTAACCTTTTCTTTTATCTGTTGGTTCACTTCACTTGATCAGAAAGACAAATGCTGCCTTCAAAATGTTGTAAACCTCAGCTCTAAAATCATTGGTGAGCCTTTAAGATTCCTGGCACAGTTTTATGTCTGGCAGATCCTGAGGAAGGCCTAGCCATCATTGCAGACCGATCCCATATCAGTCTTTTGAACACTTGCCTTCAGGAAAATGGGTTCGCTCTCCACAGTGCAAGACAAATAAAAAGAAATGTAGCTTTGTTCCAGAGGCCATCAGGCTTGCAAACAATGAATGTAAAGACATTTTATCACTATGATCTCTACTGGATAGAGCCCATCAACAAAAGTGCATGTACTTTAATATCTTCTTATATATTGCACACTGTTACTTTCATAATCATTTTTATGATCCCTTTGTTGTTGTTCATATATTTTTTCTTAGTAATGTTGTTTTATTTGGATTATTTGCATTGTGTGGTATGTTGCACTACTTGTTGCTTAAATTGCTCCCTTGGGGATCAACAAAGTGTTTTGAATTGAATTCTACTTGGTCTATGCTATTATCACAGCACAGTAATAACAGACAAGAAAGTAAATTAAACGTACAGCACACAATACAAGTTGAAATACAGGGGCTTGCATACAGGGGCTGGACATAAAAGTGGGTTTGTTGGCTATTACGGAGAGGAGGTGGGGGTCGAGGATGGAGATTCAGCAGTGTCCACTTACTTCCCACTCAATCAACTCACTCTCCTGCTTCTGCAGTTTGTCTAATTCTTATTCTATTTGTTTTTGTAATCCTTTTCCACAAGAGACACACAACAACTGAGTCTGTGATAACTTAGGGTACCACAGAAGTTTATTTTGTTATTTAACATTTCTTTTAAGTCAACAGAACCTATATATACAGAGGGTTCTCAAGTTATGCAAGGGCTTCATTCCGCAAACCTGTGCATATTGTAAATGTAGCGTAATTTAAATGAATTCTTCCAATTTAAAATAATGGTAAATGCTATAGTTGTGTTCCGCACGCGTACGTTTGACGTTTGACGTTTGAATGATGGGATGTGCCATACACTAAATACAGTACCTTCAATACATCAACTAGTAACATGTATAAAATGAAAACACAGTTCACACAGACATGTATACATAAAAATGAAAAAAATACAAAAAAATACCTAAAATACTAGTAAGCATCAGTTATGTTTACTGTAAAGGGAATTTGAGAGTGAGAGAAAATGCGAGAGAAAAAAATTCTCAACATCAGCATCACTGTGTACCAGCATTCCTAACACGCCAACGCGACACTCGCGCCATGAGCATCGGGCGGCCAACGGCGTAACTATGCGGCGCGCGTTATTTTGACTCACGCTATGTAATTTAAACAAAAATATACTTAAGGGTATATGGCGTTATTTTAAAAACCCGTATTTCAAACTCGCGGAAATGCGAACCCACAGTAATGCTTTCCTGATGGAAAAACATGTTAACAAAAATATGGCTTTAATACAGAGACTGATGCAAGTTGGGTGAAGTAGATTCACAAGATGAAGATGTGCAAATTGGAGTCTGCTTTTAGTCTCCTAATGCTCAACCTTTGAATAGGCAAATGGCCGTACATGTATGCAGAAAAAATCATTAATAATTTGCAAGAAAAGGCAAAATAGGAAATGTAGAACTTGCAGATATCGAGGTGACTGTATGTTAATTGCATAAGTATTCACTCCTTTGCTATGACAGATATAAATTAGTTCAGATGTGCAAAATCAATTTGAAAAGTACTGTGACAGTTTTCTGACTGGCCTCTGTCTAGGTCCAATAATAGTGATTCACATGATCTCAGAATAATTAACCCTTTCTCTGTGAGGTCTCTCAGCCTGGAAGCATATTTCATGTGAATTTCAAGATTTAATCATGAAAACCATCAGGCTTCCTTAACTAACAGGATATTTTAAAAAATCAAAAACACTGAATATCACTTTTAGCATGGTGAAGCAGATCATCAAGAAGTGAAACGGATATCACAACACCCAGACACTGCCTAGATTAGGGTGTCCCTCTAAAATAAGCAAGGAGGAAACTAGCAACTTTGAAGAAGCTACAAATTTAAATTTGATAACAATATGCTGGTGAGTCCACAAATGTGGCCTGCATAGCAGAGTGTAGGAATTTAATATTGGAATGAAGCCAACATACAGTAGCATTTAACTGCAAAGGAACAATTAAAGGTTTATTCCATGCTGAAAAAAAAAGAAGAGACAACTTTTCGGCTGTGGAGCCTTCTTCAGGTGTGACAACTGACACCTGACAAAGGCTCCACAGCCGAATCATTGTGTCTCTTTTCTTTTCAGCATGGAAGAAACTTTTACTTTTCGTTTGCAGCCTAAGCATGCTGATGCAACTACCTACTTGAGCGTCTTCATAGCATTTAACTTATATTGCAAACATGAGGCAAAAGGTTTTGTGGTCAGATAAGACAATATTGATCATTTTTGGCCTAAATATTATACATTACGAGTGGTACGAGCACAATATAGCATATCACCCACTCAGCACCATACAGTATCTACTGTCAAGTATGGTGATGGCAGCATTATGATATGGGTCTGCGTCTCATCAGCTGGCACTGGGAAGCTTGTCAGGACTGAAAGGAAAACTGATGAAAGCATGAGTCAGTCTTCAAAAAACCTAAACCTGGAATGAAACATCATCCTCCAACAAGACAATCACCCACAGCACAAGGTCAACGCTACACTGGCATAGTCTAAAAAGAAGAGAGTGAGTGTTCTTGATTGACGCAATCAATTTCATTATTTGAATCTGGCGTAATTCAAATCTGTGGGAGGAGACTTGAAAATTACTGCACGCCAATAATCAAAAATCAACCCATCTGACAGAGTTTGAATAAGTCTTTAAAAAAGAATGGTACAAAATTGCACCATCAAGTGTAAAAATTTTACTGTACATCTTTTGGTAAAGACTTACACAAAATAACTTGTACTGTAGATGTTTTTGTTACCAAAGCGATTTAACAAAATATTGATTCAGGGGTGTGAATCCTTATATAATCAACTTATTTTAGTTTTTTACTTTATTACCAACTTCTCCCACCCTTAAAAGTGTTGTGTTTGAATAGATCAAGATTAGATTAAAATATTCACATTACAAATACAGTGTGTGTACAACTAAGTGGATCATCACTGAAAGGAATTAATATTTTTGGAAGGCACTGTGTATTATCTTACTAAATAAAAATTGCTTCCATATTACAGTGCAATTGTTGGCTACCACGACAACATAGAAAATACATTAAATTAACATAAACAATTTTGATAAAATAATCATTCCAGATATAGAGACTTCGGAGCAAAACAGCATTAAACTTTGTTGACAAGTCTATACTGTTAACCACCCGTTGTTGAGTATGTGGTATTGTCCGTACTGGTAAATAGCAGTTTTGGAATCATTAGTTTTCTAAGGAATCATTTTCAGTATGTAAATGTGGGGAATTAGACGTTTAGATGATATTGCCTTCTGTTAAGGCAACACATCTACCATGTTAGTAAACCCAGTTTATGAATCAGAAATAAGCATTAGACCCAGCTACATTATTGAAATCAGAATCATACCTTCTTTCAAAAGTAATCAAGCAATCTAGATGCTCAGAATGGTCTCATCCCATTTGTAACTGTTCTTGAACTCTAATGAGATGATAATAGCCTTTACCAACTTGGTAAAAGATATAGTAGGTGTGATGAATAAATCCCTTTGAGTGATTACTTTTAGCAGACTCACACTGCATTACATAGAATACATAGCTTTCTCTTTCAACGTGGTTATTAGAAAATAATATATATAAACTTTTATGAACTCCTAAATGTATGCAATGTTGTGATTATGTAGGAGTGGCAGACATCTGCAAAGATGAAATATGACATTAATATAACCTTCTTTTCATACTTGGAAAATTCCATCTTGCATGATAGATATTACTTTGATGTGCTAGCTTCCTTTCTTAATTAACTAAAAGGTTATAATTTGAGATCAAAGCCATTAATCTTCTTTATTACTTAGAACATTCTACAAATAAATATCCAGTAGCATGAATACAATCTTTAAACAATAATATTGAGCAAAACTTTAGTATAACAACTGGTGTGCCAGACAATTACCTGTTGCTTGCAAAATATATTAAATACTTATTTTTGCCTAACAATTTCTTCAGTCATGACTATTTAGAAAAAGTATTTTTTTTTTCAAAATCACTTATGAGTTATGAAATCTGTTTGCCAGATATCTGTATCATTAAAACTCTAAAACTAAGTTAAAATATTACCATATAATTCTGCAATGTACATTATCTGCATATCACTTAGAATCTTACATTTTCATCGAAAGACAGAAATGTGCAGCAATAAAACCTAATTTAGATCTTGGAAAATCTTTGGTAGACAGTAAAATGTGTATGCTGTATGGTTGAGTAGCCCAAAATGCTTTTTTTTCCCCATAACAAAATAATTTAGAAATTCTCTACTACTGGCATTGCAAAATTACTGAACTGATTTGTAAAATCTGGATTTGACTGGCTCTTGAAGAAACATAATGATGAAAAAAATCCCAGTGGGAAAAATTCCCAGTGGGAACTCGTCCATTTTCAGAAGAAAGCTTAATGTGGTCTGTGTGACACCAAATATTATTTCTAAAATCATAATGTTAATTTATATGATCAAAAACCTGACAACAATACACTCTGTTCTACTTCTTCTACTTATTACCAGCTGTGAAAGTCAATAAAATATTCTGTAAAATATTTATTTTGATAAGATTCAGTTTAAAAAAAATGACATACCATGCAGATCATGTTTTCAAAAATCTCGTCTGAGACAAAGTGATAATCGGCTCCATCTACTTCACCGAAATAAGGACTTCTCGTTGTGTGACAGGCACTAAAAAATATATTAAAAATCATCTAAGCATAAAAATCATATCATTGTATTCCAAATATGGATATGCACATTCCTGTAAATCATTTTTCATTTACTGCACACCAGTAAATTCATTATATTCCTGGTGAAAGATTCAGACAACTCTTTTGAGAATATACCAATACTTGATTCAAATCTGTGTTTAACTTATTGCATTATTTTTCATGCTTGTATGAATGGCATTTCAAATACATAAAAAATCTACATATTAGTACAACAAGCTATACTGTATACAGTACCTATATTATTTAGCAGCATACTCCAGTGTTGGCTTATATCTAAAAATTATTGGTTTTGTTTTTTTTGCAATGCTAAAACTGACATCTTGAAACAGGTGTATCACATTTATATTGATTGTTATTTATTACTACCTAAAATGTAAAATATTTATGCATTACTCTTTTTAACAGGCAGTGCCAAAGACTGCCTACTAGAATCTGCTACAGATTTCAGATAAGGTAATATATAGTGTTATAGGCAAAAGAATTCTGAGGATGTGAGTTATGGCTAAAGTTCTTCTTCATGGATTCATATTATATCTTTTCTTAAGGTGAAGTAAAACTATTAATTGCTTAACAATCAGTGTGGAACAATATATAATTGTTTTCTGCCAATTACATTTTTGCTATCGTGGTGAATGTTTTAATAAATGTCAAAACATAAAAAAAGCTTTCAATATTTTTGTACTTCTGGGTGGTATAAACATTGTGTACAGTGAATTAAAATGAGGAAAAAAAAACAAAATATAATAATAGCTTAAGTAGAGAAGAAGAATAAGAGAAAAATATTTTTGTGTAGGCTTCAAATGGGTTTACAGAAAAATTCAATGTCCTCAAAGGCGTGTACAGGGTCAAAGAATAGCTATCTTTTATTTGACAAAAAAGAGAAAGGGTTTCGCAATGTTACAGTGAAAGAATGGCCCCTCCAGCACCTGGTGGAAATGTGTGCTTTAAAGAAGAGAGGCCCTGACCTGCTTCTGCATATGCTCTGGATTAATGAGATTTAAAGCTGCCTAAAGCCATTTTTTTGCCAGATACTCAAACATTCACATCATTAAAATACTGTCAAATTATTGCTTTAGTACAGCATAGAAATTGGGGTCACTGGGTAATGGGAGATAATTATTATTCTACTATTAAAAACTGATATTCAAACTAATTGCTTTGTATGATACTTGCACTGCAGAAACTCAAAAATGTAAATCACACTAAGAAAAAGTACCAAATATTTTTTTAAAATATGGACATTAAGTTTAGGAGAAACTTTTAACGGAATGTACTACTTTGTAATAAACATTACAGGACACCTTGTCAGCAGTGTAAATTGTAGCCAGATCTTGTCTGAAGCTAAGCATGTCTGGGGCTGGATTGCACTTAATTCGGCCATTGTCTAATGACACTGTTCTAAAGGATGGGGTCTTGGCACTTGTTCTAAAGGAAGCCTAAATTCCACTTTGACCTTAAACAGTAAATCAGACCATAAGAAAGGTAATAAATGAGAGGAGGACCCCTAGCCCATTTGATAGTAGTTAATTGAATGAAGAATCTTATTGAGACATTTCTTGAAAAAGTAGAGGTTGTACTATGCCTTTGCAATTGTGTTTATTAAGTATGTTTTATCTTGGAGACTTCCAAAATGCTTTGCATCCACTAATTAAATATAACTCTCAGCTGGGTGATGTGTGGCAGCTATCATGAACCAGAAGGTTTACAGAACTGTTGACAGCATGTTTTAGGATACCACAGAGTGAAACAACATAATTCATCATCAAAAGGGTGGAAAAAATGCTTTTGCTTTCACTCAGTGGTATTTGCTATTGCATTTAGAAGCCAGTACTTTCACCAGTAACTACCAGAGTATGTGTCTGCAAGTCAACAAATACTGAGTTCTTCATTGACATAGAAATGGATGACAAAAAACTAAAACAGAAAAGAACCAATAGATATCTTTCAAATAGTAAGCTGACAGTGACTTTCAAAGTGATTACCTGGTCTTTAACAGTTAAAATCAAGTCCAGCCTGAGGTATCCAGTATTTTCAGTGAAATAAAAAGGATATACAGTATGATGCAACTACTGTACTATCCTTAGAATGTAACATTAAAGACAACAGAAGTGACAAGAGGTCTGATACAGACATAATGGGTCTACATCTGATTGCAAATTTCTGCCACAAAGCACTTTCTAAACCATTTATCACAGCCTTCAATATTAAGAATTAATTAAGACACCTAATTGGCTTCTGCATAAATTAACTTAACAACAAAAAATATTCTTAAACTTTTTATATCTACTTTTTACATATTATACTTAGAAAATGTCCATGCCTAACTTTCTTTTTTTATTTTCAGTTCCATCTCTAATTTTCTTATGACAGGAATTGCTCTGCATTGTAAGAACACTTTCCATGCTTCTAAACTGACAAATTTAATGAAAACCAAAAACATGGCCATATGGTTTTCAGAACAGTATTAATAGGGGATATGGACTTTTAATGTACTGTAGGAGTAAAAAAGCAGCCCATGTTTTACTGGCTCAAATTTTGAAATAGTTGTAAATTTGTAGTTGTAAATTTGTAAAGTTGTAAAGTTGTAAAGATCAAAGTCATACACTTAGACATATCTTTCCCTCCAGATTTATTCATATCCTCAATGAAATAGGACCAAAAATGTGATATAAGAGAATGACTTACAGATTGAAGACTGCCCTTCTTAAAAAATAAAAAACGTACTGTAATCTTAACAGTATTGCACAAAGAAAAGTAAGATTTCTCATAAATTATTAAAGTGCAGAAGCCACAAAGTGTCACATTTACTCACGCCCCATAGCTAATATTTTGTAAATCCATCTCCGATATGGAATGCACTGACAAAACACCTTCTGTATTTTACTTTGAGGTTCTAGCACTTCTGAAAGGGAATACTGTAGGCAGAATTGTTCTAGGTCCTTTAATCTTTTAGTCTCTTTTTTGAATCATCTTGAGTTTGATTCAATCCAAGTCTGGAGGTTGAGATGGCCAACAATTCAAATAATTATCAAAGTGTCATTATGTTTAACTGTAATACCTTTACATAAAGCAAAGTTATATTTGTCATCCATTATTATCTGAATTCCAGGAAAAAACAAATGTCACATTTGTTCACTCACTTCAAAGTAATCCTTCAAATAAAGTCCAACAGAAATGCAAAGACATTCTGCTCTTTGAAGTGCAATGGAAGCCTGCAGAACTACTGTATGTACTGTAGGAGCCTCTGAAGTTTTCCATTTTCCCTAGGGTAAAAAAGGTGATAACACATTGAAGACATTCAGTAGTAGCATGCACCATGATGGTTAAGGTCAAGGAGCTCTCCGAATACTGCAGGCAAATGGTCTTTGACTTCCACACATAGCTGAGTCTACAACTTTTAATTTTTTTAACTTAAAAATAGTTTAAGGCTACCGAGACAGTGGTCAGGGAGAAGACACAAATGTGACTTGCTACTGTAGGCTGCTGTCATCAGCTTGACCTTTGCCCACATTTGCCCACTGTGAAGTAACGCATAAGGTCTATTTTGTATTCTAGGCTTGTTTTATATCTATGAGTCTCACCAACATTCACCATTTTGGTTCCCTCTGCCAAGAAGCTTAAGCTTGGTCAGAAATTGATATTCCAGTATGACAAGGATTTTATTACTAGCATTTCAGATTAAATAAAATAGTTAACTTTGAACGAAATAAATGTTCACTACTGGCCATTTCAATCTCCACACATTAACATAATGGAATATGTGTGGTTTGGGCTCAAAAAGAAAGTTCACAAACAAAAAACAAAGGTCGGAAAGAATCTAGAACAATTTTGGCTAAATAAATGGTCACAAATCCTACCTGAGAATTGTCAGAACAATATGGGTGCTCTCTTGTTCATGAAATGCATGTCTTAGAATTTACAATTACTGACTACAGGGGTGTGAATAAATGTGACACTTTACTGTTTTTTGGAGTTTATGACTATTACTTTGTTCAATGCAATTCTGTTAAGATTGCAGAATGATTTGTTTTCAGCAGGACACAGTATCCAATCATTCTGTTACATGTGTTTTTTTCTCATGTCTTCGGGGTATGAGTAAATCTGGAGGGCACTGTAGTTTTTCAAACAGTACATAACAAAGTCAATTACAAAACAGACATGCTTCACGTATATCCCAGGTGAATCCACTGCTGTTGAACAGATGGCAAAGTCAGACAAAAAGTGTGCAGATTGATGTTGAAGGCACATCACTTTTGCAAGATTGGTTTGTGAGAATTGCAGTGAACAAAATATAGTTTCTATGTTTTATTACAGAATACTATAACTATTATTTTCCCATATATAAGCAGACAAAGAATGAAACACTAGAATGTGCATATTCTTAAATCTCAAAGTTCCTAAAGACTCGGCTTGTGTTTGCACTGTCATTGTGGTTTTCTTGTTCTAAGCTGTATAATTTGATCTATGAGACAGATCACAGTTGGATGCACGTTTTTCAAGGATGCTATCTGTGTGAATTTAGCATCTGTTCTTTCAGCTAATTTAGTACATCATTCTATGCATCTTTATGCAGGGACCAAGCATTGCCAGATGCTCTGACTTACCCATATGCAAAAAAGTCACTGAATTCCCGACACAGTTTATGAGCAAGTTCTCTCTTCCCGCAAGCCTGGGGGCCTGTCAGGACCAACATCGGATAGGGAGCATCTAAGCTGGGCAGGGTGCTAAAAAAATATAACCCTTTACCTTTAATTGCATATTCTTTCAGTAATGTTAAAGCTGCAGTGATTATACAGTTGTAGACTTACTGTAACTAATGTCTCCTTCTATTTAAATTATAAAGACTGTCGAGGATTAATTTAGAAGAAGCATTACTGATAAGGAAGAACAGTTTCATAAGAAATATTTATTATACTAAATTAAATTAATAAATAATCTTAATATAATATACATATACAGTACATACCAATACTGATACACTGTAGGCAGATACAGATGTGGACACATAAGATACTTTGCCTTTCCACTCAATGATTTAGCTAGGCAAATTTTTGTTATGTTTACAACATTAGACATCTAAGGGTATTTTCAACCAGAGCTGTCCTGTAGCCAACATACTTTGGAAATAAACCTTTTAACTCCTGTAAGCTAACAAGTTCTGAATTTTTGACATTTTTTCCCAGGTTACTATACATACAGTAATCAATGGATTAGCAGCTTTGCTTTATTAATACGTATTAAAGGTTGTCTTGAACTGATGGCAATTATGGTAAACTTGTTGGAATAGTCAATGCCTGGCTGCCCCCTACAGTTAAAAACTAACAGATACTGTACTTCTTACCTGTCGTAGATTAACTGTGGCTGCATTATCTGATATACCACATGTGTCATATGATCTCGGGCAGCAATTACTTCAGGAGGTGGGTCATATTTATTGACAGCTGCAACCTGAAATGACATAGACAACTGTCTATAAGGAAACATAACTATAGAACTCTGTTTTCTCTAAATCAGTGTTCATCTTTATTTTATGTTCACTTGAAATTTTAAAGCCTTTATTATGTGACATTGGAATATGTTTCCACCTGGAAGGTAGGAAGTTACAGGATCATTTTTCATTGTGTAGTGTAGTCTAGCATATACAGTACAATAAAATGAATATATAAGAGCCTTAAATCAAAAGTATTATATACAAAATGTATTCTCTAAAAGAAATACTTGAAATGGCACAGTAACATATATAAAAAAATACTGTGAGAAAATACATTATGTGTATGCAGATTACCTTTTCTTCAGCTTTCACTCTCTCTTGATCCAAGTGGGTCAGTCTTTGTAGTAGAAAGAGCACAGAGAGTCGGTAATCAGGTTGCTCCTAAGAATGACATTATATTGTTAGCTTTTTAACATTAAATGATGTCATTAAAAAAATCAAATGAAAATAAAGCACTTTTTTAACACAAATCTTAAGCTGCTTTTCTTAACAAAAAATGGATATTTAAGATATACAATACTATTTTTTGTTTTTGGTTCCAATTTAAAATCACAAGAACACACAGAACAGCTGAAATGCATCATCTGTCTAGTTGAAAAATGTTGTGTGCAGAGAAACAACACAACCTTCATAATGAAATTAAAATGGAAATTTAGACAGGTTATACAAGCCCAAAAGCTACCAGTGTTAATCTTATAAACAGCTGTGATGGGAATTTTAATGATTAAGTAGTCAGGACTTTAGTTTAATGCCTTCACCAGAGAATTGCACCTCATACAGCATGTCACCATTGGAGCATTGGTTTGGAAATTCAGGTCCAGAGGAAATAATGTCACCTACACATACTCCAGCAGCAACCTGATTTTCCTTAGAAGTCTCCCATCCTAGTACTTAATTAGACCTAGCTTTGCTTCTGAGATTGGACAAAAATATTGGGCTTCTAGTTGGTAACACTGCTATTAAATGTTATAAGGTAAAAAGAAGCTTTGATTGATTGTTCTGTTTTCAAGTCCTTCCTTATCCTAAATTGTTACCAGGTATTACACTTGCAATTTTTGTGATTTTAACATTTTCTGCAATGCTGCCTGTCAACTTCATTATAGTTACTAACCTGAATGGGGTTTCTCAGTAGATTTAGGTCCCGAAGTAGAGGAAGATCATGAATGTGTCTGACTTCATCTATTTCACTTATCTGCTTTGTTTTGAAAAAGTGCTGATGAATACCTTGAGACTTGCAAACATTCATTTAAACATATTGCTTAAACCATCAATACATTTCATACTACAAACACAAGGTCAGGTGAAGACTAGGTGAAGGTCAAACATGTCAATTATGTAAACAATAAACTTTTAAGGGGATGTACTCTTTACACTAGCTTTATGTGTGTCTAAATGGAAAATAAAAGGAAATAACATATCATTTGTAATATAAATACATAGGTATCAAGAGAAGCTAGCTTCCAACATCAATATGTTCCAGATTTGTTGGTTTCATAAGTATATTTTAATGTATATACAGCATAATATTTAATTTTGTTAGGGAGCTTACATGGTCTTTGGAATTGATAGTCTAAAACTTCCATAGATTCAACAATCTCCTACATATACTGTATAAATCTTATAAATACAAATTTACAAAAAAAAAAACAGAAGCATACAACCTGGTTGCTCTCAAGATTGATGGTTTCAAGGAGATCGTGATTCTGAAGCCCGCACAGACTCTGGATCTTATTAAAGGACAAGTCCAAAGCTTGCAGATTTTGAAGGTTCTCCAGATTTTCAATTTTCTGTATTTGATTACCCCTCTGTGATTTAACAAACAAAACATGCACTTGATGAAATCAGCAACTGTGCACTGATGAGGCCTTTAAAGTCTGACCGAGTGCCAACTTTAATTCCCAGGTAATCTGATGGATGACAGTTAGGAGCTGGAGTTGTGCCAGTGTGACTTCTCAACATGTTGGTTTACTTGTATTTTGACCCTCTCTGTCACAGGGCTATGAATTTTAATCCCAGCCCCTGTCAGTCAGGCTGTCATTTAAACTCAAGTTCTAGCCAAAGAACTCGCATAATTCTTGACGACGAACAGCAGGGGGCTGGTGACCATCCAGCCCTCAAAACTCTGGAGTTATTTCCTCACTGACGGCCCAAGACTGGACACTGACAGGGGCTGGCTGTGAGAAAGCTTGAATGAACTCCAGGTTTACTTTCCCCAGTAGCAGGTACCAAGGGTGATCGTTAATGAAGCGCTTCCAATATCTGATTTAGAAGAATTATTCCGATAAAGGGCAACCAAAATGTAATTAGAATTGCGAGGTGCTGGATACATGCTGACATGCCATATGGTTGCATTTATCACAGACCCCTGTTTAAAAAAAGAGTTTAGCACTGTGTAAAGTATGCAAAACTTCAAGAAGATGTCATCTTATTTCAACTTACAAATAAACGTGTTTTTTATCTTCAAAAATACAGTTCAATACAGTTTTGCATATCAAATATACTGTAGACTCTGTTACTTAGAGTATGATCGACCATGTCTAAAAGAAAATATACAGTACATACAGTTAATATTTCTAATATGTTAATGTAGTGTTAAAATGTAAAGGATTTCTATCTTTCTGGGTGCAGGGACACTGGGGTGGGTTAATGCAAGAATATTTACTGTATTTGGAATAAAAAGCATGTACTAGCTTTTAAAATCTATCAAGTAAAAATGTATCAAGGGCATACTAAAGGAAATGATTAAAGCTTAAGGAAATCTTTGTCAAGCTGTACAAAAAGTAGGAAAACTAGTGATTTCAAGACATAAAAATAATACAATAATCAATATTGTAACCTATTAATATCTGGGATATTAAATCTTCATCTGCGATTAGATTTAAAACATAAGACAATTAATTCTACTGACAAGAGGATGACAACCAGGATTGCATTTACTTATTGTTTAATGCAACCATTTCTCTTATTTAATCAATAACATTATTTTAATTAAAATTTTTAATTAAAATGTCCCATGAAATCTACAAAAATACAGAATCAAATACCTTACCATGAAGAAGAATTGCTGAGGCTTTAGAAATTAGACGACTATCTAAAGAACATATTTAGCTCAGAGTGTAAAGGAAAGTACTTCAGGACTTACCAGCCAGAGTTCTTTAATAGGCAGATTGTCTAATCCATCTATATGTGAAATCCTATTACTTCCCAGACTGAGATGAGTTAGGCTGCTACACTGTTCCAAGCCTTTAATTTCGACAAACTCATTGTCTGTCAGATTTTGAAAAGTGTTAAGAAAAAGATTACAAGTTCCAGGTATGTCAGTGATATTTATTATAAGTCTTGCAAGCGTCTTAAAGTGACTCAGTCTGTCAGCCACTTATTACTGAGAACCATACTGATAATTTCATTGCTTAGAAAGAGTAAAAAATTGACAGTAGTGGAATCCAGTTTACATTTCTAAATAACTGGAACATCAGCCTGTATTTTTATTAATATTACAAGTAAGGAAATACATAAAATTGCTAGTTATTAGATAAAAGAGTTAGATAAAAGAAGAATCATTACCATCACACCAAAAATGACAGTAAATTTACCAAATATTTGCAAGGTTTCCTTTTGTACTTTATAGAAAAACAAAAATAGATATATGTGCTGTAGCATCTTTTCTTCTAATAAAGGATACAATCCAGAATAAGCTTACTCAGAGATGAGTAAACAGATAAATCCTTCATTTCAGACATCCGGTTGTATGAAAAATCTACTTCCTGTAACAAAAAAATATTAATTAACTCAGTTTTCTTTGGAAACTGCATTGAAAAGGTTATCTATGATCGATGAAAGCATAAAGTCATCCTTTCCTTGCCCTTTCCCTCCAATTAATTAAAAGCAACCATCAAGAACAAAGCAGATACACATAGACTTCTTGAATCAGATCAGTGGTTTCTTGTTGGTAGCTATGGCAACGAAGATACAAGCAAGGGACATTCAAAAACAATGTTCAAAATAAATAGAATATTTTATGAAGACCCAAACTACAAGAGGATTGGATAAAAAGCTAACTGCTTGCTTTCTAAATTCATTTAGATATGCACGACAAAATAAGTGATTAAAAATGACTGCAGATCAAAGACAAACTTTCTCATTTATGAACTGAAAGATGTGAACAAATATGCTACCTATGCTGAAGCAGGAGTAAGCTAATGTTTCTGTAACAATATTTACTGATCTACCAGTAGGAGTGCACAGATATTTCTATAAATAAAGATTTTTGCATGTTGCAATACATTGCAAATATATAAAGTTTATCCTGAGTGTCTTTTTATGAGGTTAATTCCTTGTATAAAGAACTTACCGTAAGATTTTTTGGTGGCTCAAATCCAAAATATTCTTCAAGTTCATTATGAGAAGCATCAAGTTTGATTAGATATGGCATATAGCTAACACAGGATAAATCTAAAAAAAAATCAATATATAGTATATTAGTTATGAGCATTTTACATATTTTATTCTTCAATTATTTTAGCATTTCTTTACAGATATTACAATATCAGAAATATGAAAGATTGATTTAAGAGTAATCATTGTATTTTTTTAATTTCCCATGTTGAAAACTAAGGATAATTTAAAATTAGAATGTTTTAAACCATACCTTGAATCTTATTGTGTGAAAGTTCAAGCTTTTGTAGATGGACATAATTGCACAAAATAGATATGTCTCGTAAATTTCGCCCCTACAGAAACAAGTAAGAGTTAATTCAAACACATTTACATATGGTTAAAGCATGTTGAAAACACATGCACTATTAATGCACACAGATTTGTGAAGACAAATAAATATTTATTTAATAAAAAAAATATTTCAGTTCTCTCCTCTTGAAGTTTTCTCATAATTTCACAGGAATGAGATTTTCAAATATATTATTTACTATTAATCAGTGTCAGAAGGAGACATTTTAGGAGGTAGTTAATATGTGTGGAGAAAGATATATTTAAATAAAAAATAACAGGCCTCGCTTAAAAGCATTTCTAATAGTTGCAAATGATACCTATGTTAAACATGGTGAAGTAGTCAGTAGGTTAGTGGAAATACAGATTTCTGTCACTTCTGTAAGTGTGTGAAGTCTTTGCCTCTACAATCCTCTAATCCTCCACATGCAAAATGTTTATTTGTTAGCAGTTTGAGACACATACAGGAATTTCTTCAAATTGGTTTTCAGCATTTAAAGCACTCACAAAGGGACTTAAAGCAGGATACACATTCTATAATTTTGCTCTAAGTTATGAAATACCCATCCACTGTCCGAAAGCTGTTTAGCTGCCCCTGGTAAGGGTCACTGGAAGTACAGGACACAAGGCAGGACTACATCCTGGAAGTGATAAAGGTCACTTGCAAGGCACACACACATTTCAGAGATACCCACTGTCTCTGGAAGGTGAGAGGAAAGTGGAGCACCTTGTGAAAACCCATGTGAACACTGGAGAATGTGCAAACTACACAGAAGGCTACCCAATCTGGAACTGAACACCGGACCCAAGAGCTGTGGGACAGCATTCTACCACCACAGTGATGTAAAAACATCTACTCCTCAGATTGAAGTAATTATTTATGTTTAATTTTGGATGCTTAATATAGGTTTTTATACACAAGACCCTACCATAAAGTAGTAAAGTTTACCCGAGCCACAGTTTTAAACTATAATAAAAAGAAAATCATTAAAATCTTTACACTTTTTAAATTGTACTCATATTGTACTTTGTTAATAACATACTGACTTTCAATGTTTCTTGGAGCTTGATATAATTTGTGTGCATGTTATTGTTACTGTTCAATCTACAGTAAATGAGCTACTGTATTATCACATTCACTTCACTGTACACAACACATACAGTACAAAAGCATCCCCATGCAACACTGACTATCATAAGCATCTGCATTTCCTTCTAAGTACATTCAATTGTGGTTTATTGGTTAAAAACAGATTAATAACTTTCATCAATGGCATGAAACTACACAAATGTATACTTCACTACTCAGTTATAATTATAAGAAAGATGTCTGAGACTCCTCTGCCTCTGCTTTTGAAGCCCTATAAATATCTGCAGTTCTTGTCCTTTCACGTTTACTAAAGCAGCTAGCGTACCTGGCTGTTTGATAACTTAGAAGCTACCATCCTTTGAAAAAAAGCAAATTACAAATAAAAATCTTCTTTTAGGCAGTTTCAATGAAGGAACATAAAATGTTTTCTAAATCTCTAAACCGAACCGTGCTACAGTACAAATCATTTAGGGATCATTCTCTTAAAAGTAATTTATAACTGTAGTAAGCAGAAACATCCCACTTTTTACTTCTGCTTACATAGGCTATATTTTCATGATTACAAGGCATGTAATCAATAAAGAGAAGGGAAGAATGAAGAGAGAGAGAAAGGGTGGAAGAAGATCTACAACTCAGATAATTATGCTCATGCATTAAAATAAAACTTTTTTTTTTTTGCTTTTTGTATTAATGTATTTTCTGTCTTCCCTGTGTATCCCCAATATACAAAATCCTTTACTACTTTTACCTGTGATGCACTCTTAAGGTCACCGATTGAAATTTTGGGTTCAATTGAAAATTAGGTCACTCTTCCGAAAGATACATTCAATCCTAGTGCTCATGCTGGAATACAGACCTAAACATGATTCTAAAAACAAAATAAAGAGCACTGCAAAACCTCAGCTCTAGAGCAAAGTGGAGTGCCAGAAGTCAAATTAGAGCCCTCTGTGTTAGAAATACTATTCCATGAAGACATTAATACCATTTACATGCGAAAGTGTACAGTGTCCTGAAGAGAGTACACCAGGAGTTCCAGGTCAGTTGTTTGTGCAGAATTCGTTAGGCTTTTTACTTTTTACCTATAAAAGCATCCTACTTGCCTTAAACGGAGGCATCAAGGAAGCTTGCAAGTATCTAAGGCTTCTTCCAAAAGTGGCATTTATAGACACTTTTGGTCATCAGAGACAGCCCTGGAAGAAACCTTTAACACATGGGTTTCCAGTCTTTGTCCCAGAGAACCAGTGTGTCTGCAGGTTTTCTAGATCTCTTTAAAGCAACAGCCCCTGTAGGGTTGGGAAAAGCTGCTAAATTGGTCAAATTCAGGCAGTAACCACTAGGGTTAGCTCATTAAGAGCTGAGCTGGAATGAAACCCTGCAGACACACTGGAGCTCCAGGAACAGGTGTAAAACTTTTCATCTGAGATATTCTAAACTCAAACTTTAACTGTTAAACTGTTAAACTGGTAAACCGGTAAACCGGTAAAATCAGATTTTGCTTTTATCAACAGCAATATCATATACTGTATACTGCACTTACAGTACATACTGTTTTGCATTGTGATGCAGTATATGTAACCAAAACTTTGTTGTTAAAAAAAGCATTTTATTTTATATCTCAGCATAATTGCTGTACTACAATTTATCTTTCATGTCTCTTGCAGTTCATTCCCTACAGAAAGACCATTAGCTTTTCTCTTCTACCATACTAAGGTCCCCTATGACAAAAACTTGATTGTTTCAGCTTATTATCCCAGTCTTTTTTGGCAGAGGACCAAAGCCCCAATACCTTTTGGGGCATATAAAATATAAAAACAAGACTTTTGTAAAGGAAGTACTGTATGATTGATCACTGTGTCAAAAGACCAGAATATTAAGAAGCAGCCATTATAGAAGCAGCAAAAACTTTAACACGATTTTAGCAGAATTATGTTAGTTTACATTTTACACAACAAGGAGGGCCACGTAAGTCAGTACAGTCCTACAGTAGGAACACATTATAATTGTTAGGCTATGCTACAGTATATGATGAACTGACTCACTGGTAATGAAAGGTGCAGATAGACATGTTCCAGTCCAGATGCAGAATTCCCCAAGCTTGATAACCCGCTAGAAACATCTTCTTCAGTTAATTGAGCAACCTCCTTAAAAACATGTTAAAAAACAGTGATGGGTGAAGCAAGCAAGCAAGCCACTGCTCTAAACAGTTCCTTATGCAGCCGTTTCTTAACCTCATCCTACCCAGGTGTACAGCAGGGCCGATACCTGTGCTTGATAACAGGGTGTGTCTAAACAGGAAGGTATTTTTGGTTTTATAAATGCTAAATAACTCATAAATACTTATAAAACTACTGAGCACCATAAGCTGCATTCGTGATTACCTGTATATACGCAAAGCGTTTTAGCGTTATGCATGTTGCCTTATACCAGTTTGGATTTTTACAAAAAAAAAACGGACAAACTGAGTTTATAGAATATTTTTTGTTCGTTTCATAGGCATTTGTTGATCTTATATATTACCTCCTTCATGGCTGGCTCTTCTTCCCCAGAGCTGGAGTATTCTGGAGGCTCTCTGAGACTGCGGGGACTCTCGAGTACCTCAGGCGTGTCTGAACGGAGCACAGTGTCTACTTTCTCCTGCATCACCAGAGGCCCCATGGCAATAGCAGTGCCACTAGGAGAAACAGGAGAAAGGCAGGGGCTCCCAAGCCCCACTATGGAATTAGCCGCCGAAACTTGCATTCTAGACGTGTATTTTCAGAATTAATTCTGCTGGCATTATGTTGACGCGGCTCACCCGAGCCAAAAAAGAAACTCTCAAACCGAGTCCCACTGTGTACTATACTGTTGCCAAGCAACAACACAACGATGGGGCTGAGGAAGGCGAACTGAATGCCGGGACTTGTAGTTTCTGGGAATTAAAACAGAGGCGGAAAGCTTGGAAAGGAGTTAGTTTAACGTTGTGACAAGTCCCGTGTAAACATCATGTTGGACGTTTTTCTTTAAGGTGATGTTGTTGTTTTTTCCCACTATGGGGATTACTAAATCACTAAACACTGTAGAACGTTTTATCAATGAATAATAGATTGTATTGTCAAGAGACGTATTTAGTGGTTTATTAGACTTATGCACATTATCTTTAGAAGGAAATATTCGACTTAGAAAAAAAGATTTTATGACGGTACTTTGAAGCATACTGTATACTCGTGGTTAACTAAAGAAAAGTGTTTCTGTGGATACCATTATATGGCAATAAACCAGTAAACAATATTCATTATACAACATATTCATTTTACTTACATTATAAAACCAAATTTAGAGGTGGATCGAAATGTGTTTCAGATACTAGTGTGCTGGCGTGCTTTCCTTGCCTTTAGACCCTTTGTGCTCGCACCAAATTAACAAATGAGACGTACAGTAACACGACAGGCACGTCCGAAATGAACAGGTGGAACCTGAACCGTTGCCTTGAGAGACGAGCCTAAAATAATTCGTTGAATATCTGTTTTTATCATAATAATAATAATAATAATAATGTAACATAACGGGGGCTCAGGCGGGCGCCCTTGCCGCATCTGGTCGGCCCCATCCCGACTGGAGGCTCGAACCCGGGACTTCCGCGTCTCTCTGCAGCGACCTAGCCCCGTGAGCTAAATAGCGATTTTTCTACAGCTCAGTAGCTGTGGTCCTGCTATCACAGGGAAGGGCGGTGACGTCACCCGGTGACTCTGGTATGCCGGCTCTTACATACAGTGCTTGTCGGCCGTAGGCGTTACACTCTCCCCCGCTTAAAGGGCTATCCCACCCCGCTTCTGACACCAATGTAACGCAACGGGGGCTCAGGCGGGCGCCCTTGCCGCATCTAGTCGGCACCATCCCGACTGGAGGCTCGAACCCGGGACTTCCGCGTCTCTCTGCAGCGACCTAGCCCCGTGAGCTAAAGAGAGCGCCCGCCTGAGCCCCCGTTGCGTTATAATAAGAATAAGAATAAGAATTTCTTACAATTTCTTGACACTCCACTCAAAGCGTTTTACAGGTAATGGGGACTCCCCTCCACCACCAATGTACAGCCCCACCAATGGCAGCCAGTACTCTCACCGTGGGGAGGAAAACAGAGTGAATTTATAGATTTTAAGGAGGCCATGATTGGTAAAGGCCAATGGGAAAAAGGGGTTACACCCCTACTCTTGTCGAGTAATACCCTGGGATTTTTAATGACCACAGAGAGTCAGGACCTTGATTTTACGCCTCATCCGAAGGACAGCATCTTTTTACAGTATAGTGTCCCTGTCACTATACAGGGGCATTAGGACCCAAATGGACCGCAGGGTGAGCACCCCCTGCTGGCCCCACTAACACCTCTTCCAGCAGCAACTTTAGTTTTTCCCCAAGAGGTCTCCCATCCAGGTACTGGCCAGGCTCAAATCAGCAGAGCTTCAGTGAGTAGCCAGCTGTGAGTTGCAGGGTGATATGGCTGCTGGCCATGTTTATGGATTTAGAGTACTGCTACAGACGTGCAATATATTTTATTTTTATTCGTTATTCGTTAACGTTGTTCGTTTTATGTTTAATAAAAGTCTTCATCCTGAACGCAACTGCGGGGAAGCAAAAGGTAAAAGTAATCCAGTGAATATTAAGTGTTGGCAGCATTGTGTGTTTGTACGGGGCTTCAGAATGCAGTAATATTAACCCCAGTTAAATCCATGAGAATTCTGGCGTTCTTTGACAGTAAGGTTTATTCAATGAAACGGCGAAGCTAATTTTATTCCCTACGGAAATAACAACTACAGAAATATTAGGTTTCGTCGATGAAAAGACGTGTCTTATACGAACATATATATATATATCACTTAATATGCAAAATCATGTAGCGCATTAAAAATATGATCTATTTAAATAAACAATGCCCTATATGCTAATTAAATCGCGCAAGGTGATTACGTTGCGATCTCAAGCAGAAAAGTTATTATATACACATTATAATGTATAATAATAATGTTTCTTTATTAGCCCTATACAATTTCTTGCATTAGGAATTCGTCTTTTCGCATACCCCAGCTTTTTTCTCCAAGGAGACACAGACAGGGAGAGAAGCTTGGGGTCAGAGCGCAAGGGATTTGCCATTGTACGGCGCCCCTGGAGCAGTTGGGGTTAAGGGCCTTGCTCAGGGGCCCAACGGTGTAGGATTCCTCAGCCAGCCATGGGATACAAACCAGCAACCTTCCAGTCACAGGCGCAGATCCTTAGCCAAAGAGCCACCACTCCACCCATATACGTATGTGTAAGGAATAGCAATAATAATAGTTGTAATTATTAATAATAATTATTATTACTGTATATCTTGTACTATTTTAATAAGAATATACTACTTTTGTACAGTAAGGGCATATTGGGCTATACCGTCAAGGGTGGTACAGCAGTTAGCATTGTTGCCTTTTTTCACTGACCTCCCTGGTCCTCAGTTACACCTGGGCAGGCAGCTGTCAGCGTCCCCGTTTGGCCCCTAAGGACCAACCCATTCGCACGGGGACTCACCGCATCCAAAACTGCCAGGTGAGCTCCTTACTTTAGATCAGATAAGGTGCAGGCACAGTAAATGGATTAAACGAGGACGATCACCTTTTAAGAACTTTTTTTTAAATAAATTAGTAGAGATTTTATGTTTTGTTAGAGTATACACTCATCGTAAGATTAATGTGTATTGTCCAATAAAGTTTATTTTCAATAAAAAAACATACGATAAGATAAGTGATAACAGAGCGGTAGAGTGTCTGAGTACAGATCAAGAGGCCCCTGGCACAAATGCAGGTGCACCCTCAGTCCTTGTCAATCAATTCCTGTTTAGTGCTCCGATTGTTGAGCTAACGCTTGAATTGAAGCGCTACTGTCTTGCTTCATTGCCGCTAGGGCACTGACTAGGCAGGGGATTGTTTTTTTCCTCCTCTTTAATTCACATTGAGCCGGACTTTCTCTCCTCATCAGCACACCCGTCTCAGAAACAAAGGTAAACCTGCCCTTCCCAGAATTCCGGTACCAGCTCCTACAGCTCGGCTCGCCATTCATGCAGCTCAGTCTCTATCCGGCAGGGACCGGATCAGAACAAGAATGTGCTGAATTGCATTTGAAACATGTTTTGTACTTCACAATATAAGGAAAAAAAATATTTCTGCATGTTTTTAAAACTATTTTCAGTGCTTCATTAGAAGTTAGCTTTACTATTAGGTGCAAACCTTAGGACTGTATTAACTGTAAATGAAACGGGGTTAGACTACCATCTGTTCCAGTGTGCAATCGAATCGGAAAAATAGGTGTAAACATCATGTGTACATACTGTATATTTTTGTGTGTTGCTTATTTTTAGTTTGCCTATTGGTTATTCATTATGTACTGTATATATTATGATGTAGATTATGATTAACATCTTTAACAGAAGAAATTCAATGTTCACAGTGCCAACACACATAGTACTAAGGCAAAAAAGGGTTGTCACCAATCAGGTTGACCAAAAAGACATCTCTCAAGACAGCTTCTCTCCATCTGAAAAACATTATATTCACAAAAGGTAGGAAATGGAGGTTTTGTCTACGATAGCTTTTAATCTATCATGAATGGCGGTGTGACACAATTTTGCCTCATAGCTCTTAGGCCCTGAGTTTTATTCCTACAGGGAATGTTCTGTATGGAGTTTGCATGCCCCCCTCAGTGGTATTTATGTTATGGTCACATCAGTTTAGTGTCTGTCTGTCAGGGCATTGCCAGTACACCAGAATGTTAGCAGCCTGTGTTGTCTATAGGCGTTGGTTTTGCTGGTGGGGTTTATGTTTTCTTTACCACTTTGGTTGCTAACCTTAGTAAAGCCACTGTTCTTGGCCCTTTCAACTGACGTCCAAGTATCAAAGTGTTTTCATGTGCAAAGGGCAACAGTTGGCCAACCTGAAAAGGCGATTTTCCACACGCTTCATGCTGGTATTAGTACACAGCATTTCGAGAGCCACGTATATTTTCCGAAATGTGAGTGAATAACAAAAGAGGCAGTCAACTAAAACCTTTGTGGCAATACTACTTTAAGTCACACAACACTGTATAAAGTATTCTATCGCTATTAAGCAAATTAAAAAAGAATGATAGATTTGAACAAAGAAGCAGTAAAAAACATGAACTTTAAAGATTGCCCTATGAAAGTAAATCTTGAATATTATGGAACGCAAGTTATTCTTCAGAATGCATGGACTTCTGTCTTACCCACTATAATACTGAGCAGCAGTATTAGTAGTTACTGATGTCCATGTGGTATTCAGTGTTTTACCAGCTGAGAGAATTTACCCTATAGAATGAAGAAAAGGAAACAACTTCACATTCCACTACACAATCTGTCTGACGTTTTACACTGAAAAACTTTTTACATATTGTACTGTAACTTGCAAACATTGTATTTTGCTGTGCTTTGGGTATCTGGGTGAACTGTGTGAGTATGGAACAAGCCAGCCATGCTGCTGAAGCCGATTCTTAGAAGAACCAGCTAGATAAGATCCTTGGAAAAATGAACTACAAACCCCCAAACAGGCAAGTTGGGCCAAAGAGTTGTCTCATTTGTAACCTGAAATCTGTTTTTACGAATGAATAGAAATAACTTCCAAACACAAGTTCCCATGTTCAGTGTGACTTATTCCTTTCACAGGAATAATGGCTAGAAGTATAAAGCAAAATTATAAATGTGTATGAAACTTGTTTGTATGCCCTTTAGCAAAGCTAAACCTAGTGAATAGTCTTTACTGGGTATCATCATTCAGATTTCATTTTAAATCAGTCTTTTTTCTTCTTCTAGTAAAATAAGACTTTATTGATCCCAAAGGGAATTTCAAGGGAAAGGTTATGAATCATAAAAGTTTGACTGTTAGTAACTTTACGTGAATACGTAAATGGCAGACAATGTGATCTAAAGGTATGTCTTTCTTCAGTTTAACACACAAACTAAAATAAATACACACTACGATAAAAATATTGTATAATATAGATATAATTTATTAGATTTTCCTTCATGTTTTAAAAGTGACCCAATTAATGTAATTCTGGGGCAGTGAAAATATTTTTTAATTTAATCTGACCACAGCCCCTGATGCATGTGCGACATTTTAAACAGCTGGACATTACAAGACAGCATCTAGCATTCTAGCATCCAGATATATCCATTGCATGTAGTTTTCAATGATGTTTTTCAGTGCTCTCCAAATATACAGTATCCTCATATGAAATTCTGTTCTGTATATGGTAAGAACAGAAGGTTGTGCACAGTTTAATGTACTGTATAGAAACGGGTACCCAACGCTGAAGGGTTTTAACTCAATCATATCTGCTTGGCTCTCCGGGGGCTGTCATAAACATATTTCCAATTTATGCAGAACTATGCTTGAATGTGATTTCTTGAATCTCTATGATACAAACACACCCATTATACACCTCTGTCCAAGACAGCCTCTTCATGTTCAATCTTTTGTCTCTACAAGCCCCATTAGCAAAACAGCACTGGTCAGCAAACTCAAGCAAGTCTCAGGGGAACACACTTCTGGATTGACAGAAAAAAAATATTACCTAGAATTATTGACTAAATTGTCACTGTGTTTTTAAACTATCATCTGCTGCACGTATTGCAAAAATAAAAGACCAGGACACGCCAATTCCAATACCAGCAACACAGCTTTATTGATTTCAAACTGCACGTAAAACGATACACCTGAATGTATGCTTTTTAAGAACTGCATGGCAAAGTGACACTGCCAGTCTCTATTTCATAAAGAAAGGAATTTATTTCAAACACTATTACTCTAAACATTTTTAAGGAACTATATATGTGGGAACAGAGAACAAGTTTTGAAAAGAAAAGATAGAGAGACATTTTAGAACTATTTTTTGAAAACACACTTATTTACACTTTCAGGTGCACGGTTCATTATTTTACCAGACAAAAGAAATTCCTTTTTTATCCATCTGGCTTTCCATCCCTCATAATAATGTTAGTCATTTATAGTACTAGGATTCATCGTTTACCTTTTTTTGTGATAAAGCAGGACATGATGTAGATTTGCCAAAATGTGTGAAATTAAACTGCCTACTTCAAGATCAGGCACAACCATGATAGACAGTAAAAGAAAAAAAATATATATAAACAAGTTTCCAGTGCTTTTATGTTAAACTCCAGGAGAAAATGCCTTTTAAGTAGGTATAATAGGAATGATGTTTTTATTTTCCAATGATTATCTACATTAAATGATCTTTCATTTTTTATTTTGGGCATAAGTCACTCTTTAGAAGAACTACTGGACACAATATTAAAAGTGATTTTAATTATTTTAAAGTGTGGGCTGGGATTATATTAAAATGAATGAAATATCCTAAAACCATGTACAGTGTTTCCTGAAGATGAGTTGAGCTAAATAACCTTGAGCATCTTGTTTCACACAGATATGTTTTTATACAGGTGCCCGTAAATGTTTAAGAAAAGACAGACTTAAGAGGAACACATTATTCTCCTGGACTCTTACATATTGCAACACCTAGATCTTAGCTATTTGCATGAACAGTTATAAGTACTGTCATTTTCCTTAGTGGTTAATGCAATGATATGTACTGAAAGACAACAGCTGCTGGAGAGAAAGGAATTACACTGTGGTTATTTTCTTGTCCTTGGTAGCCTGTTTAATGGCGGCCTGCTCACAGATGATCTCCTTCAGGCGCTGTAGCCTCATATTCTGCACAGTCTGGTCTCCCACACCCGTCTGGCTGCGATGGAGGAGGCTCAATGCATTGATGTACTCCAGCTCGGTGTATTTTACCCCTTGGTCCACCACCAGGTTCAGCAGTTCATCAGCTGTGTTGTACAGCATCTCGTAGTACTGCCTGCAGGAATACCAACAGTAACGCATTTAGCGGTGTATCGGTACAGAACTGGCAGTACAGTTGTCAGTCCGGTGCTATACTATCAAGAAAAAACTATACTATCAGAAACAAAACACGGAATAGTATAAAACCTGAAATGTGGTCTAACCGTTTCAAAGTTCTTAGTTTTCTTTTCTATATTTCAATTGTATACTCAACAGCACCATGTGTCCCAGAAAGACAAAAATTGCAGAGCTGAAACTTAATGCTTCTGATTTCCTTTTGCCAACCAAGGTTATTACACCTTTTATTATACTTACTGGAAGAGGGTTCAATTTCCCTCATTTCAAATACTCTTCTGATTGAAGGCAACTGAATTCTTTTTACTTTATCTGCTCAGAAAGGATTATGTCTCCGTCATCAAAACGCTTTGCTATGAAATCTTTACAATCCTGATAGGTACTCTTAACATCTGCTTTATTTCAGTTCCTTCGGCAGTGGGAAAGGTAAAAGAAAAATCTTATGTGCTCTATTTCATAAAAACTGGCATCTTAATCCAAGTATCTTAACTGTTAAGGTTTGTACGCCATCGTGTTGATTTGATCAAAGGAACCTGACTTTTTCTTTCGGACATAAGGATCCATTTTTGGAAAGATAAATAAAAGCTGTTACTGGCATCTAGTATTTGGAAATGCTCATGCACATGGGACTTATCCCTGAAAATACAGACATAGACTAAATAGCTTACATTTTAGAAGTGCTTGCCGAACCATTTTCTAAGACATATACAATAGCAATGAATACAGAATAAGCTTATAAGTCCATTCACCTGAATAATACATTCACCTGAATGTTGGGGTATTATCTGCTCTGCCTTAATTGCTATCCAATTCTTCTTTATTGGTGTTTTATATTGCAGCAGCAAAGGAAACTAAAAGTAATTGCATGAGATATGGAAAGCAATTTAATAAGTTTCCAAAAACACCACAATCACCATCAACACATCTCACTTAAATATTGGTGATGTTTATGATGGAAATGTTACAATTTGAGAAATGTATCTTATCAAGTTATCCATCTTTAACCATAAGAATTCTGCACTTACATCAGTTGTCTTAGAGTACTCCAAACCCCTAATTGGACGGCATTTTTCCCCAAACATAGTTTGTCATTACAGCTCAGTGATCTTTTAATCTGATTTTCATGGATAAATACACTAGTATTACAGTGTCAATTAATAATAACAGTACATCATTATTTAATACTGGTTGGTAAACACTGTTTTGGATCCACCTGGGAACTAAAGTAAAAAGTATAAATAATTCTAACTTTTTAACAATTCAGCATCTCTAGGGGTCTATTTAGTGTCCACTAAATTGGACACAATTGAAAAGATTCAATTGAGTAAAAGAAAGCGACATTCAATCAAAGCATATACTCAATAACATCTTCTACTATTGAAAAAAAAATGTTTTGCTGAAAACTAAATATAACAATGACTTCCGTTCTAATACAAATTCTCAAATTTGTGAGATTCTATTTGAAAAATATTTTTTGGGTTCCACTATAGTTGGAAGGACAACCTGTACTGCAAAACACAGGTCATGTAAAGTTTTTTTCTTCAGACAGACATTCCTGCGTGTGTATGTGTTTAATTTGTACTTTTTTTGACAAGCATTGCCCTTGGTTATGGCCAATTTGCATACACACAGTATGTCTCTCTGCAGGGTCTGTTAATTTTTAATTCTTCACTTTCAAGGGGTCTATTAATATTGATGAGGGGTCACTAGTGCTTGTACATGCCACAGGGAAATGTGCTGAAATTCTGATGTGCCATTCGTGTGATGTTATCATATAATGAAATATGAAAACTGAATACTTATAGATCTCCCCTATTTTGTTCAACCTGCCTGCTATAATAAATAGTTTTCTTCTAAATGTCCTTTGTATTTGAGAAATCCCACATCCCTTAAGTAAAAAAAAAATTAAAACAAAGTTGTGGAATGAATGATTATAAACCGAGGACGAAAGGGGTATTCTAAAATTATGCACACAATTGGAACAATTCCTTGGGGAAATAATGGAATCTTCCAACTTGTATACCAATTATGAATTTCTATGATTTTAAAATACTCCCTTTTCTGTAGGGGTTTTTGTTGTGTCTGACTTACTGTACCGAAAGATAACTTAAGGAAAAGGACATTCATTTGAGGAAAGTGTTTTTGATACTACTCTCCCTTCATAACAACAGTTGCAGATGATAAGTTCTTCTAACTGAACTTCTAGCTGAAATCTATTTTTATCCATTTTTAAATTATTACTGTTTACTAATTTAGCTGGCGTCTTTATCATATGCAACTTATATTTAAAACACAATACAAAAGAGTATAAAGTGGACACCCATTGCAAGCTTTGTATATTTTATAATCACATACTGTTGCTAAACATACATATTTAGCATAATGATAAATTAACGTATATACTGTAGCATTCAGAAATTCAAGGTAAAACAAATATACCGAATAATGTAAACGATTACAATACAAAAGACAATTCGAATTTTACTATGATACACACAGGAGAACTAAAAGGCGCACTTGTTAATCAGACTTGTTCAGTAACTATCTAAGTACACTTGCAGCTTGAGTGTATGCAAGATTTTAAAATTAATTTTGTGCACACAGAAAGTCTTAAAGAAATAAAGAAATAAGTACTGTCATAAAAAAAGCAAATTGCAGCACTAAAGGGAGAGTTTCTAGGCACAGTGCACATCTTCAAAATTAAGAAGTAGATGGCTCAAACAAGTTTTAAGTAAATGTAAGGTTATGAATACGGCAAACAAAAAGAAAAGGAAACAAAGAAAAATATCAGACAATGTATTTCTCAGTCACGTTATACACTCAGCCATGAATGACATATTTGTTCCAAAGTCCCATTTTATCATTGCAAACCAGAGTACAGAGCTCAAGGAAACAGAAACAATGAAATCAGGCCAGCTGCTGAGACTATTTTACTTTTAAGACACTACACTAACATCTTTATTATGACAGGCTTTTAAAATATTTCAGAACAGTAGAGATGTTAATAAGATTAAAACGTGTACTTATAAACTCTTCAATCTCTCTGATCTTTATTAAAGGAAGATAATGAAAAGCAAGGCTCCACACATCAACAAAAGCACTAGAACTCAATTGATAGATCCTGTGAACACCTGCAAATATTCGCTGTATACCATTAAATTCTAATTAGCCTGTGCACTGCAAGTCTGTATACAAAGAATATTAAGCAAATTTATGAGGCTTACCAAAGAGAAAAGGAAATGAATGTAGCAATAAAGTACAACATTGACAATTCACATACCCTAATTTTGAACTTGTCCAATGTAAAATCCATTTTAACTTTGCCTCTGTCGCAAATGTTTAACAACATATTAGTTAGTGAATGCACTAGGCTGATGTAAAAACACTGGAAATCTTTTCAAATGAAAAATGTCAAAGTAGTTACAAGTGATAACAGAACCAAAACAACTTAGATTGTTTGTGCCTGAAATCTGAACAGCTGCAATTGCCTTACAGAGGAAACCCCATTAAGAAATAATTTTGAGAAGATAGTTACTACTTACTGTACCTTGAAAACATTTTATTTGCATACATTGTACTACAACTAAAAATTATTAAAATGTTGTAGTAAGAAGACCTCTCCAATACAGCAAAAACAATTGTTCTCTTTCTTAAACACCTAAAATGTACAAAAATTAACAGCTGGCAATTAATTGTTTTTTTTTTGCATGTTTGTTAATTTGCTTTTACTGTAGCTCTTAAAAGGTCAAATGGGATTTGAAATTGGTGTTAACCCTGTACCAGTTTCTGAGCTGTCTGCATTCAGGTGTGCTGCCTGAAATGTAATCAATGGACAAACAAAAAATGCTCACCGTGCCCATTCATCATATCTTTGTCAACTAATAAGAGCTGTTGGATCAGAAATAACTACAAGCAAGATAAGGAGAGGAGGTTTCAAAATCTATATACTGAAAGTGTTGGAAGCAGTATCCTTGATGTTTCGTATTACCGTATATGACTCTCAGGACTGATCAAAGAATATCGTAAAATAAATGTCTAACAAAACAAGAAGCTGCATTAAGCCATCAATTAGTAGTAGAGATCTAGGGCTCAGCTGGAAAGAAAATCAGCGGGCAGTACTCCAGGGCCAGGGCTGGGGGTCATGGCACTGGGCTCTAGTTTAAATCAGGTGCAACAAGTGGTGACATTTTTTATTGTCTGTTTCTATAGCATTTCAAAATGGTATCTGTATTTCAGAAGCTCCCACCTGAAGTTCGCGCTACATTAATACTCACCACTTTGCTGGTCCTAATGTGACTTACAGTAGTAGACAGAGTTTCAGATCACACACACTGAAATCAGCCTGACTTACAGTACATTCCCTGACATTAGCTGTGCGGCTCTATCAGATGAGTGGCTTCTGGCCCAGATGTTCAACAATACGCTTTAATGAAACACGGATCTCAGAAGCCGAACCCGTTTCTTCATTTGATATTTCATACCGCTATCAAAACATTGCTTTACTCTCGGCTCTAGGAGAATGAGAAGGCAGATTCATATCATGATGAAGAGAGGGAAAAAAGGCATTACAGGATTTACTTCACTTCTACCATTCTTATCTTCTCTGTGCCATACTTTATTTTGATGTACTGTACACTGGTTTCTATGTCAAAACAGTCATTGAATGGAAAGGCGAAAGTCAAACTTCATTAGCATTTCCAACCAAAGTGATTTGCATAAGTGAATTACAGATCCCTGCTGCAGATCGATAACTTTTCTTTTTGCTCTCTTTTTGAAATCTCAATGCGGCTTTTTATTGCTTTCTCTCCCTTTCCTCAGACACTTGCCTGCTCTGTTTAATAGCAATATTCCTGGGGCTGAGGTTATGATAAAGCCATTGATAGGTACACCCTGGGGGCTCAAATGATCTTAGTGACAATGACTCCAGAGCACAACATGAAT